TTCATACGTCTCCTAGTAATAATGCATATCAATAATGTAATCCGAAATTTATTTGCCGATATTTCTACAACATTGTACCCGGATATGTATAACGTACAAGCATTGTACGTAGACAGCTACTAAGTTTAAATTGAACTTAAGGGTTTTAAAGGTTTTTTTTTTGGAAATATATTAAGTATTTTTTTAATATTTATATTTTTTATTATATATGTAGCTTTTTTGTCCTTTTACAGTTTTTACGTAAATACAATACAGTTCACAAGTTTAGTAACAGTTTTAATAATTTAATGAAAACCTTTTGTTTCTCATCTTCTATGAAATATCAAAAAAAAAATCTCTTCATTGGGTTGCATGTGAAAAAAATTATGTGCTCCTTTTTTCAACACAGGTAATTTTTTGATATATGACTTATGAGGAAAAACCAATTTTACTATAATAACCATATACCTTTAAGGTTGGGGAAAAAGAAATCCATTATTTTCACTACATAGTATTCGAAAATACATATTTTTTCCTCAACCTTAATAGAAAGGTTTCGTTAATAAAGCATGTATAACCAAGTTTTTCTTATGAAATGAGACATCTGGGCGATGAAAACAGAGTATCAATCATCTTGTCAATATTTGACATCGATGAATCTTTTACGTGGTTCTGTCAAACCTGAACGTTTAACTTGTGTTTCAATTTAACTTGAAAGAGTAATTGCTTATATAACAATCAGAAATTCCCTTGAAATCTTTATCGTTGAGAGAATATACATATTTATTCTAGTAGGAATGAATTAAGTGATTATGTTATTATATACTTATATAGCTAGTGAGTTTAATATGTAGATGTTTTATTAAAAATTGGTTATTCTCTTAAAGGTAAAGTAATTTCCGTTCATACAGAAGGTAAAGACAAGTGATTAATGCTACAGATTTTTTTTATGGCCAAACGGGGGCAATCTAACTGATGTTGATAGTACTGTCGCCCATGGACACATTCGCAACGTAGATTTGCGGATGTGTTGCCGCCCTGATTGGGAAAAGGGGGGAGGAAAGGAGGAACAAAACAAAATAAAGTCTCTTATATGCAAGTCCTAAGTCGCCATCTTTTAAAATACGCAACATGGTTCCATGTGCTAACTTCATCTCCCGAGTTAAAATATTTTGTTTTCGCACAGGATTTCTTCGAATTTTTCCGTTACTGCTTTGACCACCTTTTCGTGCGAACACACGACGGCCAGATCTTTTTCTGTCACAAACAGAGGAGGTCTCATTGTACCTATTTAATAGCCCGGTACACAAACATTTGACTAATGAGAAGCATGTGGAGAGTTTTAAGAATTGCTTTTGGCTACCCACTGTGCGTATGCAATCACAGCGATTCGGTTCTCTTTATCATCCCACTCCAATTGATATCGCAAAGTATTGAACAATGTATTGGCGCCAAAATAAGGAAACAATGAAAAATTAAATAAAAATGACAGATTCCAAATTATATTTTGTTTTTTTTTTTTAATTGTAACAGTATTTATGGCCAGTCTATGTATATACCAATGCGCCAACATAATAAAAAATTATATTAAAATGAATTGTCAACTATACCATTACTCTTATATTTAACCGCGTATCTGAAGACAGGTTATTAAAGTAAATGTATGCAAAATATGATTGTACATTATTTTATAGTGTATGATCGGTTCTTCTACATATTCGATTATTTTAATGACCTGTAATGACACGCCGCTCGGTACTGTGATCATACTGAATAATTACTTTTAGTACAGTTCTTATGACTTGTGACGAATTCGATGTATTGGGTCACACCTAAAATAATAAAATTTATACGTACTTTAACACACTTGAGCCTCTATTTGAGAGAAGTTTTACCAAGGGCAATTCTTATTTTGTGTTTATTTTTGCATAAATCACTTAATTTTAAAAGTATTTCAGAAATATCAAAGGCTGTTTTCAATTATAACTATTTTAGATCGTATTCATTGATATAAATATCCCTTTGTAGCTTTAGAAATGGAACACAAATAAATAAAACTTCGTTGTCATTTCGCTTTTAAACTATTATTTATTACAAACCCAAATAATTTTGGTCCTGTTGGTTAACATTTGTTCAGATGCTATTAAAATGCAAATGTAACGATTATTTTTTATGGTAATGACCACGTTTTTCAATTTAAGTGGAATTTTGACGTTGAGAAAATAACGAGAACATTAAAAAACTGATTAATGTACGATGTGAAATATTATTGGTGACACAACGTTTTATTTCCATAGTAAGTAAGTTGTATTAAAAATAACTTTATTTATTAAATATATGTAAAGGGTCTCTGTAGATTTCTTTGTTTAAATCTAATACTACTCGTATTATTATAATTTACCGCAGCGTCGACACCTTAGCAAATTAGTAATTAGCTCAACCAATTTTAATGGTTATTTTTGGTAACAAAAACCTATTCATAAAGTAATATTTTCACATGTCTTCTTCTACCTGGCAATTTCCCAGCTATAGCCAGGGGTCTGCCTTACATGTTTGAAATAGTTTTTAGCTATTTGTTTTTTACGATCGGCCGCCTGCCTGACATCAACCCTCTTTTGGGAATCAACATTAATCAGTGATGTCTAAATACTCTTAGAAAGTACATATGATTCGGAAAAAACCACATTGGTACTTGCCCGGGCCAGGATCGAACCCGCGCCCTCGGCGTTGAGAGGCAGGCCCTTTAACCACTGAGCCACCACTGACTAATATTTTCACACGTATTTGGCATAATTTAATGGTTTTATCAAGACTTTTTGTTCACTTACTCTAAGTTTAAAATACGTTGAAGTTAATGTTTAACGATCAAATGTACAGTGTACAAAGATCAAACTCCTTTTAAACTTTACATAATTTTTTTCTTAATCTGAAGATAGCTGTTTTCGAACTTAACCAGTTTCTGATTTCGATCTATAAAGGAGCTAAAATTTATAATCTTAAATCTAACAATCAAATTTAAACACTACTATACCATACGTATATAAAAATAGGTGCTCTTGCTAAGTCGTTTAGCCTTTCATATTAAGCTTTGTACACCAAGCCATTAAGGTAATGAAAAAAGTTTGCTGTAAAACGTTTTTGTAAACAGTGATTGGCCCGTGGTCTATAGTAAGGTCATTGTCAGTCATAGTAGGCGAATATTTGAGGTCAACATCCGACACTGGCGAGTCATCTGGACAGTGACAATTAAGATGTTTTGGAGATGACGGAGATCTGTGTACTTATGTACCTTGTAATACATGTACAAAAAAGATTTGTACCTCTCAATAGTTAAGCGACTAAATAAATCCGTTTTTATTCTTTATAAGTATATATTTTACACTCGTCTTTACTTACAAATGTATAGATGAGTGTAAAATATGTATATAGATACGTTTGCGGCTTTAAAATGTAGGTACAAGCAATTTTTTTTACTTGCCTTAATCCTGACTGGATATTTTTTATAGTAATTATATTTATAGTTAGAATTATATACTGTTTAACTTATATCTAAAAATATACAAAACAATAGCGTTATAAGAATAAAGCAACATGCTTAAAAAATTTTGGGGGAAAATTACCACGACATAACGTACAAAAAAAATATAACAGCCCTAGTAATGTATGCAAGATAAATGCCTCTCAATAAATTACCACTGTTATCTTTTTAACCATATACTAATAGTTGACATATATTTTAAAACTAGTTTTTGCCCGCGACTTCGTCCGCGTTAATTTCGTCATTAGTAATATAGGTATAGCTGACCGGCAAACTCTATTCCGTCTTCAATAACCCGTATTGGTATTTATTAAATTTCTCTACTGTTTCAATCGAACAGAATGATTGACATATTAGTTAGTTGTCAAGTCTAATGTCAAAAAATCGTTTGTATGGGAAATAGAAAAGGGCTGTTTTTAGGGTTTTTCCCCCGGCAATTATCCAATTTTTTTCTCACCTTTTAAACCTTCTCTGGACTGCCAGGAGTATTTCGAAGCCTAAAATTAGCCAAATCGGTTCAGCCGTTCTCGAGTTTTTAGCGAGACAAGGAATCCCAAAACAGCAATCCATTTTTTATATATATAGGAAGATAGAAGAATAATATTACATACATCAAGCCTATCACATAAATCCTCAGGTTTTTATGGTTTAAAAAGAAGTACATTCGATAAAACGACCACATTACCTGACAGTTTTGTTACTCAAGTTGATATGCAAATCATTAGCCCAGAATTTCATGCGAATGCTCATTGAACATTACTCATAAGAGGAAAAGAATGTTATCATTGTTGGGAACTTATATTTGTAAGGCATAATATTTTTATAATGATTAATAGTTAAATTGGTTGACTCAATTAGAACATAACGTATCAAGTAATAGAATAGATTGATTGATATAATACATCTTTAATTTGTATTGATTAGTAATACTAAAAATTAGGCCAAGTTATTGAGAATTCATAAACTATTTTTATAGGTCATTATAAAACCATAAACAGGTATTAGTTAGTATACGACATATTTTACAAAGTAATATATTTAGTCAGTTGGTGGCCTAGTGGGTTTTAAGGCCCGCCTTTCATGCTTGATTGCGCGGGTTCAATCCTGGCAAGTTACCAATGTGATTTTTCCGAGTCATATGTACTTTCTAAGAGTATTTACTATTTAGACATCACTTGATTACATGCATTCCCAAAGAAGGTTGATGTCAGAAAGGCGGCCAGTTCGTGAACAAATATTAACAAACATGTAAGGCAGAACCTGGCTAAAGCTGGGAAATTGCCAGATAGAAGATGATATAACAAGCAAGTAGAAGTTACGAAATATTTCACGCAGTCATAACATGTCATATTCCATATTTTTATTAGTGAACAAAAGTTTAGAATTTATAAGGTTATCTTAATTGTTAGACAAATTAACTAAACAAATTAATAGAATCTAAGTACATATAGAATCTAAGTACATATTAAGGTTAAATTGCAAAATGTACGTGTTAGCGGTCACAGTATGAATGAGTTAAACGACGCAACCGAACACATATTGAACTTTAGTTAGCGTAAATACATTATAAACCAAATATTGATAGTAAACGAAAGTATTATCATTATTTGTTGAACATCGATTTTAGGTAACTCGATAATCGATTTCGGCTCCTTCATATGTTTTAAAGGGCGGTTGATTATTTACTCGATCGATTATGTAATAATTTAAAATCAATTTTTAAATGTCGGATCGTTTGTTTTTTAGTAGTTATTACCTTTACATTTACTTAAAGTATTTTTTTTATATATATAATTATATTAAGTGCTTTTCCTTTTGTTCAAGATGGAGATTTAAGGAGGTGGAACGGCACTTCGTATTTTTTAACATATTGGATATTTTTTACTGCAAGTAAGTTGACACCCTATTTAAAATCGAAAAGATATTGTTCTTAAGTCATCAAGGATTAAACTTAAATTGAAGTTTATAAAAAAAAAGATGTGTACTAATTTTGCTATAGTTTAAATAATATTTTACCACACAGTGCGGAGGCCACATATTATATAAAAAAAAAAAACTCTTTAAAAGCTGCAACATTGTTTAGTATCCAAGAATGAAATGATAAATTATTATTTAAATGAAACTAATATTTTTTCGGATATACTAAGCGACTTTATTAACGAGTATATAAAGTCGCGTAGTATATCCGAAAAAAAAAAATATTACTTTCATTTTTAAATGAATAAAAACTCGCGAAAATCTTAGATCCCTCATTATGATATTAATTTGATTTCAGATGTTTAGGTAGTGGTCGCCGTGTCGCTGAAGGTCACGGTCGCCTCATGGATCCACCAGCGAGGAACTCCATTTGTGGAGATTCGGTTTTTCCCCAATCCCGTAAATTATAATGATAACGAGTTATTCTGCGGCGGCTATGCCGGTCAGTACACCTTAGCTACTATTACTATTAAGCTTCAAAATATTTAATAAAACAATTAATTAGTGACTAGAGTCAAAAACTTTACATGCTTTTTGCACGATCAAGCTCTCTACTGGTTATTTTGTTTTCAACTTAATTAAGATAAATGAACTTATTGACAACCTCTTGTGACATGGGACGCTTTGCGGATTCTTAAACAAGCTATTTGTATGAAACGTCTGTTTGCATACAGATATATGCAAAAGTTGCGATGATTATTATTAAACCCTTTTTTGGTAAAACAAGGAATTTTTTGAGCGATAAAAATCGTACCCAACAAAGTTCAAAAGACCTCTATATATAGCCATAACATAAATCATTCATGTTTAAAAATACACGACACATGAAATAAAAGATGAATCTGCTTGACTTTAAATTGGTAGCTGTGTAAAAAAAAAGTATATAGAAAAATATATATATATTGTGTTTAAATAAACCAACTGTTTCTAAAATATATTGATATGGGAAATCTAAAATGGTTTTTAAACGATAAGAATCTAGACATTATGTGAGTTATTGGCTAAGAAACTTCATATTAGTTATATAGATGTATATATGTAATATATATATATTTCATACATATATTATAACTTCAAACCATATTGAAAGTTGAACGTTAGTTTTTCTCACCTCAAAAAAGCCTAAAAATTTATATACAACGTACTTAAATATGCAGTTAGTAATAAATACTCAAAGAAAAACGAAGTTCCTTTGCATGGAATTAGATAGGGGGTATCTAAAGTAAAAAACAACAAAACGGGGTCGCAAGTGCTAGGCACTGTTAACGATTCTCCTCCTTACAACGCGATGGACCCGGCACCATCACGGGTGAATCCATAAAAATGTTTGCGCCTTTCTGTTATGAAACTGAGTCAATAATTCCACTAATTATCTAGTAATAGTATGTATATTGAAAGGTTTTATCCGAACGGGTATATCTCAGCTGAGTGATGTGTAATGTTTAGTCCAGTTGGGAACAGAAACGGAGGGAAAGTGCGGGGTATGCGGGTGATGCTGAGCAATCTCAGCGAACCTCGACCTCATGAGGCTGGCGGCATGTACGGCAAGGGTATCATAACCGACACGGCATTACAGTGTGGGGGCAGAGTAAAACAGAAACGAGATAGAACAGAGGGAGAAGAGAGAAAGAGAATAGAGTGGTATTCACATTTCTCTAGATTAGGAGAAGGTTCAGTAGTCGTTGAATTTTGTCGTGAACCTAATAAAGATTAAAATAAATAAAAGCAATTTTAAAATAGAACTTAAGTACATTTGTTTCTCATAGTGTGTTGATCAAAAAATCCTAAGAATTGAAAATGGTTTAAAGGTGTAACCAAATTTCGTCATGTGAAATGTACTAAAAGTAAAAAACCAGTTTTTCTGTAAATATTGTTATAAAAAGATATTATTTTTCATTTCAGGGAAATTGAGTAGAAGTGGATAGCTGACAGCAAAGCTCACCTCGGTGCGTTTGTGTTGAAGCTGTGTCCCAACAATAATCCCCAATTCAGGAAGCTAACTGGGCAAGAATGCTTTGACAGGTTCGAAAATACGTACATTATTTTTTAGATATAAAAAAAACAGTAATTTATTTCATTGTTATCTTAAAAAAAATAATTTTATTGTAGGCGTAAATAATTGCTAGTTCATAACTTTCTCGTTTTTTCGACTTAGTAATTCTTTATCACAGCTTGTAAAATGTGTTTATGAGCAAGTAAGTAAATCCCATATTAATCTTCCCACTCTTTCTGTTTTAAGGGTACCCACTCTTTATTTCCGGTTACTAGAGAGGACAGGTTTCTTGATTCCTCTTGACACAGCGAAGAAGGACACTTTTAGATACCGAGTCCGCTTACCGCCCTTACGTCACTTGTACACAGTGCGGGTCCTACAAATGGACATTATTTTATACTGGCCAAGTAACATTTTTGAAGTCAAAGAGACGAAAAAAGGAGATAACATTTGCTTAAAGTTCCCAACATAGTAACCTACTTGCATAGTGAAGTTTATCTGGAGCTAAAATAAAAAAAATCAAAATTAAAAGAAACCGTTTCTAAGAACTGGATTGAAGATAGATGAAAGAACCACTAAAAAAAGCCAAACAAAATTAAACTCCTCCTAATCAAAAAAAAAATCACAACTCTGCTTCTTCAAAAATTGCAAATAGCGCGTTTAATTAGCTACAAATAAGTTGCAATTTGGGGGACATCAATTACAGGCCCAAAACATGTGTAGGTATTTTTTTTGTCCGAATAAACGGCACGGAAGCAGTGGGTTGTGGTCGCTCGGAGACTTTCCGTAACTGTGCCGATGTGGCCGTCATTTCACTAAAAAAAAAAAACACGGGGCGGTCTGCCCCCGGCCTTCGCTGACGGCCTCCGAAGAGACAACCCCTTCCTTCTTTAACTACAGGGATTACAACAATGCCGCAAAACGCCCTTCCCTCTTGTTTCGTCAGGTACAAAACTCCTCGTTTTACATTCTATATATTACTATTATCATATTTATATACCACTTATAGTTTGTATATATTTTGCAATGTATTATATATGGTTTGTATATGGTATTATATATATGTATATTACAGAAATGGAAAGAAATTATACAAAAAAACAGCAATCGATAGAGAGGTAACTTTCTGAATGGTATAATAAACCTTTAATCCCTATGTATATTTGTTCAGTGTGTAATAAAAATGATTTTTCTTTCAGCAACGATATTGGATAGTGAAAACAGAGGAGGATTTAAGTCCCCTTCATCATTAGGTATTTGTTTAATGTTATAAGAGTTTCAGGGAGGGTTTGGACAGTGGCGTAGCTGCTTTGGTACTTTCCTTATAGTTTTCAGTGTAAATAAAAATTAAGGTTGTGGTAAAGTTTGTTCAATACTTAGGTTTCCTGTACAGATTCTATTAAACAGTGTTTCTTGCATTTCATGCAAACATTTTACTACTATGGGAAGAATGAAAACCGAATTGTTACGTAAAAAAAAATATTATTACATACATAATTTTATGTTCTGAGGGCGGTATTCGTCTTATACGTATAAAAAAAAAAAAAAATCATAAATTATAAATTAGTCAATTAGAAACGCTAACCGCTTATTACAAAAAAAAAAACATTCCTCAAAATTTTCCTTTCAGTAATAAATAACCATATTTCAAATAAGGTTTAATCATTATAACCACATTTATATAAATGAAAAAAAAATACGCCCAATTATATGTGCCATATAATTGCAAGAAAAGCCAGAAACACCATATTTATTTGATAAGTCCTAACATTATTGATATTCTTCAAACAAATTATTCGGTGGTAAGGAATTCTACAAGGATGAATAAGAATCTCAGCATCAGCTACGCCACCTGTGTCGGTGTGGTCCCACCCCCTACATACCTGTGAGGGTTTCCTAGTGTAAAATAACTTCTCTATATGTTCTCGTTTCTTAAAAATTATATGTTAAATTGTAATTTTATGAAGCTGTGTTGTGACTAACATCACGTGTTATAAAAACTTGAAAACTATGAATTTTATCGACTTTCTTTCTTTGTATATATGCATTTTTTATACTTTGAATATGTGTCTAATTTTGTGCTTTGTGTGACTAAAATCTATAGTTAGATAAAAAAAAAAATTGTAAAAATAATATATTGTTTTGAAAAACTAAAAAGAAATATTAATTGAAAAGATGAAACGATTTTATGTCCTTTCTAACGTTGTAGTTTTTTTGTTCTAATATCTTAAGTATTATTTGTCTATTAAGTGTAATTTTACGAAGTTTAATGGAGATTATCATTATTAGTTTAATATATATTAGTATGACTAAAAATTATACCCAACTCAATTAATAATCATAATTAACATGTGTGTGTGTGTGCTAATTCTATCCGATGGCTTGTTTCAGGGATCAGGTGTGTGTGCCTACGGGTGTCGTATCCGAGTGATTTTGCCCGGGCATGTTGAGCTGGTGTCAGACCAACTGCCTCCGCTATCCTCCAAACTGCCCCGACGCACTCTGCCACTGCCCCGTAAGTAAAGCTTTTTTATAGCTTGTATAAGCTGTTTAAAACCTTCTGTAACAGCTTGGTTTAGACGAACATGATACGATCGAGTATGATGTATGATAGGGTTTTTAGAAGAAAATTTTTGCACAAAATATATAAAAAGTCCTTTAGTCAGACTTAATACTTAATTGGTGTAGGTAGAAAACTAGCCTAATCAAATTGTGTTTCTACAGACAAGTTTGCGAGGCGGTAGGAGAGTTTGGCTGGCAAGGAGGGTGCAGACGTGTATTGTATGGACCAATGCATCGTTTATATCCACCGCGTTGGTCCCCAAGAAACGCTGTCTCATGTTACTAAGCCATAAACCTGATACAACCATATCACGTTTACAAAAACCTTCAAAACGACTTTTTCATACAAAAAATGTCCGATATTTTGACGCAAATACCTCAGTCACTAATATTAATTGTAATAAACAGTTTTTTTTTTAATATGAAATATATGTATATATTGTATATTTCACAAAACAGTCGTCGGTTATCCGAGCCGTTATCTTGTACATATGTATATTGTACCTACTCATTGATTTACTGGTTTTTTTATTTGCATCAATGTTTTGGTGCCATATATAATTAAGATTAAGATTTTGTATAATAAAATATTTAATAAATACATGTTGTTTTTTTATTATTAGATCTAATAATTTCAGTAAATAAAAGGTCTTGTTTAATTGGTATTACGACAAACCCTTATTTGCTTGATAAGGAAAAGGAGACGAATGTTAAAATATATAAAAAGGGACATAAACAAATAAAAATTTGAAAATATATTCCCACTATACTAGATAAACAAAATTAGATAGTAAAGTACTCCAATTCTAAAGGCACATTTTAAATTATTTTTTTGTCAATTCGTGCCTCAATATAACTTAATTTTCATAGAGCCTTATCAATATATCTTAAATGACATACTAAATACTAATAAAATCTTTTGTTACAAAAATAAAACATGTTTATGCAACGATATGCAAGATGGGTATTTTTGGTAAAGTCACTGGAGGTGTATTCCTTATAAAAAAAAAACAGTCACCTTTAAGGCACCTCTGATCTATCTGAATATTTGTTTCCCAAATTCTACATTGTCTTTAGAGTAGTAATTAGTTTTGCTTGTAACTCCCCCCATATAAAGTGTTTTCTTATCTCTCGACCCTTAGTGTGAGTTTGAGTGTTAGTGACCTTAAATTATAATCTTTATTATTTAGATCATAGTACCTTTTTACAAAAACCCTCAAACTCACATTCTATGCAATATTTCTTTGTGGTTTCAGAGTAGATACATAAATAGGTATATTTATAAACCGGATTATTACAGTAACTTTGTTCTAACGGTCTCTAGTCCTAATTCAATTTTACATCTGTCCTCACTCACTCAGTTGTTTTAATCAGTGGCGGGGGCAAGACCTAAATTTGATGTGGGCAAGACAGATTTCGCGAGGCCTTTTCTAGGGGCAACTTGAAGCTCTTACCTATACCTGCTATTTTTTAAAAACTTAAAAACGTAGATACTTTTTTTTACCCTTAAAGCTTTGGTTTCCTTCAAAAGATGTTAAAAAGCGTATTTTGTATACAATAAAGTAATTACTGCGTTACGTACTTATTACCAATTAAAAATATTTCTTACTTTATGTAAAATAGACGAGTACAGGTTCCGGTGTAATTACAAAATCACGAAAGAAAACAAAAACAATTAAAAAACGTCACTGTTTTCGGGGGCAATCAATATATTACTTAAACACTATCTATTTATTCGTTAATATTTTTAAAACATTGAACACACTATTCTTATTAAAATAGGTTAAATAATTCTGATTCCCAAAAAAGAGGGTTGATGTCAGGCAGGCGACCGGTCGTAAAAACACATAGCCAAACTAATCACAACATGTAAGGCAGACCCTGGCTATAGCTGGGAAAAATTGCCAGGAAGAAGAAGAACAAGATTTTTTTTAATTCTCGCTTTAAATTTTTTTGAGGCGCGAGGCCCTTAGTACCGCGAGGCCGTAGGCGGTTGCCCACGTCCGCCCACGCCTTACTGGTTGTTTTTAATATATAAAAGTGTACAAGTCTGGCAAGTCTGTCCAAGGCTTTTGTATTCTCACAAATTGTAGAATATCCAACGAGGTGTGAAGAAACAGCCAAATCAATTTATACATCTTATTAAACTTCAACACCAAAATATGGCCTATTGCTGTCTTGGAGAAATGTGGTACATTTAATAAACATATTTCTAATATAAATCTTTTCGTGGGCTTATTCAAGTTTGTCAGAAAGAAACAAAATTGAATATTGGGCATTTCAACCAACAGGTTATTTTAAAAATCTAAATTATAAAGAATGATTTTTTTTAAACGAATATTCAAAAAGTCTCTGTCTATGTACGAAAAAGATAGCCTTAAAATTTTATCGCCTCAAATATTTTTAAATATAATTACCACTTTCTTATCACTTTATTAAGTCATTGAATACAAGTAATTTTGTATTTATTTCAAATAAAGAATTGTTCAGAAAAGGACGTGGCTGTGAACATTTATTCGTGTTTTATAAATTAAAATGTATTTTCTCACTTTTGTTGGTGCTAATAATATATTTTATTATAGTTATACAAGCAAACATTTAAAATATTGAAAAAAAACAGAAACCAGAAATGTGGCTTATGATAAACCAAATCGTTTTTGTTTGCTTTCATGAAAAATTTATATTATAGAAAAACATTGACCGAATTAACAATAGAAATGTGTGAAAAAATATCCAAATGAAAAACTGATCGGATTCTATAAAGGTGTTCATCCAATGATAATAGTAAGAGATCCTTTACTTATTAGCACATCTGTGTCATAGACTATGATCATTTTCCGCTCAGAATGATCCCGAATGAAAACATATAAATTATATACAAACCTATTCCACGCAGATGGAGACACATTTAAACTATTAAAAAAAGCTTTGTCCCCTGCGTTTACCACAAGTAAACTTAAAAATATGTTTCCGCTGAGGTTGTGAAGTGTGCGGAGAAACTTCAGACACTTGGTGATAAAATTGTAGAACGGGGAGGAATAGTCAGCAGTGACGAGCTCATGTCACGGTTTAACGATAGATTTTTTGATTTGTTCATGTGGTATGGGTCTCGATTTTTGGACTTTTCGATGAAGAAAGTGTACCATTTTTTTGAATTTGCGAGGAGTTTTATTTTCATTTACCAACATGGAAGGCTACCGGAATAATTTTACAGAGCCATTTTTACATTTTTAAGCTACTTCAACGAAATTTCAATTTCATTTCAAAGAAGCAGGTTCAACTATTTTGTTGATTTAGTGAAAAAAGTTTGTGAGACAAGAAATTACAAAGCCCAGTGGCCGTCACGACTTCGTCGATCTCCTATTGGAGGTAGCTTTCAAATGGAAAACTAAAATGAGAGTCCAACGAGAAAAAGAATCCAGATGGATCCCCAGCTCCAATAGAGCTTGATCTTTCAGATCCTTTTAATTTTGCAGCCCAGGTTTATGGTTTTTTTCACGGGTGGCTTTGAAACCTCTGCAACAACAACAAGTTTTTGCTTTGCACCAACTAGCCAATGCATCCAGACATTCAAAACAGGGTACAAAATGAAATAGACGGATGTTCTTTCAAAATTTGATAATAAACTTTGTTATGACGCCGTACGTCGTATGACTCTATTGGAGATGGTCTCTTTTTGGAATCTATGAGGATGTTTCCGCCTGGAGGTGTACTAGCGAGACTCTGTTACAAAAAAATATACTTTTCCCGGAACGTCGACAACAATAGATCCCGGTGTTCACAGTTCTAATACCAGTTGCTGTAATGCATATGGATGAAAACAATTTTTGAAAATCCTGAGGAGTTCCAGCCAGAAAGATTTTCATCAGGCTATAAAGAGCTGAACAGGAGATATGTATATACTTTTTGGTGTTGGAAAACGAATGTGTATAGGTAAATTAATCAATACGTGTATATTATAATCATAACATTTAATTTTTTAACATTCCTTGCATTAATACTATAAGTATACAGAGATAAAAAAGGATAGGAGCTTTAACAGAGCGTGGAACTGGCGACCTAGGTATGGGTTAAAGTAACCGTTCACTTCCGCCGTTGAAGCTCCTCCCTCTACCTAACCAAATTTTGAAACGAAACCTACTAGGGCTGCCTTCGATATACGTTTTTTTAAGAACGAATTGATATTAGTTTTTGGACAGGCCTAGTTCTTTTTTAGAAGGTTCTGGAGAAATTTAGCTGTTATACCTCTCGCTCCCACTTCTATCGCGTACATATATACTACGAACCTATTCTTAATAAGTTTTTTTAGTGAGCTCGTAATAGTTATTTCTTTAGATGGCATGGTCTTCGGGGATGTCGGGTTTCCCAAGGAACTATAAGTTGTACTAACACAACGCGCTTTAAAGTTTGCGAATATAGAAATATGTCTGGTCGGTCACGAATATCCTCTGGGATTTTTACTTGTTGTTGTTCCGTCATTACAGTCCAGTTACAGTTTAAATCTTTAATATATCTAATGTTTTTTATTATTTTAGGTAGCAGTTTGGGACATATGCCAATCTACAGCTGGATTAGCCGCTGTACTACAGCGTTTTAACGTGGAGTTGGCACCTACAGCAACAAAACATGTTAAACCAGAACGCAAATATTTTACTCCATAAAGCGACAGGTGGTCTCCCCATTAAACTTGTACCGAGAATTTTAAAATCATAACTTAATAAGAAATATGTAAAATAAACAATAACTTTAAATTAGGGAATATCACTGTATACTTTATAAATAAAATAGAAAATGTAAAACGTAAACGATTAAGATTGCTAATATGAAATGTTAAATGATAACAATTAATAAAACTAATGAAATACATCTTGTAGTCTTTTTATTAATAAAACTTAAAAATAGTTAATAGTTCTCCTGTAGTCTACCAGTTTTTCTACTCATCAAATAAGTGTTTTTCTTTAATACCTAAATATTAACTACTTTAAAAAAAAATCTTATTCGTGATGGCAATACTAATAGAAAATAGTGATCGCATAGTACTTTTTGACGTTTTTACTATCAGCCGGTCAGCCGATGAATTTGTTTATGAAGTACGGCTAAAGATCAGGAATACTAATAAGGGAAGTATGGGGGACTTATTAGAAGAGGATCTTGAGTTCCGTGGAGGTACACTACAGCTTTCCTCTGAAAATTTACCTCCCGAAAATGCTAACAACCAAACGGGATAAATCTCCAAATATTAATACTAACACTCCATCGCATAATGTAAATCCTTCTGTGTTATCTGGAGCAGATTCTCTTACCTCTTCTTCATCATCATTTGCTGGTAAAAAATATTTTTCTTTTCTAAGGGTACAGCAGAATAAAAAATACATATTTTAAAATTATATTTTGATTGTCAAGGTTTCACCTATTCTGTGCATCTTGTCATATTATTTTATAGAATTTTCCCTTCCTAAAAACAATCGCTTAAAAAATATTAGAACTATAATTAGTGCTATTTAATAAACATTTCTCATTAATATCAAGATTAAACAATGATTTTCATAAATTATTAAATTCATTTTATTTTTTAAAAAAAAACAGTATTTATGCATTATAGATGCCAGAACAGATGGTATCACAAATGTCCAGGCTAATGCAGAACCAAGCCAAGGCGTATACCCTCGTTATGATGTTCCATTTGACAAGGATAACATAAAAGATTTTTTTTTTTACATTCCGCAAAGGAGTTGTTGAGCATGCTATTCAAGAATGCATAACTGCTCTGCTTTTCCCTGAGGATGGTGAATACTTGGGTTCCTGGCTATTAACTGAGTAGGTGACTTGAGCTTTAAAACATTTATTATTATTGATAAAAAAATTAATTCCAATTATATTGTAGGATTACACTGTGGGACAATGAAAAAGAGAGAATTGTTCTTTTAACATCGAGACTCGTCATGACAATAAAATATGATTTCATAGCTATGAAGCAGCTCGACTTCAAGAAAACATATCTTGATGATCTGGATACAATAGTATTATCGGAGAATTGGTGTATCCACCATCTTCATTAGTGCCGTAAGTATAGTTAGTAGTGACCTGATAAAATTTAATCAAATGTTCCTACTTATGATTTATGTATGGAATTAATTAATTTAAAAAATCAGTAATACTGGCCATTGATTAAATTATATTGATAATATTTATATTTATTAAAAATATATAAAAAGCCTTGACTTATTATAGACGACTTAATGGTATAGCTACGGGTGTAACAACAGTTGTCAAAGACTGTGTTATTGAACGTCTGTGTCGGAGACCGGGTCCTTCAGAAGAAAATAAACTGTTCGATTCCAAGTATTTTGAACCTAGGTACCTTATGTTGCTGTAGTCTCATTCACCTAATCTGTGCATCATATAAGTTTTTTTTGCTCAGTAACATATCATAGTCAGACATTAAATATTAGCTAAGCTTTTTACAATAGATGCATGTAATAATTAGTATATAAATATATTTTTTCATTACTCAGGTGAAAGAAAATATTTATGTAAATGAATAAAACCTTTTTCTTAATTTATTTTATTTACATTATGGTAATATTCTAAACTATATCATTATAAAATATAACAGTAGGAAGCCATTGTAGTAACAGTTTTTTAGTATTTTTTATTAAATAATAGCAAAAAGGAAAAATTTTATATGTACATATTATGATTTATGGATTTAAGTTACTAAATATTGTAGGTGCTTCACTTAACAACATATGCATGAGAATCTTAAAACCTCTTTGTATTGATGGAGCTATGCTTGAATATCTTAACAACTTTACCTAAACATTTTTTAATGTTTTCCACAATAGGGAACGCAATTTACGCGGAGTCCGTCTGATGTGGGAACAAAGGGGAACCATTGCCAATGAAAACTGCATGGAATCCATTCAGCCAGGATGTTCCCTTCATCACCTTTGCCTCTCATCCTATTTACTGGCATAAAGGTAATTAAGTGTATTTCAAAAATGGAACTATTATTACTGAACATGGCTTTTGCTTTACCATCCATACTTTTTCATACATACAGAGGGCGGTCTGCAAGAAAGATCAACATATGACATGGAATTGTTTGCCCAAAAGTTACAAAGAGCAGTTGAAGCTATAGGATCGGCCTGCATCCATCACTCTCCGATAGTGATCCAGAGCTATTTAGGACTGACATCACTGCTCCACAACAAGACCAGCATGGGTTTTCTTCAAGGTCAGGGGGAAGTTTTTAGTTTTTAGGTACACAATAACACATATATACCAGGCTGTGGATTCCATAGTAGATATAGTATTGGGATTATAATATGTTAACAGTAGTATAATTTTTTTATTTGTGAACATGACAATCTATTATGCCAGTATCATGTATTTTTTTTAATGAAAATCAGTTTATAAACAGTAGATATTGTAATTTTTCATGGTGATACATTTCGGTGTAAGATTTCTCCTACCCTTAAATTGTATAAGTAGATAGAAGTGTATTGTGATTTAATTATCACAAGATTTAAATTATTGAGTACTTGTAATTCTTAATAACAAGTGATTAAAACACATATTTGATGACAAATCAGTTTATAGAAGGTAATTTTTTATCATTGGTGGGTTGCAATTGTATTAACGATTAAAATTCTGTTAACATTGAATAATATAAAATGTTAACGGATCTAGAATTAATTAATAATTTAAATATTATCCATTCAATTGGACTTAATTTTAATTAAATTGCTTTTTTTAAGTATTATATATAGAACATTTATTTATTTAATTAATTATTGAAATAATATTGGTTTTATATAACATGTTGAAATTAGAATGTTTTAATATTTTATCAAATGTTGATGTTTTTTTTAAATTGATGGAAATATACAATATAATTTAACAAATGTTGCAATTATGTAAACACTTTTTTTAAAATTAAATATACATATATTGTTTTTGTTAATCTTTTAGGATCTAGGTGAAGAGATTTGAACGGCTCAATAGTATTCCTCTCACATATAGGAATGTTCTAAGAGAATTGTATTTAAAATAAAATCGTTATTCCTCTATGATAATGTAGCTTTTGCATCAATACCATTATTAATCATTTAATGGAATTGTAAGGGTTTTTCATTATTCCAATGACGCGTCAGTAATTTCCCATTATGTATATTTTTTGTAAGTTTTTTCATAGTAACAATATCGGCCTTTGTAATTGTAAGTTGTAATAAATTCTATCGTTGTATGAGTTTTTAATAACGGATAATTAGTTTATAATGTTCAATGTTTAAATGAGATTTAAAATATATGTATTTGCTTGAATGCAATTTTTAGTGTTAAATTATGGATAAATTTTCCGAATCTAAAGCTCTTTTATTTATCATCGAAATCGCATATACCTGGTAAGGACAAGTCAGTCCAAAAGCTATCTTGTAATGTCTGTATGTGTGTGTTTCGTCAGCACATACCTCCCTAACAAACCTAATGTTTTCTACCCATGAGAGGTCTGTCCTAGATTTTTTTTTCGATTTTGATCTCCTTCTTCTTTTGTTTGTTGATTTAATATCTTTAATATTTATGTTATTGTCTGATAATTCAGAATCTATGTGACTCTGTTTCATAGTAATGTCGTTATCCTTGGCTAAAGGATGATTTTTTGGTTTTGTATGTTTGGCGTTTTCGATTCGGTAAGTTCTTTTACATGAAGATCATTACAAGAAGCGTCTTGTAAATTATTTTTTAAAAATTTTCTAAGCTTTTTAAATTCTGCATGGTATGGAATCGTGATTGCATTCGCCTGATGCAATGTGAGTTTCTTCAGATCTACTGGTTCCAATAGTACAGGGTTGCTTCGTGTTTTTCTCCACAATATTAATATTATTAACACAGGAAGACTTTATATAATCAGCACATTTTATTTGCAGTTCAGTGTCTGGAGATTCTTTGGAGTTATCATTGTTCTGAACGGGCGTCAAATTGCTCGTTTTAATTGTTATTTTTTTTTTGTAATATTGGTATCACATGGCGAGTGTTCATTTATTATGTGCGTCATGTATATCTGAAGTTTGTCGATGACCTAAATAAATATGGATTGTGGATTAGACACCTGGTTTTAAATTCAAATACACCACATATATATGGTGTATTTTAATGAAAAAGGTATGAATAAATTTCATATTAAACTACCTGAAGCGATCTCTCGTCTCCTTCGCATATAAGTTTAAGTGTCGTCACTTCCATCAAGAAACTCCTTGGCTTGTTTTGATGATATTAACTCGTTTTTTATAAATATGTCTATCGACTAAAATACTTATTGCCATTAATCTTGTTGTTGTCTTTTTTCTGAAAATATGCACTTTTAGAATTAAAGGTACATAAATATTGTGTAATAAAAAATTATGTATGTGTAATAATTTAAAACACACAAGATTAGGTACCTATATTTGTACAATGTGTCGTGATACTTTCTACAAATATTGATAAAATTATGTTAACGACGTATAAAAATGAGACGTAGAGACGTTTATTCGTTACCTAGGTTTGTTCTTATGATGGAAGTAGCAGATAAAACAATAAAGCGATACACACACATGCATCTCATTAGATGCATGTTGTTTACATGCAAAAGTTATTTTAAGTTAATATAGCAAGTTGTTTTTAAGTAAGTAAGTAATAAGTGTCAGCGATTAGTAAGCTTAACAAATACACTGAGTGGCCATAATAAAAAAGACTTGGTAAAATATATTGCATAAAAAAATTAAATGCTTATTATCTTCAGAATAAATTCCTCACTGATTGATAAATGTAATCGTCACCTGTTTTTGTACTTCCCTTTAAACTTTCTTTTGTTTGTCGCGGACATAGTTGTATTACCTTTGGGATATAGAAATCTCGTTACGTGTAAATGTTTTTGGCAATTTGGCGCCATTTAAAATAGCCGTGTGGAAAAATATCGATATTTTTTTGGAGATATATCGATGTCAAATATGATCGAATTGTTACGAAATGATCGAAATTGTATTAAAAAGGTTTTTTTTGTTATGGCCCTCTACCACAATACAAACTCAGGAAAATTCATCGCGGTCATTGTGATCCGAACATGACTAAATTGTAGCAAATATTGATGGTATGCCTACGGAGTAAATCAATACCTAGATGAGTCCTATGATGGCCAGTACCTAAAGATAATCCAATATTTAACTTAAAAGTAGGTGCCTACGTAAAATGACAGAAGTATATTAGACCACTTTTGCGTGGCTTCTGATTTTTTTTTAATATCAATATAAATATTTTCAAAACTATCGATATGGATCGATACTTTATTGCATATTTTACATCCTTAAATGTAAAGTTTTTTTTTCAATAACACCTTAAGGAAAAAGTTTTCAGCTTAGGTACATAGAAGTACACATATTTATGCAAATAGATAATTTAAAAATTAGCTAGAATTCCACGCAAATCCTGTATTTGTAGATAATTTTAGTTATCGGGAGGATTCAGTTATATGAATTTCCTTTTTATATGTATTATGATAACAGATGTTATAACCGTTTACAAGTTTTAAATCAGTTCAGCTTGCGCCACACAAGCTAACAATTGTTTTATAAGTTGAAAAATAATTACAATCTTAATGGAGCATAGTGATTTATTAAAATGATTTAATTTTTTGTTTCTTTATTTTTGCTATTAGAATTACTATTTGCCAAGGTGGCTACGGAGGCAAATTACGAACGGACAAAGATGCGTAAGTTTCTTTTATAATTAAGAGATGAAAAACTTTTTGCTTGAGTTTTTTTTGTTAGTTCATACGAACGAACGAATAATTTTACAATAACAATTATTTGTTGACAAATACAAATAAAAAATAAAAGTTCTAAACTTCAACACTGGCATGATTAAAAGTTTTATTATCCACATTCGAAGGTCTACATTATGGAGCCTTACCTATTTTTCTTATTAACTATTTAAACCCAATCAAAGACTTTGGCTACAAACAAAAAACTGTTGATTATTTTAGCAATTGGATATAAATTTTTCTATTACCAAAGTGAAATGTTGTAATGTAATAAATTATTCAATAAGATTTCAATATAAACCTTTTATTGAAAGTCTTTACAATTACCTAATTGGAAAAAAATGAAAATTAATAAAATAAGTTAAAATAAATCAACGACATTTGTTTCATACAAAGTTCATCGTTGACCACAAAGCTTAATGTTAAATTGTTAAGCAATATTTGCCAATTGTTCCGTAGGCTATAGCAGAACTTTGCACAGGATATCGTTTTTAAGAATTAATAATAATCATAAGTCCTTGTAAATACGAGGGTCAAACTGAAAGTTCTTAGACTGGCCACTTATAAACAATATAATAAATAAAATAATTCTAAATTTGAAAATTGAACTCTTTTGCCAATTTACTGAGTATATATTTAATATATGTATTTGGTCATTTGTTTTAACGATTTGGCGCAAATTGAAAATTGTCTGTGTCACGTCAACATGGAATTTAACACGAGAAAATTTTCGTTGCAATGATTTTTTATGACTTTAGATGTCATTTTAAGTCAACAAGAAAGTTTATGATAGGCTACGATTGGCCTTTCACACGATGTGGGCCCCATCTCGTGCGACTGTTTACACTGTTTTAATGAGTTTAAACGTGGTCCGCACTAATCTCAATGATGATTTACATTTAGCGGTCAGGAAGCGATTCGAGAAACGATTCGTGTGTATGAAAAGCTGTGGTAAAAAATTGTAATTGTTGTAAGAAGTAAAACTTGTAGTCAAGACTACAATAGAAATGATTTCAACAGTGGAATCAGAAACCCCACCATTTACCTAATAGTAAAAATTTATTTCATGGCCTGTTATGATGACTTATTTTCGCTTACTTACTACTCTCAGTCTTACCCAACTATCACTTACAAGAGAAGTCCCCAGAGTATAGTAATAACTATCATTAGTTTTAATTTTTTTATTCTAAAAGGGTAATATATCGTAAAAATTGTTTTACAATGTTGTTTTAGATTTACCGTCATTTTTACTTATTTCTAATGATGATATTTTTTTTGTCATTAAAATTGACATGTTTTAATATAAAAAATGATGTTTCAATTATTAAAATCATTGTTATTTATAATAATCCGTAATATTTTTCACTACAAATATTATGTTTTCAAAAACAGACAATAATATAAACAAAATTTATTATATATGATTAAATGATTCGGACGAATATACTGCAAAAATAAAGTGCCAAGCTTCTTAGAAAAAATGTTTTTTAAAAAGTTCTACATTACTCAGTAGGCGGGAAAAAAACAAGCTGGAATCGATAAAGTTCATACAATAATACGTACGACATGTGTAACATTTTCGAAATTAAATTATAATTTAATCGATATAAAATATGTTCGCCATTCTAATTCATTAGCTATTTTAGTTGTAGCTATAATTATTAAACGATCTAATAATATCGTATTCACAAATACATAACCTTACCGACAACATATTACCTATATCTCCTATAAAATCCAAATAACTTTGGAATATATTATGCGCAATCAACCGCTCAAAAGTATAAATACTGAAAATATTCGCCTTATTTTTAATTTATATTATGATAAACTCTTTTAACATTATTTTAAATTACTAAAACGGTATCATGTTTTTGTGTTACTTGAACTTTTCTTACGCTATATTAACTTCTTCTTCCACTAAAATATTATTTGGACATAGAAAAAAAAGCTTGTTTTTGCTATAAGCCTGTTTACTATGAAAGACTCTTAAATATTTTAAATGTTTCATGCTAACAGTCAATCCGATGTACGGGCGTCTCCCCATGCTCCACCATCAATGTTAATAATATAGAGATTTGGACCTACCGGCTTACCCAAGAAGATACTCAGCGCACTAAAACTGGATACGGTGGCACAAAAACAGGGTATGCCGGCACCGAAACGGATAGGGGGGGAACAAAAACTGGATATGCCGCACAAAGACAGGCTACGGTGGCACTAAACAGGTATACGGTGTGCACTAAAGGTCTGGTTTATGCTGAATCAATATTCGATTGGCATTCTTCTGGCTCCGCGTAAGGATTTTAAATTAATGCTCTTTTTGTTTCAAAACTAAGTTGGTCATGAAATATATTCCGTTACAAATGGGCGTATTATTTCTTATACGTGTAAATTAAGCTTACTTCTTCTTAATTCATGTTTTCTTTTTAGACCACTTATACACATGAGTTCTCACGGACGACAGCCAACGACCTTACAGCGTAAGTAATTAAGAAGGCTTATTTAAAATTATTTTTATATAAAATTAATGTCCGCACAGGCTTATACCAAATAACTTTCTTTTATTATTCAGAAAAAAATCTTAGCGTCGTTTTATGTATAGTATACGTATCCCTTTATTTTAAATAAACCTCTATTGGTTTATCATAAAAATGTATTTATATAATAACAATTAAAAATATGAACCATGACTATCTAAACTAATATTATAAAGAGGTAATATTTTTTTTTGTTTGTGTTTGTTTGTTACGATAGGCTCAAAAACTACTGGACCGATTTTAAAAATTCTTTCAACTATTATGGGTTGTACACCTTTCCAAAGTAACATAGGCTATATTTTATTTTGAAAAAAATTAGGGATCCTTGCGAAACGCTTTCGATAACATAAACCACGGTCGATAAAATCACTATTGAAATACCTTAAATCACGTGCGCTGCAATAACTATTGATGTTGGAGCAAAATAATGTACTACGATTTTATTGACCGCATTATTATCTACAGAACAAAGTCCGCGGTAGTGTATATCTCGAAGTATGTTAGTTACGACGCAATATAAAACTTTTATAGTTTAACACACTATGTACATATTCATATATATGAAAACCAAGTTATTATTTTGTTTTATAACATAACGTACATAGTTTTTGAAGTAAGAGATTTTCCGCACTTTAGTTCTTTGGCAAACAATAGTTTGATAGAATTAAGTTTCATAAATGTACTTATCTCGTTATTTTTATATGCACAACAGTTCAAACATAATTATGGTATATGTATCATTTCATATATGTACATATACATATGTATGAAGATCTTTTAAAAATTTACACGAGAATATATTTTTATATGCAAAAGATTATATCGTTATTATCTGTTTTAATGATAATTCAAAATATCTAAAGTGTTCTTAATGTTTTCATTTGAATATTTCTATGTAGTACTCAGTGGTGGCCTAGTGTGAATTTACTGGGCCCGCCTCCTCTTTTGCGGAGATCGCGGGTTTCAAACCTGGGCACGTACCAATTGTGATTTTTCGGAGTCATATTTACTTTCTGAGAGTATTTAGAACACCACTGACATACGGTGAAGGAAACATCGTGAGGAAACCTGGACTTATAGTTTTCACAATTGATAATGTTTGAAATCGGTTTGAAATCACTAACCTGTCTTGAGCAGTGTTGTGATTTAATGCTCAAACCTTCTCCATGTGAGAAAGAGGCCATTTCTGGTGCTCAGCAGTGGGCTTCCTGCATAAGGCTGATGACATGTAGTACTATTAATCATGAATAACTCATTGCCTATTTTGTTTAAAACAGCGACATCAGATATGTAGTAAAGTTTCAGCACAAAATGATTGTCGTATAATAGACTTATATTATTTTCTAACATCCTTACAGGATATGAATATTTTCCTTTACACTCTACATATTTTAAGATATAGAATGATCTAATTGTAGTCAAACGATAAATTATATTAAATTTGCATGTATGTATGCTTCTCCTATGCAATATTAGTACCTACTGTTACCATTTCATACCTCGTCAATTCTCTGAGTGATATCAATATAAAACGACTGAAAAAAAAAACTTATTAACATTAATCATTGCATGTTCTTAAACAACAACGAAATATTTGAAATTAATACGAAAGTTTATATTCCAAATCTGAATCGTCATCTATGGCCCATATATCTATTAGGTATCTGTATAAAAAATAATTACACATGATCTGTGAGTAAAAAATCTATTACGTGTGTTTTATATTTTGTGTTGTGATCTCGCACAATTACGCATTTTACCCCTCGATTTAGGTACCGACCTATTTATAGATTTTCAAAAAACTATGTTTCTGCAAAATACATAAGATCTTCATTCCAATCTGGGAGTCTATATGTTTACATATATCCATTGTTTTCCATACAAATACCAACACTGAAATTTCAAATCATTATTATCCCATATTTTTAACTGGTCCTATCATTGAATGATATCATGACATAACGATTATCCTGCTTAGCGACCAAAATACATAATTAATTTATATAATCGTAACATTATGACCTTATTGTCTCTTGTTAGTAGCTTCGAATGAGACCCTAAATTGTGACAGCAGTGCGTGGGATCTATCTGCTCGTCTAGGACGGAAAATCAATTAATAGCACAATCTATAAATTAAAACGACCCCATTAATGGTTCACAACGATGTTTCACTGATAAAATATAATTGGCCACTTTCTGGATATTATGTATATGTAGAAGACTGATATTATCATTTACATATATTCAACCAGTATGTTGTTTATTTCTGTTTGATACAATTATCGTATAAGCATTTGAACGCTAACTACTAATTCAACGTCAAATGTCTTGAAGTTCCATTTAGAGATGAGATTTAAGCCGTTTTACCCATCCTTTACTATACCCTGCTAATGGACATACGTGTAAATTCAGAAACATATAAACTTTGGAGAAGTGGTTTTCAAATGCGTTGTTTGTGTTAAATACATGTTTAAATCTTCAAGATTATTATTAGTTGAATGTTATTTCTTATTAAGACGTTCTCAAAGATAAGAATGAAGCATAAGTTCTCATATATTAATTATTCATGTTCACACACGACGTCTTGTAAAAAAGGTGACTTCGACTGGTATTTTTGGCTAGCGCATTTATTATTTGAAAGCATCCTTTTAGAACTTGTCAACCATCAAAAAAAAAATGTGTAGTTGGAGAAAATTTATTGTTAGCATCTTTCTAATGGTTTTTAATCAACTATTTTTTTTTTTTATTTCTCTTTGTGATAATTTTCGCTCTCAGTTTAACGGACATGGATTGTACTCAGTTGGAACGTCTAATGGACACAATTTTCCATATAAAATATTTGAGTTATCATGAATCATTTTGTAATGATTACACAGATACTCTCGTTCACCTTTTATAATTAAAATGATTTTATAATCATCAATCCAATTCGGTTCGAAAAAAAAAATTGGTGGCATCTTAAACGATAATATTCAAATATGCCTCCTTAGAACAATTTTTTTTATTGTTCTTATGTTATTTATGATTTAATACATTTTTTACTCTAATATTTTACTTATTTTTCTTGTCACCTTTTTATTTCCCGGGACTATCTCACTCAGGCCCGTATAATAAGCAGTTTGTTTGTATTTTTATAATATATTTAGATGATTATAAATAATCTCTGTTAAAGTTAGATATCACCTTGATTTTCAACTACGTGTGAACAGGCTTTTTCTAAATAAGCGCTGTTAGATTTTTAGTTTTACTCGAGGCTGCCATTTATGTGTCTTACTGACTATGTTTGGACAAATCTTTGTGTTTATTTTTCAGTTCTCTCTTATGTCCATATCATCAACGGCATGCGTTACTCTTATTTGAACCGTGCTTGTAAAAAAAAAATGATGAAAGCGTTGATTCATCAAACAAGGAGTGTTAGTTTAGTGCAGACCTAGCGTGTATTGCGTCTTTTTTTATTGTAAGAGGTGGTTGCGCCCTTCATAACAACTCCTTTTACGTATGGTGGCAACAATTTGAATCGACCAGTTCGGTGATAATAACGTGCTCAAGTACGGTTTAGTTTATTAAGTTCATTATTTATTGATATTGTATAAATGTCATAAATTAATTTTTTAAAGAATATAGATATTATTTATTAGAATTCCTATAGAATCTACATGAAGTTCTGAAAGTCGTTCTCATTCACTAACACTATCCTTGGGCTTCTATTACAAACGATTCACGGAAAAACTGATGAAACCTCCAATTGTAATGTTATTAAGGGAATTAAAAATATAGTGGTAGTTGCACATTAATATTATTTATATTGATAAGTCCTATCATCATCCTTTAGTAATTTCACATTTTCTTTTATAGTATACCTGTGTGACTAAACGAGTTAATAGATTATGTGCATACTTCACACTTTAAGTTTTGTATGTTTTGACATACATCTAGTGAGTAAGATTGCATTGATTTTAATCATTCACTATTGGTACGAATAACCCATTTTTAATATTATGCAGAGTAGAGAACGAGACAGCTACAGTATTTATGTACTTACCACTATTTTAATTAGGATATTCTTTAAATTAATATTGTTTTTTTTTGTTTTTGATTCGCAAAATGGTCAAGTGGAATGCAAAACAACGGATCTGCCGTGGAGCACCAACACTTGTCAATGTCCACCGGGTTTTCAATCGGACAGTACTCTGCGAGTTCGAGAAGAAACCGTGTCTCGTGTTGTTCCAACCCCTGCCCAGTGAACTACACAGATGAAATTCTCACAAGGAAGTAAGCATATTTTTATTTGCGCATTAGAGGCAAAAAATGAATTTTATATCAAGATTTAATTTCTTGAGTAGACGTAGAAGGAATCTTGTAATTATAATTAGCTTTAAATAGAAAACAAGTCATCTATTTTATAGTATTCTTATATTCGGACATTGTCCAGTTATTAGATCGATAAACATGTGTGTGTAACTTTTTCAGCTTTATCCATACATTTGACTATAAAACGAATCCCATTCTAAGAAATATTTCTATTGGTCCAGTTACTGCCCAATTACTTGCGCGGAAGGCCCTCTAAATTTCCATAGATGGAACTAACGGTAGTTCTAAACATGCTAAGTGCATTAACGGTCAATTGGACATACCCACGTCGTTCTGAACGCTTACATCAATACCTGATTGTTCCACTGCCGGTGATGTGAATGCCTGCCGTGCCTAAACATGGAGGTGTTTTGTTTTGTCCGTCATCTGACGTCTGTCAATGTCCCGCGGACTAATATGAGGTCCCTCAATGCCAATATGGTGAGTAAGTGAATATATTTATGGAAACGTATTTTCCACGTATAATTTGAGATTAGTAATTAGTACGGAAATCTTTCTAATAAATACTTTTACACTCTGCTTCCAAGTGGTTTGGGAATGTGTCGTAACATGGCTTTCACCGGTCGGCTACAACTTTTTCCCGGTTGACAGCGTGATGAACGTTTTCCTGGCAAATACCTAGACGCTTGCCGCGTCGGGAGCATCTCCATCAGTTCTGTCTATCAGCGTGATTGGAGTTACAACTTGCCTCTATTCTATCGGGTTGTTTTTTTTTGTGTGCCCCCAGCCGTGAATACCTAATTGTGCGTTTTTTTGTTATTTATTCTGATTCGTTGTAATTTTTGAGCCTTAATCTGTTGACAATCAAGCTTAATATTGTAATCTTTTTTCTCCAGGTGTATGTCATCGTATGTTTGATCACTCCATCCAAATAGCAAGAGCACAACCGTGTAAGCGTACTTTTAAATGCTTCCCTTTTGTTGTTTTGTTCGACATGTCCATTCAATTTTCTGCGTGTGTAATTTTTAAATTCGTAAAATTTTCATTCATGTGTGCAGACTCCTTCCTTATGCTCTAACATCTGCGTCAAACCAACACAATCCGACATCAGTGCACAAACAAACAGGAGCACTCTTCTACAACAAGAAACTAACAAGTATGGGCTCCTCAAAAAACCAGTTACCATTGTAGTACAAGATTTTACTCCAAGAGTGGTACTTGTAATAACATGTGGCAGGTGTTTCATTATAAGATCCTTCGATGCAAAGTGATAGTAGATATAGGTTTTGTTTGATTAAAGTTTTACCCTCTACCTCTACCATGTGTGTGTCGCATAATCATTTACTGCTGCGTAATATTTTAATCATTTTTCCATGCTTACCAATCCGCCTTGCCAACATGGCTGTACTTGCGTGTGATCCTCTGTAGAACCTAAGTTCACAGTCGACGTGAGACACCCTGAAATGCGCACTACGGTGAACTGTTCGTCTGAACTTACCGTACTACTTGCAACTGAAAAGATGTGTGCTGACTGTTTGCGGTCTGTCTCTGTGGTAAACCATTTGAAGTTCAAACATAAGAAAGGTCTACCTACCATTCTAATTTGTACTTTTTGGGAGACTCATATGGCTCAAAAATTACTTTAGCTCCTAACAATATAGTGCTGCTGAGTAACACGTCTACTGGTAATCTAAGGATGACTGTAGTTATCACCAGATGACGGGTCCGTCCTTGTTTCGCACCAGCAATCGTCCTAAGGCCCCATCCCGGCAGCTCTGCCCGCAATCCGTGCCTCAATGCCTTCTGACGCAACTCATTATCAACCTCGACCTGGGACTTGACTCTCAATTGTGATACCAAAGTAAGATCATTTAGCGGTACAATTAAGGACTACCTTTCTTTCATTATAATAATTTTTATTGTGTGTGCGATATATATCTATTCACAGAACTCAGTCTGCTGTGAGCCACTGATAGCTATCAGTCTTGGGGGGGCTATGGTCTACAAATACCGTGATAGGCACTGTGTGGGAACTCCTGGACGGGAACCCCGAAAACGATATTTATGCGCGTCACATCAGAAAAACTAGTAGCATGTTGTGACTAAATCTTGTTCACTTGATTGCGTCCTTGTGGGTCACTCAATCAGCATTAGGACTCGTAGGAAGGAATTAAAAAGTAGCGATGCTCAATTAGGTGTCTTATATCTCTCCTAGAGTGTATAAGACTTTTAAATTAATTGAATAACCTAAAATCCTTACTACAGGATACTTGTCTCCTAGCAGTTTCCAACTGAGATCGACCAGTGTTATTTCCTAAAACAGATGAAGACATTAAGAGCGCTCCTACAGTTTCTGGTACCCAAAGATATTCACCAGGAAATAAGGTTTTCCATGCAAGGTGATTCTCTAAGGTGATATAATATGAATCACATATTTCGGGCTCAAATAATCTTATTATTGTAAATACAAAACAAATTCATTCCACAGGCAATGCGTTTTATTGTCAGCAATTTATTGGAAGCCTGTCAACATGGGATTATTGCGCGTGTCCCTCACTAGCCTTAGAATGTGCTCTATGTTTTATTTTTCATTCATTGAAATAATGAGATACTTTTTTCACATTAAGGTTATGTACAGTGTTAAACTTATTTTTAATATTGATTTTAGTGCTCCGTCAGAAAAAAGATAGAGTGCTGCGGTGTGTGTCGCGTTACAAGTGTCAGTGTACGACTAAAGAGTGTTTTTTTGGAGACACCGGGCGTTTGAAGGAAATTTGGTGCGCTCCTGGAGGGGACCGAATCTTGGACACATGCCGTTAGTTACTCACGTTATTTCACATATTCCCCATTAAAAAATAAATATTTATAATATCTTCTATAGATCAGGAATTTCACCATACAATTATTAATTTATTTTCTAAGGCGTTTTAGGAGAGCTTATAAATAAAAATTTTTCTAATACTTATTTTGTCGTCTTCAAACCCAGCGATGAGTATGGCCCGAAGGGTAAAAATACTACACAAAAAGTCGTTTCCGTATGGGTCCGGCCGTCCAGGCCATCCTGTGGTGGCCGTTCCCGACAAGCGAGGAGCCAAACAAACTCTTCGTGTTGGAGGCAGGGGATAGAAGGGCGGCTGCTTCCTGGTCCTCAGAAGGTGAAAAACTGACCCATGCTGAGGTGGCGGGCGAACTGCCGTGATCAGAAATCTCGTCTGTGTGTCCCGCAAACGGTGTATAGGGAGGAACTCCAGATAGTTTTCCCCCCTCCCCTGGAACTAGTTATGTCACAAAGGAAATGCAACAGCTTATACCTTGGTAGTATTAAAATTCGATATATTTTAACACAAATTTTTATATTCAAAAATAACAAAATATTTACTGCGTTTCTCGTTATAGTAGGTTCCTTGTTGTTATTCTCTGCATATAACAGTAGGTATATATTTGTTTGATTAGTACTCTTTTTAGCGGATGGGCGGTGGGCCCAGACAAAAGAAACAAAAACAATAAAAACATAAAAAAAAAACACACAAAACACTAGAAACCTAGAAACAAAAACAATAAACCGACAACACAGATAACACACAAGAAAACACACCTAAAAGAAAGATAAACAAATGGGACTCTTGCAACAGCTCTGCTGCGGTGCGGCGTGGGGGGCCGCGTTGCGCGGAGCTCGGTGCGCGCGCAGTGGGGTGCCCTCAGTACTCAACACAACAAAAACCACCTTCGGACGGACTGAGATATGATTTCATGGGGTTTCGGGCATGGGCCACTGCACACTAGCCATGCTCATAGAGTGTGAGAACTGGGACAAACCTCACCATTGACTTCGAAAACATGTATCCTGCTCGGGAAGCGCTATCGAGGTAAACACCAGTATATTTATTTAATACATTCTTCTCTGTATCCAAAATCTTTACATGGTTCAAAATAAATGGTGGCTAGTTTTATCAGCGGCTAAGATTCATTCATCAATCAAATATTTTTGTTTCTAAATGATATTCATTACTTAGATTTCTGTTTCGATCACTCGTTTACGTCAATACTAAGAGAGTTACAAATAACTAATATTAAAGAAAATAATCATGTGAAAATGTGCATGTTAAATGTTTCTCAGGCCATGAACCTAGCTCCTTACAAGGGAGACGGTAAGCCATCCTGTACGAAAGCCGTCAACTTAATGTACAACGGCGCCACCATACATCTGAAGCAGGGCGGGTTCATCCTCGTCAATGGCAAGGAAGTAGACTCCTTACCAGTCAGCGTTGGCGATATTAGAATACGAGCTGCTTCATCACTGTTCCTCATCAGTGAGTCACTTAGGATCTCTTAGTTTTTCAGTAACATTCTCTTCATATGCTTAATAATGAATTATCCTTTTAGTCCAACTACCAATCAAAGTTGACCTCTGGTGGGACGGAAACACTCGAGTGTTCGTGGACGTGCCACCGTCCTTCAAAGACAGTACTAAGGTATGATCAGGATATTGGCAATAAACTATCCATTAAAAATAAAAAAAAGTACTGTTATTAACGCTATTGTTTTGAATGTGAAGGGTCTATGTGGAACATTTAATTTGAATCAAAAAGACGACTTCCTCACTCCCGAAGGGGATGTGGAGCAGACAGCGCTGGCCTTCGCTAACAAGTGGAAGACGAGGGAGTTCTGTGATGACGTGTCCACTAAGGAACCTGAACACCCGTGTAAGGCAAACATGCAGAACAAGGACACCGCAGAGGCATATTGCAGCAAATTGAAGAGTAAAATATTTGAATGTAAGTTCACTTCACTATATTTCGTACTAGATGAAGGATTGTTTTTATTGTAAGGTACTTTGAATTTTATATATAAAGTCATGTAGGTAAGTCGGAATCCTAATAAGATATTTCATAATTTTTAAACTCATTAAATCATTGGTTAACAAAAGCATCCTAGCACACTTCTCCAATTTCAGAACCATTTTTTTTTCCATACTACCTTCAGTTTGTCGTTTTAAGATTACTGAACTTTTTTGTACTATAAATCTAGGTTATCCCGTCCCCCTTCCCTTATAAAGAACGACGGAACTATTTTTTTTTTTAAATTTTACAGAGGCGTAGGGTGGTTCGTCATCGCTCCTCTCTCGAAAAATTGTTTGTCGAAATATTTTTCAATACAAATAGAGCTGTGAAATTCTCTCCAATACTATCACAATGGCACTGTGTCAGGAATACATACAACTAACTAAGTGCATCCTTGTGTTTTTAATCACCTTTTTTTTAAATATTTAATAATAAACATCATTTTATTTATACTTAATCTATCTTGTATTATTCCTCCACACACAAACTTGAATCACTGGTATTGTGACACGCTTCAGACACGATAACTACGAGGACTTGATTTAGATAAACGACATGTGTCGCGTGCTCTGAGCCGTTATCACAGCTATGCACGATGCACATACTGAAACCCATCAAAATAGAGGGACTAACGCGCCTCCCCCCCTCACAAAACCGCCGAGAGCAGCACTCGAGGTAGAGAGTCTAATTAGCGGGGGCCTTCGCAGCGCAGAGTCAATGGTAGACAATGGACAGAGTTAACCAGACCACCTCACGTCAGGAAGTTAGTCAAGGCTAGGCATAAAGCATGATAATTGGGGGACTCATCCCTCTATACTGATCTAGTAGCCAGAGATAATCAAGGGTATTGGGGTGTATCATAAGTTTCATAAGTAATAAGCCTTTAGATTATTGCAACCTACATACGACTGAACAATTTTTACCTACACCACCCACCCCCCCTCCGTCACCAAATTTCATATAAGATCATTTGTAAGTGAAATATCCAACCATTGCCATTTCTAGTAGACATAGTTATCGCTTACGCTTTTTTTTTTTTTTTTGTGCCTACAAACGGGCGAATGGCTAATTTCAAAAATCTTAATTTTAATTCGGATTTCCATGTAAGTTTACGCAAAACACTATTTTATTAAAGGGTAGTTTTATTGCCTCAGAGTTACAATGTAAGGTGAGGTCAGGAGTACCCGGTGTGTGGTTACAGTTGTCTGAAAGGACAGTGCTGGGCGGAGACCTGGCTTAGGTCGCTCCCGGCGCAGCGGACTGTCAGCCGAAGTGTGTGGCAGGGGTGCGCCTGCCCAGCTTGGGAACACAGGAATATTTAACAAAAATAAATGTTACGTTAATTATACGTTAGCACTACTATACATGGTACTTACTGGCACGAATGATTGAACTTATTAAGGAAATATTACTACCCCTTATGTGACTTTTTTATTTGTTACGCCTATAAAAAATACCGACAAAAACTATAGGACACCCTTTTTTTGCAGCCTATGACTTTGGATAATCAACAATTATCGAAAAACTAATTCCACTATTCCCTGTATTATTGTAGGTGTTTGTAAAACAAAACAACCGCAAGTGGTGATGTAACGTGGGGGACTTGGGTTCGCCGGCTAAAAAAAAAAACCACATGGAATGGAATTTAAACCCGGTTATAAAGAGGATTAAGGGCTGGAAAGCGGGATCTCCTTGTCCACGCATATGATGCGCATAGCACAGTCTCCGCTCCACGACTGTCAAATACAACCCCTCTATTCTATCTAACCCGGTTCTTTTAACTTAAAACTCTCGTCTCAACCACTCTACCCCAACACATGCATGCATTTAACAATCTTAAAAAATAATAAACATTTGCATCAAGTATTGCATTGAGACCCATACACATTAAAAAAAAATAATTAAAAAAAAATAAAAATATGAAGTAACGAATGATATAAAAAAATATAAAAATTGCGCATTATCGTCCCTCCAAACTACCTCCAATTCTTACTTTTCCTACACTATAATGTTATTGCCCCGCCCCTTGCCCTTCTTCCCTTGTACCTTCTCCTTCCCCTGCATCTCTTATTCCTCTATTCCCAGTATTATTCTTTCCGTGCAAGGACGGCGGGTCGGGGGCCGCGCGGGGCAGTGGGGGACGTGCCACCAGCTGCAGATGAGAGAAAAAACAGTATCAGCTACTAAACCCCGCCAGCCGGAGGACCCTCGCCGCGCCAAGACGGTAGGTAGCGGGCGGCGCCCTCCAGAGAACAAGGAGTTCCACCACCGGGGAGAGCGCTCGGGGACCCCTCCAACTGCAAGGGGCCGGATATACATAACTGATGAAAGGAGGGACACTAATATAACTGGAATCGGAAAGGAATTTGGGAGAGACACATTTAAACTTTTAGGTCTTCCACAAATTTAAACTTATGTGAAAAACTAATTTGGATTAAATGGGAATGGGAGAATAAGAATTTATCTGTTTTTTTTCCGATATTTAGATTATATAAGATTTATTATTAATCGTACTTGCGAAAAAAAAATGCCTCCATAGCATCTAAAGAAGAAACAAAAAAAATACGAAAAAAAAAATAAAAAAAACTAAAAAAAAGATAAAAAAAAAAAAAAAAAAAAAAAAACAAAAAAAAAAAAAAAAGACAAAAAATCTAAAAAAGAAAATAAAAAAAAAAAAAAAAAAAATAACAAAGAAAAATAAAAAGATAAAACCAAAAAAAAGAAAATACAAACACACAAGCTAGAAAAAAAGAAAAATAAAAAACCGAATAAAAAAAAATAAATCTACCCAAAAAAATAAAAAATAAAAAAAAAAAAAAAAAAACAAAAAAACTAAAGAAAAACTACAAAAGAAAAAAAAAAAAAGAATAAAAAAAAAAAAAAAAGAAGGGCAAATAAAAAAAAAAAAAAAGAAACAAAAAAAAAATCAAATATTAATAAAAAAAAAAAAAAAAAAAAAAAAAAAAAATAAAAAAGCCAAAAAAAAAAAAAAAAAATTAAAAAAAAAAACTAAATAAAAGAAAAAAATAAAAAAAAAAAAAATAAAAATAAAAAAATAAAAGAAAAATAAAAAAAATTAAAAAGTAAAAATAAAAAAAAAAAAAAAGAAGATAAAAAAGAAATCTAATAAAAAAAAAAGAAAAAAAAAAAAAAGAAATAAAAAAAAATATAAACTAAATAAAAAAAAAAAAAATAAAAAAAAAAATAAAAAAAAAAAAAAAATAAAAAAAACAATAAAAAAAAAAAAAAAAAAAAAAAGTAAAAAAAATGAAAAGAAAAAAAATAAAGAAAAAATAAAAAAAAAAAAAAAAAACAAAAAGAATAAAAGAAACAAACAAAAGATCTAATAACAAAAAAAAAAAAAAAATAAAAAAAAAACTTCTAATCGCCGCCAAAACCATGTTAAATTAGAGGCCATCATTAACAATATAGTCGTCTCCAATTATTTTTGTAACCACTACTTTAAAAATTTAATGATAACGTAATGATAAAGTAATATTACCTCTGACAAAACTGTGTTATTTAGTATGAAAACCGACAGGTTCGTCAGTACTAAACCTTGTACTTGCAAAATTCACTCCCTTTATACCTCTTCCCCGCCTCAAAAAAATTATAGCTACAGAGTATATCAACAAAGATTATCGGGTAGAATCAGAAAGAAATAGGAAAACCTGAGTCCTTGTGGGTTAAGTCCATTCTATTGATCGCTTTATCTTTCCCTCCTTATTATAATAGAATATTTCTAAAGGTCTAAACTTTCTGACTTGGGTTAATTTTCTTAATTTCATGTTCTATCATCAATAGCTTCTCTGCCGTTTGATGGACTATTCTAGTCTTTATATATTCCTCCCTTATATTAGAAACAATAGTTCGCCCACATGACAACAACGGTTAGTGACCTTCCCACGAGTGTCGTCCGGGAGGCCATTGTATGTAGGGCTATGTAATGACAGCGGCGGAGCCTAAGTACGACAAAGTGCGTGCAAACCGGTCTGAATGTCCATGTAAGCAAAGGCGTTAGAAACTATCTCTCAATATGGGAAGATACTATGAGGACGGATGTAACCTTTGGGTGAGTTAACGTAAACAAACTAAAAAGGGGGGGGTTTTTATTTCTTTTTTTTTTTCCCGGCGACTTCGTTTGCGTTAGATTACAGAAAATTAGAACTGTTATAAGCTGACTGACTGGACTGAACTCTATACTGCCTCCTTGAAGAGTTTACATAAAGAATATTTTGGATTTGACCAACTTATTTTTTTTTTTTCAATCGGATGAAAAATATCCTATGTCCTTTCGTTTGTTCTAAGCTATCTCTCCAATCAGCCAAACCCGTATAGCTGTTATTGAGTTATAAATAGTGTAACTAACACGACTTTCTTTTATATAAGGTTAAAGTCAATTTAAAGCAAAAAATAATTTTTTGGAGGCGCCGGGTATCGATCCCGGTACCTCTCGCATGCTAAGCGAGCGCTCTACCATCTGAGCTACGCCCCCGTTGTAATGTTGACGAAAAAGCACGTATTAAATCTTATTAGATTACTTACACTGTATAAATCTAGATCAACTTTCTCTTACGTCAAGAACAAGGTACGAATCATGTCACAAGTATTCAACAATACGTTGCCTTAAAACTGGACATTTAGAATAAAATTAAAGTGTCCGTCTGTGGTCATATAAGCGATACATATAGATTTTGAAAATTTTATTTATGTCAAAAAATATTTTAAAAAATAATGTTCTTTTGTTGCCAGTCTTTTTATTTTTTCGGATTAGTCTCTAAAAATCCTGTATAGATTGTAATTTAAGTTCCATTGGATGACAGAATAACTTGAAAAAAAAATTTTTTTTTTAAAATGACATAAAACTACATTATTTACTATTTACTACATTATACTAATTATCTCGGTACATATTTCCGATATCAGATAAGCGTAATGTAATCTATATTTTGAATACAATATACCATTTCCGCGATCAAAGCCGTGAGCGAGAGCTAGTATGCTAATACTGTACAGATTTGTATGCATAAGCAATATTTTTGTTGCATAATTTCATAACTCATACATTTATTACTCTTTATTAATTGTGTTAAAGAATGTCATTCATTTAAGCATAAATCACTTCAATACGTCATATTATTGGAGAAATCAATTATGAAAAATAACACATGATAGTTAATAGACTATAAAGCATCTTTTTTTACCTATGTTGCAAATATTTTTATATGAAAAACTGTTTACACTCCGTATGTAGTGCGAGGAAGGAGTAAGCATATTGAAGTTAACTGGATTTTAAAAATGTTATTTTAAAAAATCAATTATGAAATACAATAAGCAAGCTGTATAAGTTATTAGTTTATATCTAGTTTGATAAGTTAATATCTAGCCAGAACAATCGTGACATCTACATATATTGTATAGTATAAGAAATAACATTAAATAATTATTTTAATATATTTCTCAAGAAGTTAAAATTATCTTTGGTGGATTCTACACAGCTCGCTATTGTGTGATACTATTGTAACTTGATGATTGTAATTAAAAAACACTCACTGAAAGCGTTGATCGAACAATATTCTGTACATATGTATGTATTACGTACATACTACATAGTATACAAGGTCAAAAAAATAGTATTACATAATGAGATCTAGGCTTTCGGGAGTATTCATTTAAATAAAAGTAATATTTTTTGGATTTTACTACGTTTTTTATTATTATAAGCTACATACTGTCAATGTTTCGGTTACGTTGCAACAACCTTCATCGCAATACATACCTATATGTATATTTTGGATTCTTACAAAATCATTAAAAAATATATTTGTCTTATAAAGCCAGTACTTTTAATCAATGAAAACTTAAACCTAATATCTTAAACCAAACATCTTAGAAAGTACATTCAATTTACAAACACACAAATCGCTTCCACAAATACTTTCCCGCGTAAAAGTGTACAAACCAAATGTCATCGCTTTAACGTCACATCGGGTGCGTTTGGGAATTTAAAAGATCGGTTTAAATAAAAATGTGTTCCCTAAATATATTTATAAACGTATGTATATAAGTGTTTGTCTATTGTTTCCAGTTCTTGTAATGGTGGTAAGTGGTCGTGCACGTCTCGTCCGTGTGCTGGCGTATGCAGCGCCTGGGGCGACTCACACTTCACCACCTTCGACGGACAGCACTATGACTTCGAAGGAGTTTGCACTTATCTCTTCGCTAAAGGACTGTCGAACGGGAAAGATGGGATTCAGCTTCGAAAATACAGAGGTTCGCTATCAATAATTCATCGACATAATAAGTTTATCATGGTTCATTACATGATACATACATTTTTAGTATTTAGGCAAAGTTAGACGTTGAAATATCATGAACCTCAAGACTTGCAACACTATACTACTCCCATGAAAGGAAATTTGAGAAAAAAATTATCTCATCGATTATATTATTTCTATTTGAATATAATTGCTGATATGAGTTATAAAAAACAAACGACCTGTTTAAATAAAAAAGGACCTTTTTTTATTTTTTTTTTTTTTTTTAAAAAAGTAAATCTAACAAAAAAAAAAAATGAATTTTGGAGGCGTCCCGGGATCATCGATCACCGGGTACCCTCCTCGCATAGCTAAAAAACAACAAAAAAATCGAAGCCGCTCTACCACATCTGAGCTACGCAGGAGCCCCCCGTTGTTTTACTTTAATATAAGAAATACATACAGTAGTTCCTAAAATACTTTAAGTAAACTTGTGCAAATGACCATTGTACGTGACAAATGGGGCCGTTTCATTTATCGCAGCCATCTTTGGTCAAAATCGAGACCAGTGAATTTTTACAGTATCATATACTAGCTTTCGTGTCCCCGACCCCCCCCCTTTACACTTATTGATTGTTATATTCCGTTAAAAACTATAGGAGGTAGATGTGCAAGAAAAGAATATTACAATTAAATCGCCTCCGGACCCCTTAACATACGCAATGATTGACGAGTTTTTCATTCGTAAATCTTGAACAAACAAAAACATTACAACGTATTTAACGTCAATGTTATTGAATTAAGTCCCGGGGTTACGTCTTTAGTATGTAGCTGTGAAGTTTGCTAACTTTGTGTTAAAACAAAAGAAAAAAGGGCGTACGGAATAATATAAAAAAAATATTTCTAAAATTTGTAACTATCATTTAAACTGGTCACTTTTTAATGAAGTTACATTGAAGTAATAATTAACCTGCATTCAATACTTTAGTGACAGTATTAATTGAAACCATTTATTGGTGGGTTTTTTAAAACTTGACCATCCTATCTTAAAAATGTTTTAGAGAAGTTTCAAATATAATTAACTTTGTGGTTTAGGGCAATGAATTCCGTCAGACGATAATGTAAAAATACTAATTAAATATCAATATTTTCTAGAATCAATGACCAACTACCAGCACGTTAAGGCTATATGGAAGAAAAAAAAAACAATTTAAGATATAAAAAAAAAAAAAAATCATATTTCATACCTATCTAGATATAAATGGTTTTAAAAAAAAAGATAAAAAATTTACTACAGACGAGCTACGGGGGGGGCCTTTTTTTTTTTGGCGTGAACAACAGGCGGCTACCTGCTCAAAATCTGTCACACATCGAGTGGGTAAAATGGGCGGAGCGCGGCAACAAACAACTCCAACCCCTGATGAATGAACTGTATCCCTCACCTAAGAGCGTGCAACTACCTGATACATCCCAAATTGAAACACGGTAAAAGTTTATATTTCCTCAATAATTTTTGTATTATGTTGGTACAATGTATTAAAATGTAAAATTTATGGTCGCCAGTATTAAGCTGCGGTTTGCTGGAGCATATTGAAAAATTAATTCATTTATTGTGTTCTCTGGGACGTCCCCTCCATTGGCGCCAGTCTTCAAATGGGATCGTAGGGAAATACGGGTCCCTATGTGCAAACTGGACATCGATGTGTCAGAATAGGTGTCCCGTCCCATTACATAGAAACAAACACTGGCTCAATTTTTATTAAGAGGAATACCGTTATTCCAAAAAAATACTATTTTTGTTCCATAGGTCAGGGGGCGGGATAGGACTTCTTGCGGAGAAAACGAAAAAAAAAAAAAAAAAAAATTTTTTTTTTTTATTTTTTTTTTTATTTTTTTTTTTTTTTTTTTTCAAACTCCGGACATGCGCAGACGACTTTCCAAAATACGCGCCAAAATCGTGTGTGTAGGTTTCTTCTTCCTCCAGAGACCTCGTCCCTCAATACTTTCTTTTCTTTCGCCGCTCCTGGGAAAAAAAAAAAAATGAAAAAACAAAAAAAACATAAAAAAAACAACTAAAACCCAAAAGGTCCTAAAACCGTCAGGAAGTTACAGAAAGGTCTAGAACTGTAGCTAATGGCACGACCTTATAAACACGTACTTCTTCCTATTAAAATAATGAGGACTATTATGTCGATTACTGAAAATACATATTTGAATTTATTTAGGATGCACTGTAAAGGAGCGAACCGCCTCATAGAGGACGCAGCCTGGGGCCAACTCTAGTAGTGTGGTGTATGGGTTTTTTTTTGAAACGATTCCCCGTTACCGACACGCGTCCTACCTCTTGGATCTCTTCTGCTCTTCTGTCTCTGAAATCACCTCTCTATCTTCTCGACCTGTACAATGTTTCGATGATTAGTCGAATCTCCCCCTCACATTTGGTCTGTGCTCACTCGGAGGCCTACCGGCCGCCGGAGGCACGTGTCGCGTTTGCGCGAGTCAGTAGACGCGCTGCCGCCGTGTGACTCCCGCGCTGATGTGTGACTGGCGCCATGCGCAGCTTATCCGCGGCGTTACCGCAGAGCAGGCCTGCGCCGCTAGAGGAGTTACCTTCAAGATGGCAGTTCACGAGGAAACTCTGTCGTCAGTATTAGTTGTTGTCCCAGTAATATTAAGGTCCAATAAAACATATCATGAAATTACTCTTATTAAACCTTTTTTTTTCTTGTAGGCAATGCAATGCGATGAAGAGAGTGCTCGAAACTAATAACGAGTGCTTTCACGCCGGTGTCCAACCAGAAACTTGTGAAAACACACTTGATTACGATAAGATAAAGGCGGCTGCTACTTTGTTGTGCTACGAAACTTGCGTCGAAAGGTATGGAATGTAATCATGGATTATTAACAATAAAATAATTAACATACTATTCTAATTTGGTGCTTTCATGTAAACGAATTTTGTTTCTCGCTTCTAGTGTTTGCAAACTACAACGAAAACAAGACCTGACCGGACCGGTCACAATATACTCGAAACCATTCTCTGAAAGAGCTGTGTACCTCGAGCCTAAAACAAAAAAAGTAAAAGTGAAGCACGAACAGTGTTGTTTGGCATGACCCTTCCTGACGGTAGACATAGTGCTTGGAGTGACTGAGGTCATAGGGAAAGAGGTATAGGCTATGTCAACACAAACTTGTAGATGTTTTCTAAGAAAGAACTGAGAAAAAAACAAAATTTTGCAAGCTGGACCAACCCATGCGCCACCGAGGTAAGAAAATATATAAGGTAAGGCAGTGACAAGCTATGAATGTCATCGTCACAAAATTCTCTTGTTTGTTGTATTCCTCTCTTCTCTCCATACCCCACGCCACCCTCACCCCAAAACAGCCAGATACCCACGGTGTACCTCCAGAAAACTGAATGCCTTACGACCACCTTCCATCACCTGTAAGATAGACGGGGTTTGGACCGAGTGGATTGCACAAAGCAGAAGGAACGCCTTGAAAAATCACTGGCACTCAGAGATGGAGCCTTCCCGTACGATGAACGAAATCCCCCTGCCAGAAAGTCAACGAACTTGTGAGTACAATATTTTAGGAAATATAATTGGGGTTTTTGAAAAAAAAAAAAGTATTGCATTTTTTTTACAATTGTATTTTAAAACTTTATTATTAATTATAATTGATTTTTTTTTTAATGCAAAAAAACTTGAAAATATTTTTTTTTTTTTGTTTTTTTGTTATTTTTTTTTAATTAATTATAAGCAATTAAAAATTGATAAAAATTCAAAAATAAAATCACGTGACTGTTAAACGCGCCATGATTTGGTCACATACAACTTGTGAAACGGTCATAATGTTAAAGCACTTTCATAATAAGTACAGTGTTTATGGCTTATTATCTTTAACCTTGATACATTGTAAATCTCAAATTTAATTAGTGATAAAACGATTTTAAAAGTTTATTTCCACTAACAGTGTGTGATAAAGGATTTATAAAAGCAATAATCGTATATATTCCTGATGTTAATATATTTATGATAACTATTTTTTAAAAAAAATGACGTTCGGTTTAATTCTGCGGAATTCGGAGGGGCTAATGCAGTCAATGTAAGTCTGTTTACAAAAAAACTATTCTTAAATAAAAATAAGTATTTATTCTCTATTAAAATAAATTAATAATTATTTCATTAAATCATTATTAATAAAATGTTATTATAAACCATTATAAAAAAACCAAATAACATATACTTTAAAAATTTAAATGTAGTCTGATACAGAAACTAGAATTTTATAAACTTAGAAAATATCGATTAATTGAAATTCCACTTACTAGACAAACATACATGTATAATTGTAACTATTTAATTACTCGCTTTGGAATTATCAATTAAAAATTTTTTTATGCTAACGATTCTAAAGGTTTATGATTTTGGAGCCCAGGTAAAAAAAATTAATTACTGAACATATACTTATTCCATTTATAACACTTAGATAATAAATAATGAATAACAATATTATTAGAATACTTACAAACGAACTGATCTTCACAACAAAAAAAAAATTGTATTTTTGTTTTGAATAATCTTCGGTTGCACTGCTTGACACCATTTATTTCGACGTTTTTCGTCTTGTTTGAACAGTTAAAAACATTTTTTTCAGGAGTTGTTTTTTTGTAGTATTTGTACATAATGATACAAACACAAAGAGCGATAACTTTTGAGTTTTGACATTTGTGATTATTAACAATTGCCTAACCGAATTTACTAGATAACAACTCAGAACAACACTGGACTAATTATTATGTCTCTGGATGCTACAATGATGCCAAAACTAACATTGTTACGGTCACACGCGCTGGTGGTCTATTCGCGAGCTGTCGGCTGGTCTTCTGTTACCTGAATTTAAAATTAAATTTTTTATGTTGAAATAACTTTTTAATTATTGCAAAAAAAATTAAACATAAAAATAGTTTTGTTATCAAACTTATATATGATTCTTTTCCATTTATACAACAAAAAAAATAAAGTAATTACAAAAAACCCAATTAACTCGATGCGCCCCGCGGGCGTTAACCTAGATTTTCTGGGTGATGATTCCGAGATTTCCGAAGCTTTCTGTATACAATTTTAATTAAAATTAAAATTTTATCAAAAATTGGTTCGGCCGTTTGGAGCGTGTGAAGAAGTAAAAACCACACACCACTCACAAACTTTCGCCATTATAAGATTAGTAGGATTAAAATAAAAATATAAAACGTATATAAAAATTTGTTTATAAACTAAAACCTTGGAAGTATAAAGAAATGGTATATCTTCATATGTTTTCTAGACCATCGGCTCTCCGAATGCTGCAAAAAGGAGATGATATGACTAAAGATCACGAGTGTCGACCGTCGGCGACCACCACCGCAGCCCCAAAGAGACGGGGCTCAATGTATGAATGTAGGTTCTGGAGGAAAAGGCTTGATATGTTCTGAACCTTGAGACAAAAATTGTTCAGACTTCGAGATACGAGAGTTTACTGCGAATGCGAGGAAAGTGACGTCATTGATGTCTAAACCTGTATATAACTTTATGGCCTTTTCCACTTTTTTTCACTGTAACTCGATTCATTGCCTGAACAATTTTTGGATAAATTTTTCCAGAGCCCCATTCCAATGCTTCGGACTTCGTCGCATCCAAGTTACCCTCACCCGGACGGAATGCTCTCAGGGTTTCTACGAGTGTACTCCGGAGCCTGGAGCTCCTGGGGACCATGCAACGCCGTCTCTCAAGAACTGTGGGGAGGGCCTCGTGTACAACCCCTACCATCATGGTATGCGACTCTGGCCAGCATCTGCGCGCGTTAATAGACCCCGAATGCGCGAATATTACCACAACCGGTACTTATTTCACTATCTTTATATGATAGTATTTTTCTGTACTTTGTCTCTAAATTTAATTTATTCGTCATACCAACAGGCCCCACTCCACAACTACCGTCGGGCACGACCGCTCATTCCGTAATGTCACAGGTTTGTATGCCATTAAAGAAAATAATATTATAATTATACATATAAAAGTACTAAATAGACATCTCATTGTTGTGTATCTTAAGGTTCTCAGAGTCTTCTACGAACTTCCTTCTACTTCGACTGTGATTCCTTTAGGATTATGTGTAAAATATTGTCACATGGAAATATTGAAGGGACATTAAATAATACTTTTTTAAAGCCGCATTTCTAACACAGATGTGACAAACAGCAGTGTGTCCTCCTCATCAAGTTTAAAGAGGCTTTCAAGGAGAGTAGCGCGATTCCCGTGTGAACAAACATTGTGCGACCACTTCAAAGCATACTCTACAAGCTGAAAGGACAGGGTTTGAACGGAGAGGTATAAAATCAACACTACATCAGTAGAATCAATTTTTGAATTCCTTAAAGAAATTTTTCTGTTTTGTTGTCTGTTGCAAAAAAAACACTATGCACTAAGTGTAATACCAATACGTTATACTTTTTTCCTTTTAATACGCACTTCAATCGTGTTTTCAGAGAATGTGTTTCTGGCTGTTTTGGACGTGCCGGTGTCGATGGTGGAGTGCGGGTTCGGTGCCCATGTGGCTGTGGATCGGATAAGTTACATGGGTTCCCCATCAAAAGTGACTGCACCTGTTGATGACGACGGATAACATTATTTACAGTTCTTAATAGGAAAAAAATTTTTTGTTACCCTTTACATATCTTCAAGGAAAACTTTGTGTTATGTTTTAATTGAATTATTACCAAATAAAAATATCTTTTATGTATTGGGGGACTACATTTCTTTTATAAAGAAATTCAGTAAAAGGGTTGAAGGAATTCTTTATGTTATAATCAAATGAACATAAACATGTTTATGTAACATTCCTTTCTTTTAGCCCGGCGGATTGTGTGGTTTGTAGAGGGGTTGCCGAAAATGTCAATGCCTGCGACAACGTGTTGAATTGCGATTCCTTCTGAGTGTGGTTTAATCAAGACTCCCCCCGATAGAGGGCTCCACGCCACGCTTCAAACCTCAATCAGCACTACTCCCAATGTCTACCAATGTGACTACAAACGAGTACTACACCTACTCATTAAAACTAACTCCCAAATGTCTGGGGCAACTTCCAGTGACAACTTCTACGCAACCAAAACAAACGTGTTCCCTACCACCACTTCCACTCACTCCATTGATAATTTCAACACGACAGTAAATCACTAACCCCATGAATGCAGTCCCGATAGGTAAGTGGAAAAAATGTAATAACACAACCCGAAACGGTAATGATCTTCATAGTTACATAACATTTAAATTCTCTTGAACGAATTTTTTTTTGTGATAATATAGAAGAGTTATTTAATTCAATGAGGCAAAAAATGAAAAGGTAAAAAAATATTACTTTTTAATACTGAAGACATGCTTTGGTACCAGGTATATAAATCTGTTGTGGTCCTGACGAGCCGCTTCCTTACACCTTCATTTTTTTCAGCGCTAGTTCCTCCGCCAAACAATCTATTCCAGCCGCAATTCCGCAGTGCTAACGGACATCCATTGGACGTCTCTGGTAAGTGGGAACTAATATAGTAGTTTATCTTATACTATTTGGGTTAAGTTAAGACATTCGACTTATTTGTTTCATAACGTTTCTGATTAGTACTAGAAAATATTTTTAATAAATCATAATTGCCTTACACAATAGCTGGTAGCTGGAATCCGGCCCAACCATGTGACAAAAACCAGTACATTCAAAGTGGAACTACCCCAGAAGGAGTCAGTGTACGGTATAAATAATTGCAAGGTAGTCCCTTGTTTCGACCAAGATGTCCACCAGGCTACGGACGTCTATGTTATGGAGATGATGGAAATGTCTTCTCACCGGTCAATGGGACCCGACGGGACAGACGAGGTTAAAAAAACTGTTAAATTATATTGTAAAAAACAAAACCTTTTATTTAAAATTTATTTATTTTTTTATAATGAAATATTATTTTCGATGAGCCATAATAAGTCACAGGTTTTCCGTGGACCATTAGATAAACAAAAAACCATCTTAAACAAATGATCGAGCCGCCTATAGAAGCGAAAGTTTGTTAAAGCAATGCCGACCACCACTTGGCACGATCGAGGGGATTTTGCGGTTGCGATTGGGGCTTCATCGGTTGCCAGGAAGTCAATATCTACGACTAGCACTTCAACAAAACAACATCTTACCACAAACACTTCTACAACAAACAGATTTCTCCTTAAACCCGGAATGGACAAAACAACAAGCCAGTTCCGATTACTACGGTAATTTTATGTATTCTTACCATACGTTTACAATAAAAAAAATATATATAAAAAAAAGTTTTACTTTATCTGCTCCAAAGTTTTTCAATTCCAGCTGGAGCCCATACAGTGTACGGAGCTAGCAGCTCAGGAATCGGGGAAAAACCTGCCGAATAGATATGATAGGAAGTAAAGCTCACAACAACGGACGCGCGGCCGCTCCTTCAAACTGAAACTCTGAGCGAGGATTGGACTACGATATACAAGCAACTCCCGGGGGAATGGCTCATGGTCAGTGCAATAGGGGCCCAAGAAATTCTTACATTACCATAAAAAAAAATATTAAAATTCTCTATACCTAATAGAAAAGGTTTATGGAAATCAGGATTCTTATAAAATATTAATGTCCTCCCAGTTTTAAACTTCACATCGCCCCCGCCAATAGAACCCGGGATCAAGACGAAGGGTGGTGCTAACGGCTGGGTCAGCGGCTTAAAAAAAAAAAAAAACGTCATGGAAACATCAGACTTTTTCGACCTTCATCCCAGCCATAGGAGCCAGCGGTGCAACCCAAGCTGTTCCCGGCCCAAACTGTGACGAGGACACAGAAGTCCTCAACGAGATTAAGGCCTCCGATACCACGAGCAGTACTTGAAAATTTGTTACAGATTCGTTCGGTACAATAAACATAGAGATGAAGGGTTCGAACCTATGGGATGCTTTGAAACCGTATAGCTAATGATTAAATTGGTCTATCTATGCTAATATTGTACTCGTGGATATATAAATAAAAAATGTTTGCTTATAGCAACTCGCTGAGCCTCCCAGTGGACCGAGCATCGTGACACTGCCCTTGTCCCCTTTGCCCCGGGGTGCCCACCGCGGCCTGTTGCTGCCGCCAACAAACACTTACTATGACGGGAGAAAAACTGTGTAATCACGGGGACCAGTGTCCGTTGTCTCGTTGGATTATATAACGGAGTTATGATATTTTTTTTTTTTTTTTTTTTTTTTTTTTTTTTTTTTTTTTTTTTTTTTTTTTTTTTTTTTTTTTTTTTTTTTTTTTTTTTTTTTTTTTTTTTTTTTAGGATAGAAACTCATCTGCAAAGTACAATTCTGTAACAGTAAAAGATGTGGTTATAAATTCGGCAGACATTACAAATTAACTAGAATATTGTTAATATAGGCTTACTAGTTAAAATGATTTTTCTAAACTTATAATTATGAATACTATTTTATATTCATTGAGGAATCTAAGATTTTTGGCGGAGTTACAATATATTCAATTTAATGAAACTAATATTTGTCGGATATACTAAGTGATTTATTTTTTGTAAAAAATTACAAAATTACAAATCGTCATCAAAAATACAAATCGTGATCATGAGCAGAGAATTGGAGTGTATGTCAGTTGGGTCTGTGTTATTTTTATCAATCTACAGCCATCGATTTCTTATTTTTATTGGGGGTACGTTTTTTGATTTTAATGTTTTATATCTTTGGCAGCGTAACAGGGGTGGTGCCATCTATAGCGGAGGACGCCTTGGCTTCGCCCAGTGCGTGTGTAAGCTGGGAGGAGTTCCCTCCTGCAGCCCCGGCCGCACAGATGCCGCTGTTGAAGAAGTAAAAAATTTTCATTGTGCCTTACATTCATTTACCAATTATTTTCAGATTATCTTGGAAATATACAGGGTGACTGGTGAATTAACTATCGATACTTCGAGGAACGTGGGATATTTGACGGATCATGATATGTAATGACAAAAAAAAAAATTTAATTATAACATAAAGATTATAAATAAATCTTAAGTAAAGTTAAATCAAACGTTATGTAATTAATAAATCGTCGTATGAAAACCACCCTACAGGTTCAGGTATACACACCACACAAAACACCCGCGTGCGGCGCAGTGGTGTTGTTATCATGCACCCGGCCGCCACGCGTCCACACTTGGAAACACTTGAAAAGTGTTGGACACTTTATTTATTTATACAGAAATGTTTGTCAAACAATTTAAGTATCTATTTTTTTTTAAATAAATTCGAATGAGAATCATGTTGTACGCGTGTTCTTGTTAAATATTGATAGTTAATTTCACCACGTCACCCTGTATATTTATTTGCCTAGCTCTAAAGGTACATCTGGAATTTATGGACTCCAAAAAAATCTCAAACACATCAACAAATTGTTTTGTCAAAACAGGAATCTGGGTGCCCCTACCGTTAAACGGGAATCCTTGCAAGTGTCTCTGCGAGCCGTGTAATAACGGCCACTAAGATCTGTTCCTTTACGAGCAAAGCTGTGTCTTCACTTTAGGAGAAATGGTTTTGCGATGGACTCCAGGGGACTCGTCCGGACGACTGAGCGGGACTGTTACCACGCTCGCACCAGTTACCGAGACCGTTGTCACCCACGGTGGTATCAAACGGTGGCTCATTACACACACGCACTACTGAAGTGACCACGTTAGATCCTATAACAACCACCGAGAAAAAGTGCCGTAAAACATAATCAAACTCATTGATATATCATGACAGGAGGTTAAAGTGCAATAACAGATATTCATATTCTAATCTTCCAAGCAATATATAAAAATGCCGGAAGTATTAGCATTCGAGCTATTAAATAACAAAATTTCTTGCACAGAGAAAAACTGCGACCGTGGTCTAGGTTAAGGAAAAAATGTAAACGCCACGAAAAAATAGGGGGAGAAGAAAATTTTCTAAACTAAAGGAGGACCGTACGCCAAGTATTAAAATTAATTATTATGAGGATTGTTCCTTTAAAGTTTTCACATATTGTTACTTTCCACCACAGATTTTATACATTTTATGATATTGCTCTACTTCATATAAAATCATTTATTTACAGCCAATGGAATGTCCAAAGGTGGAATGTCCGCCGCGTTAATTTTGTCAAAACAAATTCTCGACTCAACCCACGTACTTCGTCGGTCTTCAACGTTCCGACCTGCCGCCCAACGAGACCCAGGTACTCCTACCAGAGAGACTACAAGGGCGGTTTCTCTAAAGGAGGAAGACGTGGATACGCTAAAGGAGGTTTCTCTAAGACTGCATACTCCAAAGGTGGGATTTTCGAAAGGAGGCTTTAATGGGAAGAAACCAGTTTACAATGTGTTCTAAAAACATTTTAGAACTTCTATTTTAATTTAAAACAAAAATACTCTTGAAATCACCTAAATAAATTAATATTTCAAAAACATAATTCCTGTCTTCTTCAGGTACACGAATCACCTCAACAGAACGAAAGCCTTTACACTGGACAAGCCCGGCTCTAAGCAGCGCCAGCCAGAGTAAGCAGCAGTGTGGTAAAGTTCAAGTGCGTGCCGGCGCTCCCCCCCTCCCCCCCGGCCCGGGCTCCACACCCGCGGCCGTGGTGTGCTCCGCCCCAACATGCCCCAAGCAACTACGCGCTCAAACTGGAAACACGTACCACTGGAGACCAACCAGTGGTCCACAGTTAGTTTCTAATATAATTCTTTTTTCATCTTTAAAAATATCCTAATTATTAATCATTTTGTTTTTTTAATCTATCGAATAGATACGTGTTGCGTGCCTCCTCCCGAGCGTCCGTCTGTTCTGTAACGTGACCGGGGACGAACCTTCACAACCTTCGACGGCCTCCGAAATACAAAATATGAGTGTTTGCTTCCACATTCTTGCAAGGGAAAATCGTTTGGGCGCCTGGACAGTTCTGGGTGACATAATTTAGCTACATAAGATTTAGTATTCAAAGAATGCAAAACTAAAAATTCTATTACAAATCCTATGACAACATGTTCAGTTCGCAAGAAATGCCGATTGGAGGGATGTCCGCTAACGAACTTTTCGTGTGGCAAGATGACCAAATCATCCTGGTCAAACCGAAACCTCATGATCGAGTACGACAATTACGAGTACACCGTATAGAACAGACCAGCAAGATTCTGTTTCCAGAAGAACAGCTTCCGACGTTTAACGTCTCGGGAGTGGAATATCGATTAAGTCCAGGAAATACAAACTTCACGGTTTGCAGTACAGTTCAGATGGAGACGGTCAAGATCGGGGTGAGACATTGGTTTGGAACGAAACTTCTTTTTCTTTATACAAGAAAAAACACATTATTATATTTGCAATTAGAATAAATTAGTTTGTATAAAGTTATTTCGTGTCCTTTACATAAAACTTCGCCAGTAAAATACGACCCTATGGGTCGTAGAAGAATACATACATACACCAGAATACATTGTAAATTATCCAGGTGTCTTTCAATGAAGTACATGGGTCAGGTGGACGGTCTTTGTAGGTTTGTTTGACGGGGACTCGTCCAACGACCGCTCGCTGCCGGACGGTCGGCTCGCGGCGGGGTCGAGGCCTTTCGGTCGTTCCTGGGCCAAGCCCGGCCTGTCACTGACGCCTGCAGGGACTAAGGTCATCCCTCCAGAGAAAAACAGAAGCGCGTTTGGGAACCTCTGCAAAGTTATCACTGTGAGTGAATGCAAGGTTTATATTATATATTTCATATAACTGTGTTGTTACTAAGAGCTCATAACTAATACCACCATAAAAATATTTTCATTTGTAATAACGACGAAGTGCATGGAATCCATAAAGATAAGAGAATAAATAAATTTAATTAAAAAAAAAAATTGTTACAATAACTAATTTGTGACAATTTTTCGGTAAGATGTGGTGATGAAATTGTATATAAATATATTTTTTCACAGCGAGGAACCTTTATCTCAATGTGCGAAGGTGCTCAATTAGACAAGTGGGCGTAGGCATTTGTTTGGAAAAAGATCTGTAAGTGTGCGGAGCTTGGTTATAAACGGAACCAAGATGAACTGAAGAGAAGTGTCCGCTGTTTGTTGGTGGAGAAACTGGTGGCGGAGTGTCTGGCCGCGGATAAAGAACATAGATGTGACCGGCTGGAGGATCAAAGATGGGCTGTCGTGAGTACCTTATATATGATACTAGATAATACTATACATAATATGGACGTAGCGATAAATTGCAATAGTAAAACCAAAAATAGAAGCGATCGAATGGTTATGAATAAGATCATTAAAAGATTTAAAAAAAGTAGTAAAAATTGGTAACCCGCTTGATATCAGCAAATATCAGTTTCAGTTCTAAAACGGAAATTATCGATTGTATTGTAAGGAAAACACGAATATTCCTAGATATAAAAAGAAAAAAAACCGTATATAGTTTTAGCACTACATACATAAATACATGCTTTATTCCAGTTGGATTATTATAATTAACTGATCTATTAAATTAAATCGTGTCTGTAATAGCCGCGGAATGTCCCGCCCCTCTGGTCCAATCGGACTGTTATCGTCGCGGCTGTGAGCCGTCCTGCGCACCCATCACGTCAGGGGCCGCGCGCTGTGACGCAGCTGAACGGACAGTGCTCTCCACGGCTGTTACTGTCCCGACGGAAAACTCAGGAAGGGAGGGGACACTTGTGTGGCGCCATCTGACTGTTTGGACTGTGAGCTTGATGGATTAAGATATATACTTCCAATCCTTTATTGAGGTTTAAGATATTTATTGTCTCATAAAGAATTTTACCATATTCACTTAAATGAAACTTAAAACTAATTTACAAACCTATTCATAAATGTTACATTTTTTGAGCGTACGAAACTAGGTTCTTAAATCTTATTATACAAAATAAAAAAATATATTTAACAAGTAATACATCAAAACATAAATCAATAAGTGAATAGTTTGGTATATCAACATTCATCATTACTAAATGTTCACAGACTAATTACTACTAGATGCGACATTTCCAAAACAAAAACTTTTCAACATTTTTATTTTTGTTTTATTTTTCTTAGATAGTTACTTTATTTATTTATTTATTGTTATAGTCTAATGGACCTTTAAGTGTGCTTGTTTTTTATATCCTCTTTTTCATAATCTATTCGTCCCAATTTCTAAGAGTAAAAATTCCTATTAAAAAGTCATTACGAAAACAAAACAAGGTAGTTTAATATACAAAAAAAAAAAAAAAATACAAAATTGAAAAGAATGAACAGCGGCATTAAATGAATTTCGTTTTTGGTATTTTTCAAGGTACCTGTACTGGTGTGGGTACTCCAGCCAAATACACCACATTCGAGGGCCGACGACCTTCCATTCCTCGGGAACTGCAACCTACCTTTGTATCGAGGGACAGACAGGAGAAAGGGGGAAAGTCAATATCAAGGTACAGTAATTTTACATATTAAATTTTATTAAAGGGACTATCTGCGCACCGCGGTGTAAGCCGCATATTTTGGAGATTTCCGGGATTTCCGGATTGTAAAGTAGCCTATGTGTTATTCCTGGGACGTCAGCTTCCTGTATACAAAAATTTATCAAAATCGGGGTTCAGCCGTTTGAAGCGTGAAGAAAGTAACAAACATACACACACACTCACAAAAAACTTTCGCAAATTATAATATTAGTAGGATTTAATAAATGGTACCAATAAGATGAATGGTAACAATGATAGGAATGAATGAATGAATGAATGATGAATGGTAACCAATGATAAGAATCCATAAATCCGTATCCAGGTGTACGCTACTAATGGTCCGTGTGAAGGAGCGGGCGGCACCTGCGTGACGTCACTGCACGTGCTGCGAAGCTGCAACACCTGCTTTTTTTGCACGTCACTAAGGAATCCGAACACTATGAAGGTAATATACCAGCGGCCCGTGCACAACCATAGATGCAAATAGGGCACTGCATTACCCTACGCGTATAATAACTAAACATATATTGTTTAATTCTTAACTTACATTACATTATGAAATACAAATGTTTATAACAGACATTTAAAATGACATTTGATTCATGTTTGTTAATAAACATGATCAGCCGCTGCCAACTGCTTAGCGCCGCTATGCAGCCAGAGCGGCGGTATGCACAACCCACTTTTGCTTTTTCTGCTTTTTTTACATAACAAAAATTCTCAAGGACGATCTTACAAAATCTCGTATATATATATGGCAGGAAAAACGTTTGTATGTATGTGTCTAAAAACTAACGGCACTTTGCATAGTGTTCGAGAAGCACTGATTATTTTGTATTGTTTAATAATATCGTAGAAAAGTCCTATTAATTGACAAATGTAACGGGACTCTCTGCTTGGCCGGTAAACCTGTGTTCATATATTTTTTTCGCCATTTTATTATTATTGAATATTGTCATTTGTCCTTTCTAAAGCGCAGAGAATTGAATAAAATTTGAATATTTTTTTAATTAGTAAATAGTGGGATTAAGTTATTAACGAATTATGGAAAAATTATAGCTGTGAACTCTGTAGTTGTGATATGTGTTTGTAGAAATTAGTTACGCGTAGATTTTCAATATTATCTCTTTGATAATAAAAATAAAAATAAATGTAAAGTCAAGGTGTGGGTGAAACCAGTGTGACCAGTTGAGGTTTGAACTAAAAGAAAGGTTTAATGTATTCGTGTTAATAAAAAAGTATTTATAATAGTTTTAATTAGGCACAAATAAGTTATTTTTGTTTGCCTTGTTTGTTGTTTTTTCAAATGATAATAATAAGAAAGTTTGAATCTTCACACTGGATATTCCGATTTTAAATAATTTTTAAAGCTGTGATGAACAGATCGTAATGGTTTTATGTTATTTTTTGTGGCTCAAAAGGTAATTGAGAGATTTTTATAAAATATATAGATGTTCTTCCAGATCGAACTGCTGTAAATGTTTTAAATGAAATTAATATTTTCTTGATTACTTCTCGTATTTTATTATGTTTAAAAAACAATATATTCTCGCGACGTTTCGATTACTTTTGCAGCAACCGTGACCACGGCAGACATCTCGTCTGCCCGTTAAAAATAATAAAAATATTAGTTTCATTTTAAAATTTAAATCAATACTTGCGAAAGATATCAATATGATCAATGTTTTACAGGAGAAAAATGATGAAAATTGGTATTTTTATATTTCAAAACCATATTCTGCACAATTCTTCCTCAAATCTCTGTGGGCACGATTTTTTTTTCATATAAATTTTTTTTTAACCCTATACCTAAGAATACATGATTGCCCCAATATTCGGATAGGAAATCCATTCCTTTGCTTGTGTGGTATCAGGAATTTTATGGTGTTCGTTCGGCGGAAGTCACTTGTTATATGGTATTTTATCCATACGACGATATTGCACCCGGACAGGTTCATTAAATTTTTCTAATATGTTACTCATACGTAACATGGTAGCACATATTTACTAATTGTTTATATCTCCATACACAATATTTGTCGATGGAATAATAGTCCTTAAAGAATTGATCTTACACTTTTTCAGCTGATAGCAACAGTGAACGGCGAGCGAGTGTGTTTCAAGTATCTCCTTCATCAGCGACTGGGTGATCATCACGCTCGTCAATGGACAAGACGTTAATGTTCTACTTCGGACCTGCATGTTGAGGTATTTGCTTGGTGATGAAGGCTTACATATACAACTGACAAAATTTCCTCAAGAATCAAGATCATTGGTTCATACATAATCCATAGATCATTTCAGGTGGTTTCAAAGTAACCCTCCCGGGTCCCTCTAGGCCCGAATTTAATGGGTAGGTCTCATCGGACCACCCAACCCTCTCGATAAAGCCATTAGGGATAACAGCTACTGTCGAATTTAAACAAGAAAAATCAAAGTAACCAAGAAGATGAAATTGTACAAAGTACAAACCAGTAAATTAACGTCTAGTGTGTTTTTAGGTGCTGGTGTTGCAGTCTAAGCTTCAGTTTACTGTGAGCGTCCCGTCACACGACTACAGCAACCGCACGGAGGGTCTGTGTGGAGTGTGCGCCGGCTACCAGGACCAGCTCGTCACCAGCAACGGAACAGTCACCGACGACTTTGACCTGGTTAGTTGACTATAAATAGTGGCACAATTATTGGTTCAAGTTTGTTCCTATAATGAGCTTAATTTTAAAAGCTAAAAAGAAAACGATCGCGTCCCCCTGGCTATTTCATCCTCATATTAAATGGTTTATATAATAAATGAGACAAATATATAGTTTCTTGAGTTTCTTCCAGCCGGTTCTTCTCAGGTCAGGGTATTTTGTTTTCCGAACCGGCGGTAGTGTCTCAAGTGACCATCAATAAGAAAGTGTAATGCTTCTATATTGAAATAAAGTTATTTGAGTTTGAGTTTAATTAATATGCCTTTCACAGTACGGCAAGAGTTGGCAGGCGAGTCCGGAAGTCCTGACCAAACTGGAGGTACCACCTCAGGAGCAGTGCGGCGACATCCCCCCACCACCACCCTGTGTGCCTCCCACCGCCAGAAAGCAACCCGTGTTACAACCTGAAAACAACGTTGAGAAGTTTGGAGCTGTACGTATGAACCAGAAGTCTGTTTATTTGTTGGTGTTTTTTTTTTTTTTATTTAATTTAATACTAGTAGACCCGGCGAACTTCGTATCGCCCTATAATCAAGAAATATCTGTTACGGTTTTCTTTTATTTATATTTTTGGAGTTAAACTTATTAAAGCCATAAATCTCGGTGTTTTGAAGTGCGACAGAATGATTGATGATATCAGTTAGTTGTCAAATCTAATGTCAAAAAAAAAAAAACTTTTGTATCAACAACTTTACTAATAAATTAAAAATTAATTAAAAAAAACATTGTCCAGCGGACAAAATTGTGAATCTAAGCCATTCCCAGATCCTCTTGAACACACACAAAAGATTTCATCAAACTCGGTCTAGTCGTTTGAGAGAAGTTCAGTGACATACACACTCACAGAAGAATTATTATATATAATAAAGATATTGTGATCGCTTCAGTGCCACGCGCTTGTAGAGCCTCAGCCTTACATAGAGCAGTGCGAGTCAGAGCTCTGCGAGTTGAACTCGACTGACGCCTGCCCGGTGCTGGAGCGGTACGCGGCCGAGTGTCGCAAGCAGGGGGTCTCTGCCTCGACCTGGAGAACTGATCTATGTCCATACCATGGTAAAATTTGTTGAACTACCTGCAATTCTGATTAATCAATTTTTTTATTACTTTCCACTTTTTCTGTAAACTAAATAATGATTTAATATCGCAGTGACGAGCCGCTAGTATACAGAAAGTGCGTGGACTGCGAGAGGACTTGTGAAAATTACGAGGAACTGAAGGACAACCCGACAAACTCTGCGATAAACAACCCGTCGGAAGGATGCTTCTGTTCCCGGAAGGAAAGGTAATGTTATAAAACAAAAAAATTATGACGCAATATTTGTGAAACTATTATTAAACACATAATATATTTAGGTGCGATTGGTGAACAACACGTGGTATCGAACCGGGCAAGTGCTTCCCATGTGATACAAAGAAGGAACACTACGCTGGAGACGAGTGGCAAGTAAGTGGAAATGTCTTTTCTAAAAACTAGCTACCAAAGAATATTAAAAAGTTGAGAAAGTACATATGTAACCAAGTGCCAACTCTCAGGAAGACGCATGTACTCACTGCACGTGCAGTAAGGGCGGGCGAGAGCGCACAGGTGTCGTGTACAACGCGCACGTGCGCGAGCCGCCCGTGTGTGCTGATGGAGAGGAACGCGTGCCCACTGTCCACGCCACCAGGAGGCCTGCTGTAAGGAGTACCTGTGCGGTGAGTGCGACATAAATTTAATGTGTATTCAGGGATATTAGAAATATGAAAGTAAACACTTTGAACAACATTCAGTTCCTAAACCACCGGACGTGGTCTGCGACGAACCGCGAAGAGAAAATGGAGTGCGGGTTCGGACAAGTGTTGAAACTGAAAAGCAAACCCGATGGATGTACAGAAATTTCGTTTGCGGTAATTATAGTAACATATTTAATAAATATGTCGTATGATATTGTACCTAAATTTTGATTATTAATAAAAAATAGAGTGCAAGCCGGAGAGTGAGTGTGAACCTATTCCCGATGAGAGTGAAGTGGAAATGTTGGAGCCGGGCATGGAGCGTGTGGTGGATCGCTCGGGATTGTTGTCCGCGGGGCGTCGCTCGTATGTCGGCCCGCGGCATGCCCCGCCGCACCCACTTGTCTCCTGCCTTACACAACCTACGTACTACCAATATCACAGGCCAATGCTGTCCAAATCACGAGTGCGGTTTTTTTTTAGTATGGGCACTTTTTCTGCACTTGCCCTCATTTGAAATAGAAAATATTTAATTTCAGTCAGTAAGTGTCTTCGTGGCGTTGAGTTTTTTTTTATATAAAATTTTATCACAACTTTCAGAACTTCCCAAGGATAAAAGTGCTATGTGACTCTGGAGTGGGAGGCTGCTCCGAAAGGAGGCGAGAAGGCTCGACCGACGCCACAGGTTATATTGAAAGAGGTAAGATTTGTTAAACTGAAGAAATACCCTTCAAAATTGTTATTGATTTAGAGTCTTAAGGATGTAATTGAACATGTTCTGTCCCAGTTGGATTCAGCGTGGCTGGACGGTCCGTGTCGCTCGTGTCGCTTTTGTGGAGTCCACGGCGGCGGGTCCCGTCCCCACAGTGTCCCACGTGACCTCCTGCCCCCACCCTCACCCCCACCGACCAGTTCGTGTTGGAACCTCGACCGGTGCCCTTCGCCTGCTGCCGTCCCCGAACCGTACCAAGTGGCTTGGGCCGAGATGGAGATAACATTTTTTTTTTTTTACAAGGCATTTATCTACACATTTTCTGAAATTAAACTAACCGATGTAGCCATTTTAATGCCTTCAATTTTGTTTAATGTGATTTGTTACATTTTTTTTTTTAATTTTGTTTTTTTTTTCGATATAAATTTATGTTAGATTTTATTTCATAACTGCCGAAGAAATTCGTCAGTATACGTTTTTTTTTAATGTTTGTTTGATTTTTTATGTATGTTAGTCTTCTTTTTTTAATTTTAATAATTTGTGTCTAATTACCAGTGGAAACCCCTTAGCTGATATATGTAATTTTTTATATTCATATCCCATAAGTTTATCTTTATTGTTTTTGTTTCTAAAAAAAATAAAATAAAAATAAAAAAAACGATTCCAATCTTATTAATGCTCGTACAATATTTTTAAAAATTACATTGTCGTGAACCAGGTTGGAGAAAATTGGACGTCACACGAGCGACCCCTGCGAGTCCTATCAATGTTCACAGGTCGGTGAGGGACAACTGGAGAAGGTCACGACACTACAGAGAACTGTCACAAGGACTGTGATCTAGTGAGTACTTAGATTATATACACTGGAGACCTGTAATACAGCTATTCTTTATACTCATCACGGGCTCCAGTCTCTCTCTAATGTATATTTATATAACATGATGTGTATCAAGTATTTTGTGAAGAGAGAATAAATGAACTTATTATTATTATAGTAGTTAGATTATATTCTAGTTACTCTAGTACTTCTGTGAAAACTTAGACTTTACAATAAAAATCCAATTCTAAACACTTGATTTTGAAGTTAAGTTCCAAAGAAATAGAATAAAGTTTTAGATGGATCAACTAAACTGTAACGTCTTGTATTTCCAGGGCTGGCAGTACTTCCCGTCTGAAGACAGCAGCCAGTGTTGTGGTCGGTGCCGGCCTGTGTCGTGTGTGGTGGACGGAGTGACCAGGGATGTGGGCGCCAGGTGGACCTCTGCTGACTTTCTGTACCAACTACACTTGCGCTGACATCAACGGCACTGTATGTAATCCATTTTGCTCAGCCTTAGTCATGTATGAAACTAGATATACTATGACCCTCAACCGTTATTGGATCTCATATTTTAGAGACTTGCCACAATTAAAAATGCTTATTTTTCCTCTCATTCGCTGTTTGGTTTCTAATTGTTAATTGGGTTTTTGAATATATTTTTTTTTTGTGATAAATGGAAAGATCATATATAAGTTTTTATAACAAAAACTATTTTTATTTTATTTTTTTTTTTTTGCAATAATTAAAAAGTTATATCAAAAATAAAAATTCAATTTTAAATTCAGTACACGAAGACCCGCCGACAGCTCGCGAATAAACCCGAGCGCGTGTGACGTCACAATGTTAGTTTTTGCTCATTGTAGCATACAGGGATATAATAAATTAGTACAGTGTTTTGAGTTTTTATCTAGTAAAATTCTGTTGGCATTGTTAAATAATCAAAAGTTTTGTACCATTATGTACAAAATACTACAAAAACAACTTCTGAAAAAAAATGTTTTTTAAATGTTCCACAAGACGAAAAACGTCGAAAGAAAATGGTTTCAAGCAGTGCATCGAGATTATTTCAAAAACAAAATCATTTTTTTTTTGTTGTGAAGATCATTTCGTTGTAAGTATTCATAATAGTATTGTTATTAATTATTATTTATCTAAGTGTATAAATCGAATAAGTATAGTTCAATAATTTATTTTTTTTACCTGGGCTCCAAATCATAACCTTTAGAATCGTAGCATTAAAAATTTTTTAATTGATAATTCAAAGCGATTAAATAGTAAATCTATATGTATGTTTGTCTAATAATTGGACTTCAATTAATAGATATTTTCATAATTTTATAACATTCTAGGTTCTGTATCAGACTACATTTAAATTTTTAAAGTATATGTTATTTTGGTTTTTTATAATGTTATAATAACATTTTATTAATAATGATTTAATGAAATAATTATTAATTATATTTAATAGAGAATAAAATACTTATTTTCATTTAGAATAGTATTTTTTAACAGACTTACCTTGATGCCTTAGCACCTCGAACGTCATTTTCAAAAAAAATTAGTTATCATAAATATATCAACATCAGGAATATTATCCGATTTTGCTTTTATAAATCCTTTATCACACATAGTCGAAATAAACTTTTCAAATCGTTTTTTCACTAATAAATTTGAGATATTTTTATCAAGTTAAAGATAATAGCCATAAACACTGTACTATTATGAAATTGCTTTAAACATTATGACGTCACAAGTATGCTGACCAATCATGGGCGCGTTTTACAGTCACGTGATATATTTTTGGATTTTATCAATTTTTAATTGTTTATAATTAATTTAAAAAAAATATTTCAAGTTTTTGCATTAAAAAATCCCAATTATTGGTATAATACAGCATATGAAACTTGGTTGTTTTAGAATTCTCTTCATTAGAAAAACAAAATGTGGCCTTTATATAGCTGTTCTGAATTCTGATAGTTTTGCATACAAAAGTAGTGAAATAATTTTTGAATAATATATTATTTATAATTTAGAAGTTTTCATTTGTATGGTCCTATTTCCCATATATTCCATTATGCAAATAATAAGTAATATATTATGTACAATCAGCTGCAAGTCCAAAGCTCCAACGAGACGTGTCCCCCGGAACCCTCGGTGGACTATGAAGAAACTGTTCGTACTGAGCGAGATACACGAACCGGGTCACTGCTGTGTGCGACGAGAGCCCGTCGCTTGTAGGGGATGGAGACCGGATCTATCAGGTCTAATACCATTCATATTATAAGCGATTTAACCAAACAACGTAGACAGATCTTTATCATAGACAATTCAAAAGAAAAATGTTAGGATACAATAGTAAACTTTTCCCTATGCACCACAAATGACACCTCATAATATCTATCGCAGGAGGGCCAGAGTTGGCAATCACCCGATCCTTGCAAAGAACTACACCTGCTCTCGAGAGGAGACTGGTTCACTAGCGAGGGGGGAGAGCGTGGAGGCTTGTCACAGGGAGTGCCCTGAAGGACACGAGTACTTGGAACCTGAGAAGGGCACATGCTGCGGACACTGCGTGCAGACACAGTGCGTGGTTGGAGACGAACTGAAGAAACCAGGTGCTTACATAGAACTTAAAACATAGACTGACAGGGATTGTGTATATTATATACATATATCTTCAGATAACTCGAAACGATCTATAATAATAACATATTTTTGTCTCAATGGAAATACAGTGTACAAAACTTTATCTATATAATTACGTAATTCAGGTACAAGCTGGCAGTCAGCGGACAAACTGCACTACATTCTCTTTGCGAGAACAGCACGGGGCAGGTGGTGGTGACGTCATCCCGGCAGCTCTGCCCCGACGTGAGCCACTGCGACCCTGAGGACCCTCGTCAACGACACCTGCTGCCAGATATGCAAGGAGAAGCCACAGGATCTCAGTGAGAACACTTTACACAAATCAATTCCATCACGACTCATCTCTCAAAGCCATATCAAATATACCTCGTTTTAAGTTCAGCTGACTAACATATATATATTTTGTAGGCAAGTGTGTACCAAAGGCGGTACCGCAGTCAGAATCCGTCGCGGGTTCGGTTTGATACGAGTGTTCATGGGTCGTCTCGGGATGTGCGTCAACAGGGAGCCCTTGAAGGACTTCAAGGAGTGTCGCGGATCATGCGACTCTGGGACGCTATATAACAACCGTCAGTTGACATTTTATTGACTATAATATTGTTATATATTTAATATTAACCCCCCCTTTTTGTCTTCCAGAGACCGGTAGTCACGACTCGTCGTGTGAGTGTTGTCAAGCGACCAGGTACGAGCCGGTCGGTTGTGTGTGGTGTCCCTACAGTGTGAGGACGGCTCCCTCCGCGACCACGAGTGGCCTCGCCCGCTCACTGCGCCTGCCCGCCGCTGCGCTGAACTACCATCCTTCCAGCAGAGTACCACGAGTAGATATATATAAACTATTCTGTTATTACCAGTTTATTATTCAACCTCCCAAAAAATTCTGTTATTATTTAGGTTACTACACATATTTGAATTTCTTATCATATGTTTTTGTCTTGTTTCCATTTGTACAAGGAAAATTTTGCTATAAATAAATAGCGTTAATTACAAATCTTTTAAAGTCATAATATCCTTTTTATATTCTTTGTTACCATGTAGGAGCATTGCTTTTGATGTTATATCAATCTATCTTTTTAAATCTATATTAGGATGATCTTTTTAAGTTCTCTTCTGACGGTAGGAAGACCGACATTATTTCATTTAATGTGTTTTTTTCGAATTATGCGTCTCCTTTTGTTAACGTAACATAATTAAATACTGAGCCTTATATAAATTTGCTTGGTTCTTGTTCAAGATTAAATGACCTTGATGTTTATTAGTATTCTATTGTATTGCAAAAGATTTTATAATCAAAAACATAGGATCAGTGAAACTGAAATTATCATATTAATATAAAATATTCAATTCTTTCGTTTCTCAGTAATGACAGCCAAATACATAGTATAATACGGTTGAATAAGTCATTCAATATATTGTATATTTAATTTCATTCTAGAATACGTCCCAACTCCCGGCTATAGTCACCGCGGCGACATCGACTATGAGATACCAGCCATATACAAACAGGTTTCAGCGCACCCGCCCACGCCCTAGGAGGGAAATACTAGAGGGAAGAAATAAGTATATATATATATAGAGTTTAATAGAAAATATAACACAGATGTTAATCACACATTCCCAACGATTTTTATTTATAATCCAACACTATTATCACCATATTAATATAAATAAATAAATTCAATAAAACATTATATAAATTAAAAATAAATGCAACCGGTAACAAAAAGAAAACTGGGTAAAAAAAATTAATAAAGAGAGATGGGTTAATTTTTTCAGTCCAGAAAATATATGCGATTGAGATATTAAAAAGCACCAAATTATATATGTTTTGGTATTTTTATTATTTGATTCGGCTATGATATTCTTTGTCCGCCAAGTCACTATCTGCTTCAAAAACTCTGTCACGTGGCCACTTCATCTTCTGTCACACAACCTCTTTTTCCTTCTGTTCCTCTTTTAGTTCTGTTTTCCTCAGCATCTCTGATAAATATTTACATCTTTTGCATGCATTCCTCCTGAAAAAAAGTAGATGTTTTAATAAAATTTATAATAATATGCAACAATCTTCAATCCAATAGTCAAAGTAGTTTAATTTAGAAGGTTTAAGCAATGACATTTGATACAAAATATAATAAACATTGTTGTAGACGTTAATGACAGTCAATAATTGTATTGTTAAAACATTTACTCGTAGTACCAATAGAAGATTCCTAAAAAAACTGAGCCCTATTAACATAATATTTAATAAAATACATTGAATTTTATACATTAAAAAAAAAATTTCTTATTTTATATACTCATATGTGTATTGGTACAGTATCCTTAGATGTAGTGTGACAGACACACAAATAAATGCTGTAATACAATATCTTTGAGAAATATAAAAAAATTATAAATTTTTTTTTTTAAAATTATTTTTTTAAGTTAGTCCTTATCAATAATTTTTTCTATTTTATTTTGTTATGTATTAATATAAAGAAGATTTCGATGAATCAATTATCATATAGTTCAAATAGTGTGGGTAGAGACAGGTCTTTTTAATGGACTTTTTTATGGACACATGATATTATGAGGTCTAACCTTAGTTTTCCCTGGCACAGCAGAAGCGATCTTCTGCCAGCGGTCCCCAGCTGTTCCCTTGGGATGTTTAGCGAGCGCTGTCTCTAAAGCCTTCTGTTGAACCTGCGACCACAGTTGCCCCCCCGAAAGGACTCCCTCTGTCTGACGAGTCTTCACCTGTATGAGTTATAAATGGAGAACATTGTCTTAAATAAAATCGAAATCCAATTATAGATTTCCATATACACCAAAATTTTCAGCCTAAAAAATTAATAAAATTGCACAATTTTGGCATTATTAATTAGCGTGGCATATGTTGCATACAGATGAAAAGAAATAATTCGATAACAATCAACTCGAACCTGCTTTAAATATTTAACATTGATTGTGGTCCAAATGCAAAATTGCATTATAAGATTATCTCTAATTCCTTTAAAAATATAAATATGGCAGAGCAAAGTTAGTGCAAATTCCCAGCAATGAGTAGGACACTTCTAATTTTCCTTTAACGGATCAAATTTGAATGTCCCTTACTAAACGGTCCCCCCAAACTTGACTTTTGCCTATTCTATCATCCACAAAGAGAAGGCAATTGATGTCAATCTATTGTAACGAAATAAACGCAAACTGACCTTCTTAGGTGGTTCTGGCACTTCTTCAGCTGCTTCTTGCCCCGGTATCTTATAGCAAGTTCTCCTTGACCTAGCAGCCATATGTGTGACCTCAGGAACCGCTGCGGCCCATCGCTTCCCGCTATTCTTTCCCATCTCTCCGACGCACCAGGAGGATACTTCTTGATCAAACGAAACCATTCCGCCAGGTCATCGTCGGTCCACAAGCCTCCAGAAATTACGGGGGGAGCCTAAATTAATCAGACAATTACAATAACATCTTTAATTGTACAAGTTTTTATAGTACAAATAGTTCCACAAATCACTTAGTACATGTGAAAAAAAGTTATATAATAAAAAATGGGATAGAATACCCTGAAGTATAAGTAGCCTATATTACATTAGGTATCAGCTTGTGAAAACCAAGAAAATTTCTTTTGAAAGTTAAACGAAAAAGACAGACATACAGTAAAGAAGAAAACATAAACTCAACTCACTGGAGTAACAAACAGCTGTTTCCTTCTGGGGCTCCGGTCAGGGGCACTGTCCTGTCCAACAAACAGTCTCTCGCGGCGTGGTAAACGACGAAGGCCCGCCGACGTCGGGCTCCGGCCGGCGGCGGCGCGCTTCCTCCGCCACCCGCCTTCCTCGCGCTCCGCCCTTATACGATCATCCTCCTCTCTGATGAAGCATACAAAATATTACACATTGATAATATACAGGGTGACTGGTGAAATTACTATTATCGATATTTGAGGACGTGATATTTGACGATCATATATGACTAAATAAAAATTAATATAACATAAATATTAATAAACTTTTCTAAGTAAAGTTAACCAAAAGCTATGTAATTAATTACGCATCGTGTGAACACCCTACAGATTAGGTATAACACTGACAACTCACACATACGCGTGTCGTGACGTAGTGTTGTATCAACACGCCGCCGCACGCGTCCCCCACCACTTGAACACTTGGAAACGTGTCAACACTTTACTTATTTATACGGAAATTTTGTCAAAAATTAAGTGCCTATTTTTTTTACATAATTCGAAATGAGAATCATGTACTGAGTATTCTCCTTAAATATTGATAGGTAATTCACCAGTCATCCTGTATAAGAAATTGCGAGTTCTTTCGGGATACGTGTATGTCACATTTTGATATATGTAATATATTTTTTTCTTATTATTTACATTGATGTCAATTATTTTTTAGATATATGTTTGATTGTTTTTGTCTACTGAAACAATCTGTAATATCTGAAGCAATCTCACACCAAGACACTACACTTGCACTTATCTTTCCTTATAACTTAAAACAAATTTAATAAATAGGTCTAAGTATGAATTTCAAATTTACATTAAGTTGTGGAGTTTATGAATTTGTCTTTGGAAAGTCAAGACTTTGTCAAAGAGATCTGGAATCTAAACTAAGCCTTAGGACAAACATTAACTAACATTCTTAAATTAATAAAAATTTCTTGACCCATAAAATAATTTTCTTTTTTTTTATTGTAAATTATGTTATAGTTCACTCACTTCTTCTTCTGCCTGAATCATTTCTTCATGCATCTCTTTTCTTCTCTTTTTTAAATTCCATTATAGCATATGGTATTACATTGTGATCGTCCACCAAATGCCTCGAGGTAGTTGGAACGGCAATGTATCTTTTAATGCTAGGTTTTGCCAAGTGATATGTAGTATCTCCACCAACCCTGTATCAAAACCTGACTTCTTAGATTGTTTTTTGTTTTTTGCCCTCTCGAACTCAATATTTGTTCCTGTAAAAATGTTTTAGTTAAAAACAAATTAATTTGTATATTTCTATGCAATATTTGTATTACAATTTTTACACCCCTTTCTTTTTTCATACTGTTTTAAAGTTAGTATTATTATATTTTTTTAATAACACATTTTTTTAAGTTATGTTGTTTTTGTTTAAAACAAACGGTATGTAGCGCATTGGTTTCCGATCTTTTATTTTTTTTCAACTCATGTGAAACAAGGCTGTCTCGCTTAACATACTCTAAAGTTACCTAAAAATTACAATATAACTCTGTAACTTACAGCTGTGTAGGTATCTCTTCTGCCAAATATGCTGCCCATCACCCTACCAGCATACTGTCCCAAAACTGATAATTATAAACAATATGCTAGGCTCCTTCTAACAATCCTCATTTTTCTAAACATGACGTAGCTTATAGTAATTAAACCGCTGATCGCCTTGAATTATAGGGCATGGACCATTTCTTGAGTACCTCATTATACCTTTCAAGTAAATGGATTTGAGTTGTTAGAATATATATGGAAGAATGAAGAAGAGTGGTTAGAATATTATAAAAAATTACGAAAAGCGGCGTAAGTAGTCGTGATTTTTTATATCACTTACTTTTCTCGTTTTCGTTTCCTGGATCTTTAAGAATATTATGGACCGATACTAGGTTTTTTCCTAAACTGCACGTCAAAGCATTCTGGTGCGTTCATTTTTTTTTTTTTTGTCCCCAGGATGGGATGGAGCTTTAATGTGAGTTTTGGCTTTTTGAAGGCTCTCCCTTAATTTCTACTTGTGATGCATCCTATTAAAACTGACTTCCTAAGTAATAGACCTAACATTTTACGAAGGATTTTTTGTTTGAATATATACAAGAACTGTGTGTTGTTACTGTTTTTTTTTTTACTCGCTAAAATTTTATTCGTAAAAATTCGAAATTGACTTTCTCTACCACGTCAAATACGTCTAAATCTCCCATCCGTCCCACAACCATATATACACCCAATTGAAAATGACAAGAACATATAGCCACGGTTCACCCTCTCATATTGGAGCTATGTTATTGAGTTCTACGAGTTAATTTAAAATACTATTAAAATTAAATAAGAACCCGGAATATGCATATTGAAATAGAAACCACAGCGACAACCGATGACCGGATTGCCAATCTCCAACTGATTTTGACACATTGTGAGTTGTGACTCAGTGATAGGGTGATAAGATCATGAATAGACTGCCAACACGTACCTAGTTACAAATTTTTTTTTTATAATGTTTAAAATGTAAATGTTGTAAAAGCATACTATTTAAATTCTTAAGTCGTAAAATCAACAATCTTTTCAAATCATTAAGTTGTTTTTTTTTTTTTTTGGAATTTTGAAAGTAGATAACTTCTTTTAAACCAATTTTTTTTTTTGGAATATAAAGAAATAAAGTATTATTGAGAAACATTTGTTATGTTACTCATATGTAATTTTTTTACGATTTTGTCTCTTTAAAATGGACGCTCCCGTTTTGAGGATGAGACGCACCTTTATCTTTTTTGTATTTAATCACAATTGATTGATACGTAAATTCGTTATTTTTTTTGTTTTATTTTAAAATTTATTTTAAGATGAATAAGTTTTGTAAATTATAATATACGCTGTAGACCAAATCACGTACTTTTTAAACTAATTTTATACCTCGATTCCGCCCTCAGTTTCTCAGAAGCGTAACTGCAGGCCTTGAGGACGTCAGTTACTGCAGTTACTTAGTTTGTGCTGTAACCGTGGTAAATTGCAGAAAAAAAAAAAAAATAAGTTATTATTGCTTAGAACAAAATAGACGCTGTACAGACTATTGACTATTATACATTTGTTTTGTAGGTCTGATCTAAATTTTTTTTTTGTGATTTGTTTTTTGTTGGTTTTTGTGTTTGCATTTTAGCCGCAGTGTAATAATATAGGGTACACTGGGCGCCAAAGTTTCTTTTGACCTTTTTTTTTCTAATGTTATAAATGTTTACCTTACTCCCAACATCAAAAATTTAATACGATTTCAACAAGTTTTATCAATCTCTTTGGCCTACCATTTAAGCCTTTTAACTGAAATCATGTTACAATTATTATTTTTACACCAAAATTTTTTGGTTGTTTAATGTTTAAGTAGAAGTAGAGAAATTTTTATTTTTGTTGAATTCTACATTCCCCAATTTGTAGTAGTTATAAAGTTTTTGAACAAACCACGAAACATTTTTTAAAGAATTTTCGTTTTTTTTATATATAAAAAAAAAATAACCCATTTTAAAATATAATCCTTCCTAGATTTTAACGCAAGGCGACAAGATTCGAGCGAAATGATATTTTTTCTTAAAAACAAACTATATACTGTTACGAATAAGTACAAAAATCATAGTTTCAGACATCCAAATGTAAACATTTTGTTTTTTAAATTATTTTGAAATAAATAGTACATGCTGTACTTTCAAATAAAAAATATGGCCACCCTTGTATGATAAAATTCAGTTTCCACGCGACCCCGCAAGGGGGAGGCATGTGGGGACTTGGGGGGGGGGGGGATGGACGTTCCGGAAATAACTCACATTTTCGCGTATAAATTTCGCGCAAACGCCGCAGTTGGCATAGCTTTTATCTTATTTAATATGTGATTTAATAGTAGTTTTTTTTATTCTCCATGACGTGGCCCAACTACATTTATCGTGCTCAACCATGATTTTTTCTTCTGTCTCGCTGTATCTATGCTTGGGGTTTATACTAACCAGGCCGGCCGTAAGTTTTTAAATCTAATGTTTTCGCATGTTATACACTCTTGATTTTTACTATGTATGTTCTTATGACAATCATTGATCAATTTAAAAAAACTCTTCATAATATTGTTGATTGTTGTATAATAACAACTACTAGTAGAAAATAGAATGGATTTTAGTATTTATCTGTCTGAAATACTGTAGCTCAGACAACAAACAATTTTTTGTAATTTATGACAATACGTAGACTAGCTAGAAATAAATATATTTTACTTTTTTTTAAAATTACTAATATTTTAGATTGAATGTTATTTTTATTTTAATTAATAAGTATTTTAATAACAAAAAAAACAAAATGGCTATGCCCATGTAACCTCCTTGAGGTTTTCTGACAGTAAAATTACGATCGGAGGAGAACCCATGGGGAAGCGCGCCCAGCCAGGTTTGTTAACAAGAATGTTTCAGGCGCTAAAGATGTTTCTATTCCTTTACACAATACGATATCTTTTTATTAAAATACATTTAATAGCATGGTTTATTGGCCTACCTAAGCTCTGGATTATTAAAATAATTTTTATGACAGAGGACTTAAGCTTTTTTTTAATAATCTCTAATATTTATTTTTTAAAAGTAATTAAAATATCCTTCAAATAATGAATGAAAATGTGAATATCCCCAATTTTTTTTTTAGTCATCTTATATTTTTTTCTGCACATTCTAGGTATTTCAACTCCTCTTGGTTCCATCTCCGCGTGATCGTTTGGGACAAGAATGGTATTATTTTGTACCTGTTTGTAGTTAGCTTCATCGCACTGTATTTTTTTTATAGGTATAGAACGCACTCAATTCCATTTTAATGACATTTTTAATTGTAGTATTTTTAAAGTACATTTTGCCTTGGATTCTAGCTTTTTATTATGTCGTTTAAAAATTAAATCCAGATCCCTTAAATTAGACGTCATCATAGCTGGCTTCTAATTAAATCGTAAATGCAAGTGCTTTTCCTTTATTGTGAATTGCTGTAATAAACGGCCTTGCTTCATTTTATTTCATTATTTATCTTTTCATTCATTTTTCCTCGAATACGAATTTGTTTTATATTCAAAAATACTTAAAAAATAAAAATTTAATGATTTGTTCCCTTCATCAAATTTGTAGAAATATTTTCTTATATATGAAATGACCCCCTTATTGTGTAAAAACAAAAAAGAGCATAATACGAAATATTTAGATAGACTTTTTTTTTTATAAATATTGTCTACTAGTTGTTAGCCCCTCTTCAAAAGATAGTACATGAACATTCTACCCAACATTGGAATCGCCAATAGGTCTAGGTATATAATAGCTCTGTTATCTTATAGTGCGGCGGCTTCGACTCCCTGTGTCGGGTCGTCTCTGTCCCCCCCGCGACTGATGGTTCTGTTGTGGTGACGTTTTTAACCCCTTGCTGCGCGCCCTGTACCCACCTTTTTTTCCAACAACCATGCGCAAAAACCGCCCAACGACTCGCCTTAGAGAAGTGTTCGTCCACATCGTGGTTACTCGCAATGGTGAGTGGAAGATATCTTCAGCCCTTCACTAACACTTGAGTCTTGATTGATGTTTTGAAATAAGAAGTAAAAATATATATACCAAAGCAATATTTTGTTATTTGATTAGATTTTTTTTTTTTACTTGTATGTATAATTTAACATTCCGTTAATGATTTTTTCTCTGAACCATTTTTCACTTATCTTGATGCTTCAACACTGTAATTATATTAGTACATATTATGAGAACTATTTTTTTTCTAATGTCACTGCATAAGCTGTGAACAACTATAATAGCTTAATAAAATTAATACCTGATACAATGTATGTCTCCCAGGCAGGTGTTGTTTCCTCTGTTAGTAACACTGGGCGGTTTATAGCGTGGTGTGCTGCGCGTGGTGTTTGTACCGCCGGCCGTATTTCGTGTGCGCGTGGCTCGCACCTGTCGTGGGCTAAAGTGTTTTGGCGCACGGTGGCGGCACGCTCCGACGTTCCGAGCTGGGACGGGACTCCCGCGGGGTCTGTGTGCCGCACCGCCGCGATACAGCCGCTGTGGCTCCGTCCGTGCATCAGGCGCCAACCATCCGCCGTACGCTGAGGTCTCTTATAACACGTTCATTTTTAATTAGAGATAATTTCCTTAAATTCTATTAATATCAATTATGAACTCCCTAGTATAATTTTATATTTTTGAATGAACCTATGAAACACATTAGATATTTTTTTTCAGTTTTATTTGTGTCATTTGAAGACGATTTCTGATAAGATATCGACTGGTCTTACTTTTTTCTTTTTGAGTTTACATGATATGGTACTGGTTTCATCCTACTTATATTATCTATTAAACCAATTGTCCAATTGGTGATGTTTCACCTGAACATTGAATTATTTTTTTCTCATTTACACCGGTCTAAAAGAAGTAACCTTTAATATTTCATATAAAGAATAGTATGACAATAGTGTACGTTATGATCTGTTTACCAGACCAGGTGACCTCTAAAACCGGATCTGTATCCGTTAGTAGATAACGTGTGGTGAGGTGTGACGGGAAGTTTTGTTTTGGCTTGGCGGCAGCTATTTTTACCCTGCATGTTGTGCACTACTTCAGGAACTTACGTCATTCGTGCTCCAGGTTTGTTATACCTAAATGTTTTTTTTTTTACTGTAGTGTTTTTTTTTTGTTTTTTTTTTCAATCTGGTTGATTTTTGTTTTTTTTACAATAGATAATAATTCAGAACACGTCTGGCTCACGGTATCCCACTGTAGTGTTTGTATAGAAGGGGTGGCTCACGTTGCGCACTAGAAGAGGTGGCATGCGCATCGGAAAGTCTCACGACTAGCTCGGTGTAGAGAACGGTTGACGTGCGCCTGCCGCTCTAGGCGGGTAGTTAGTTAGGCAGTGACCAGTTTTGTTATTTTTTCATAGAGGAGGTCTTACAGTTACTATTTACTCTACTCGTAATTTTGATGGCATAGCATTTTTCTTATTGGAAGATATAATTTGAGCAAAAAAACTGGGTATTGTAAAATATTTCCTTCTTCCAGGTTCCTTATCTGCGACAAGTCACAGCAGAATCGTTAAAATTCTAGTTACATATGCAACGCAGCTAACGAGGTATGCTAAAACAAACGGCTTTATATATTCTACTATTACAGTATATAAAATAAAAATATAGAAATATTTACACCAATGACTGCAAAAATACTACAATTTCAGATATAAATTAATAGATAAATCTTTCGCACTGTCCCACCCAGGCTAACACACACACACTATCCGACCCCAAAAACCACTTACCTCAGAGAACACGACAACACATATGACAGACCCATACAGCCGTCATATATTACACATTGCACTAACGTGTAGGTAACCCAAGTACAGTATAAAGGCTTTGACCATAGCATCAAAATCATTACTATCATAGAAATGCTTAGAACTATGACATTTAAAACTTTCGCCTGTTATACATTTATGTTGATACCTAAGTTTTTTTCGGATACTACTTTTTGCTTTCTTATTTTATATCTACAAATATGAATACCCAATGTTCTAAAACTTCATCTTATCTTTAAGTGATCATGGTGTAGAAATAAAAATAATTAAAAAGGCGTAGTATCCGAAAAAAAACTATAATTAATAATATTCATATGCTATTTTTGCTAACACTTACAAACACAATTGCATTTATTAACCACTTATTGAACTTTGTAAGTCTTAGATTTAATAAGTTTTAAAGAACAATTTCTATAAATATAATAACATAGTTATCAATGTAGGCGAACACGATGGTCCCCTCCCGCCGTATTTTCGTGCGCCCTCCAGCTGTTCGTGTGCTCGCTGTCTGAGAGACCCTCGGCCTGAACTGATGAGAGACGGCCGAGATCATCACGCCCCCATTACAACGGTCAGAAACATATATATCACCATACTGTTTCAATTAATATTAGTCAAATATTATTTTTAATATAAATCGTCTTCTAACAGGATCAGTAACTACGATCTGGATTGGGAGCCTTCCATAGACTGGTGAGATGTACTGTCGGGAACGGTGGCTGCAAGCCGCGAGGGGCTGGTTTTTCATCTTCCTCCGCCGCGCCGGTCGTCACCCACCCAGCGCTGAAGACTCTCTACTGTGAGCGCGCCAAGCCCTACCTGCGACATCTTTTCCCTCACCTCTCCCGACACGTAAGCCCGGGCGGCTGTGAATTCTCCAGCCTCAACCGATACAAGCCCCCACGCAATCCAGAGAATCCACTCTCCGACGGCAGATCGACGAAAGATGTCAAGCGGTGGAGACACGATTTCTTAAGAAGACCTCCAGGACGAGTAAATCGAGCTTGTATATCCCACTTTCTAAAGTACCTTCCTGGCAGCAGGAAGATTATTTTTTTGACGAGATCGGCCCCCCCCGGTCACTCCCAGCGGAGCGCTAGTGCCAAATCTCTACTGTCCTTCACGCAGACGAGTTTCGGCCTCCGAGACTCTGAGTTCCAAATCCTCTAGGTTCTTTTTTTGGAGAGGAAGAAAAACGATTCCAACTTTTTTAATAGATGGGAAAGCCGGCAGATACAGATTCCATAAATTTTTAGACAGAAAATATTGCTACCAAGTATTTATGAATTATAAGATGAATTTTTTTGTGTATACACAATGAACAAGTTAACTGGCCTATAACTTGCAACACAAAACCCCGGAAGTAACGTGAATTTGAACATCCATAATATTGTTGTGATCGTTGCCATCATCGCGTTTAAATCGTGAAGTAGCTAGTAAATGTTTTTTATTCAATTTTTTTATATTGCCGTAGAATTTTCCGTAAGATAATGAGCTTGATGGGGACCAATTGTTTCCACAAATGGCTTTTATTGATTATATTATGATATCTATAAAGTCCAAAAGCCTGTGGTTGATGGTTTATTTATTTTTATATAACCCGAAAAGCATGATAACGGCCAAAGAGACCATGCGCTTAACATACAACAAAATTTATGTAAACAAACAATTTATCTTTCATTTTTAACAGCGGGGCATAATGAATTTGTTTTTTAATATGCTTTTATAGAATTATTTGGTCAATTTCATTATTTTTTTCATCACCCATAGTTGCAACTTCAATTTGTATCACGAGTCCCTGATGTAACTTTAAATTTGTTGTCCTATAAGCCGTTGTATAGCCACTAAGGCAGAAAAAGTTATTTTGACGCGTCACGCCGTTTTTTAATGTCATCTTTCAAGACCCAATATTTTTTTGAGCGTTTGTAGTCCTTTTATAGGTTGGAATGTGGTGTTTATGGCTTGAAACAGAGAAATATACATTTTGTTTTTTTTTTCCATGAATAATGTCAAAAATAAGGTTTATTTTTTATTTACAAGTCAAGAAGTTGTTTATCGCCAACCGGTGAGGTACAAATTATTTCTAAATTGCCCGTTCAGATCATGGAGGCTTGGCTACGCGACTTTCCGGGCGGCTTATGTTATTTCCGGGCGGCAGCGTAAAAGGTAAAACTATTTATAAGATAATGTTGAAGAAATTGCATGAATATTGATTATGATTATTATTAATTAGAATACAAGCAATTGGTATACGCTAGATAATCATGAATAGTACACAACCTTGACTATATATTTTTAGGTTTTTAATTTTAGAGATGCATTCCTATGAATTTAGAAATAACCTGTTCGACCGATGTTTTTAAAAGTAACTAACTACTTTACTCAATTAAAATTTTTTCCAGGCGCTAGTTTTTTTATCGGTAAGGCCGAATAAGTCTAGGCGGCAATATAAGGCAAGAGTGACTTTCGGCACAGACAGCTAGAAAGGATGAATTAGTCCACAGCACATCAGTGAGGAGCAGTTGGTATGTAAAAAACCTTACGCCAAACGAGGATTATGTTTCCCGGCAATATATAAAAAAAGGTCCGCTATTTTAAAACTTTTTTCACAAATGAAAGTTTACGCAAATTCCCAAATAGAATATGTGAGGCGAAAACACGCCATTACTGATCTCGACTGAAACGCAGGCTGGGGGGTGAATTTTTGAAGATAGTCATAAGATTTTTACTTCCACCAGATTCAAATGAGTAGACGCTATAAGTTATCTTTCGGGGAATATGAATACACAAAACTCACATTACATATCTTCTATATTAAAATTTTAATATAACTATATAAAGGAGAGTAACATCTCTATCACATACTAAAATGTTATTCCAAGCTCGCTGAGGAGTTTGCTCGGATATAGAAACAACACCGGAACTCGATGGGCAGACATCTCAGTCATAGTGAATACATTATGAGGATAAGTATAGTTTCTCCAGGAAGGCCGACACAACTCATAAGCAACATCTTAATGGCAACAATATAAAACGCATCACCTTAACGCCGACATATGGACTACATCGATACTTACTGGTAAGGATTTATCAGAATATAATAAATTGATTTGTAACTATTAAATAAGAAGGATAATTGCATAGAAATAGCCAAGTAATCGCTATGTGCAGATTTTTCCGAAATAGCTCAAGATCTAAATACTGGTGCATGTATTTATGAATATATTCACTAAATATAGGGTTAATTAATATATTTAGTTATAACAGTTAATAACATGATTCCTAAAATCTATAAATTCATTCCATTATTTCAGATGAGGAGAAAAAGCGAAAAGACTTTAATAAAGATAATATCAGCGGCCAGGAAGGTAAAAGTAAGGCGAGAGAAATTTATCAGAGCCCTCAAAAGATAAATTACAGCCTTGCTAAGGAAACAAATATCAAAATTCGAAGAAGAGGATTGCAGAAACCTACAGAACTAATCCCGCCCCGCTAAAGCAGTATGTTCGGCCGGTTTAATGTGAAAAGTAATGAGACCCATTTAATATTAGAACCAAGTAGTAGTTTTATTATATTTATCTTGACATGATTACTAATGACATGATTGAGTAAGCTTTTTGTTAAGGGCAAATCTGCGAAATCACGTTGTCAGATTTAATTATATGTATGATTTCATAATAAGTAATAATAAGAGATGATACACTCTAATATGTCACAGAAATACTAAGTAATTTGAAACTGTTCTGAATTGCAAATTATTAAAATGACAAGCGCTTAGTAATAACCATTGTTACTTAGTAAAGTAAGTATTCGCGAAACGTTTCTTTATAGCAGGACAGATCATTGTAGAGCCAGAAATAATGGTGTAGCCTAAACATAATTGATGATTAATAAAAGAGAAATATTTCCTTTTTGACAGCCCAATATTTAAAACTTGGTCTGATGAAATATTTGTTATAGATTATCATAATCCAATAAAGAAAAATTTTGAATCTCTCCGTCTTTGCTGAAATTTAGAATCTAGTTGCTACATAAATGAAACTCGTCCGCTTAGTGTACACTATTTTATAACGTCTAAGGACCATGGTTATCTTAGAGTTAGTCAGTGGTACGTCGTCATAGTGGGTTGAAACGCGTACGGCGCTCGTCATCATGCCACGAGAGGGGCCGCCCCGCCCGTTCGATCTTGGCCATGCGTAATTACGCTATATGTGATTTTTGCCGAGATTCAAATGTACTTTCTAAGAGTATTCGCCACATCACTGTACTAATACATTACCCAAAGTAGGGAAAATTACGCAGGTAGAAGAAGGAGAATAGGTTGCATAGCCGGCTAAAGGCCGCGCCAACTTTGCCGAAACACTGATGGCGGGACGGTAACGTCTTTCGCTGAATGGGAGGAAAGGGGGGGTTAGTGTTACTGGATTGCGGAACGTTATAAAAATCTTGCGACAATCTAGACATCATGATTAAATTTAGATGTAACTCTCTTTACGCGCTCAGAGAGTTCAGCAAGTTATAATGAAGCAATACGAGATTATGCGCTGGCGGCGGATATAACGCTTGTCCACTATTTACTAAGGGAATCTGGGGTGCTCATCCTGCCACTGTCTGACGCGTGGTATAGGGTCGCTGTTGTGTAAGAAGTGTGGTAGTAAAAAAGAGGAGTGGCGGGACCGCATATACAAGCTTTGGGCGGAAACTATTTTAACTAATAATTTGCAAAGCGAGCATTCCAGTCTAGAATTGCCGCGGCAGGTCGAGTCGCCGCCAGAAAGAAAAATAGCTTGACGCAGCGTTGTAGCCGCCTTTATTGGTAGCCGTTATGCGTCTGAAATATCAGTAGCGTAGGAGTATAGTTTACTTAACGGCTAGGACGTTAGCGCGACTCATCGCCGAGATTTAATTCTGTTTCCAGCATCGAAAAAGAAAAAAGATAAATAAATTCCGAAAATCTGACGCTCTATGTCGCGCCTTCTAGAGTGGAATAGTAGTATCGCTTCCATGTCCAGGATAAAGCGATATATTACTAGATTCCGCAAAAAACTAGTACTTAACCCCCCCCAAGAAATTAAGAATAACCCCAACGTTAAGCAGTCAATCTTTGTATGATTACTCATTGAATTTTGTTTTTAACAGCTTTTCTCCATCCTGTTATTTGATATATGAACTTTGATAGAATATATCATAATGATTATGATCGTGAGTGGTATTCTTTTGCGAAATAATATTTAATATCTGCCTTAGTAGCTGTCCAATGTCTATCTACTTTCTATCGGAGGACATCGGACTGAGCGAATAATATGATACTATAATTTTCACTTGTAATCGCATCGAATATCTGATGCAAACTGATGTCTGCCATCTGAATGTTCAGAGGTTAGGTGTCAGATAATTTCTTCATGAACTAGGTTATTTTTTTAAAGAGTAAGTACTAGTTCCCTGTAATGACATCAACGTTTAATCTTTAATAAATCGTATCGCAAATATGTAGAATATTAGGAAAAACCTCTGAATAGTTCAAGCGACATCGTATGCCTGTAATCTCATACCGTAGTTTCAGATGCAAATTGAAGTCCATCGCATGATCACAGTGTTTTTGTTCCATCATTGGCGCTTTTGTTTTTGTTTTTTGCATTGATTTAAAAAAAAATTATGGTTTAAATCTTTACGGGATGCTTATTGAAAATTGGGAGATTATTTGTAATTTACATATAATTGCCAGAACTAGGTAACTATTCAAACTCTGAAATTCATTTCTAAAAAACACATTGTTAAAGACTATAACGTTAGTCAATTGACAAAATAATTCTATCTCTTTATGAAGTTGGGGGGGGGGGATTTTCTTGTACTGAGTGAGGCTAAGGATTTTATTATATGCTTTGTTATGCAAAAGGTTTTTTCTGTTGTTTTTTTAATAATACCTCTTAAGTGATTTTGGGTTTATCCATAAGCCACATGTGATAAGGACACCTTCGCTTGTGGATTTGTCTAAGATTTTTTTTTAGTCTCTTAATACCCAATTGTATTCTTCAAAGAAATGGAACACTGCACCCGTTTAGGATAATAGCGATTACTGCTAATGATACTTTCAATAGAAATCGCATGCAAGGTGAACATTTGCTGAATCAAACAGGAACTCATATTATTTTGATAACGAACTTCACTAAGGTACGTCTGCTCATCTGCTTAAAGCAGAAAACTGATAAAATAAGTATGAATATATCCTGGATATGGCTACATTATACCTAATAAGTATATTGCGACTTAAAGTTATGGTATTTGTATGGCGTATATTTAGAAATATATTTTTAAGAACCGCCCTTACCGAATTGCATTCTCTTCGCCCAATGTAAGGCGCGTAGATCTTGCCCATCTAAATATTAAAAGGTCTAAATAATAAAGCATATCTCATCCAACCCTCAAATAATGAACTTTCTTTCCAAACCTGCCGCGGTATCCATTGAATCATGACGTACCGGCTTCTTCGTAGTGTTAAATATGAAACGAAGCAATAAAGATTGCACCAATGAAACTTTTAAATGAGAATTATGAAATGTGTGCCAATATACTTGCCATATCAAATGTCATCAAAGCAACATTGCGTTCCGCTATATAATACGGCGGCTTTGCAAATCGAGCAATAGTTTTACACGCAATCTAATACATTTTAATTTTCCTATATAATGTTGAGTTTGCTATAAAAATTGAGTATCCAGCTAGATCAAAACATGGGCCTTATATCATAATTGACATACGTAACAATTTATTTAATCTGACACGTAATACAAACGAATAACATTTGTAGATCCCAACAATATTATGCCCGGAATTATTTATTTCCCCTCTTCCAACACACACAAAATTAGGGATCCAACGAGCCATGCAAATACAAAACGATTCAACTTTCGTATAAAGATGTGGATTTTTAATAGAAATATAATTCGATCCTTTATAGTTGACCACGCGGTATAAACATTTTTTCCGATCAAAATATTATGTGAATAAATAGTTAATGGTTTAGCCTATAGGACGCGTACGGTAATCAGATACGAGCTCGCCAGCTATACATGCTATTATAACGAACAAGAGCCATCTTCGGCTAGCAAGCATGACCGGCATCTACATATGAGCTTATCTGGTGTCATCGCGTATGGGCATTGTCTACACCATGACCGCACATTTCAATCATTTGTATTATGTTAAATAATAATTCCTACTTTATAATTCGGTTTCCATTATCTATGATGCTGCCATACCTTTGAAATAATTACTAAATAAATACATATTATTTTTACATCTCAAAATAGAAATTTATACACCTTTGTTAAGGATAATATTTTCGAATCACTCTTCCAAGAATACTACTTCATCATTCCATGACAGGATAAATGCGGCCTCGTGTGTAAGTAATCAAATCAAATTATAAAGAAAACTATTTCATTGTTAATAATTTATCTCACCTTGTTGCTGCCGAAATATAGGAGTTTTAATTATTTTAGATTAACAGTAAGTGGTTTATGTTTAGTAAGGCTTGTTTAATGTTTAGAACAATAGAATTGCAATCTGGGGAAGCGTAATATAAATGAAGTAGAGCATTTGTTACTTATTTACTTATTCTCAATTAAAGCGGACTAAATACCCATCGGTAGTGTGTGATGATAAATAGCCTGTGCATTAGCCATAAAATGTCAAGGGTGACTATTAGCAGCTATTAGAAGTAAATTCATCAGCTCAATATATTTATTTTCAGTGCTTTGAATAAAAATATTCTTGCCTTCCTTAATTATAATGAATATCTATTTAAATTAACCTATAAAGGATTAAATGAAATGACTTATATCTAACAGTACGTAATTCTTATATTCGTTATAAATTAATAAACTCTTTTCTAATGTAGAGATCAAAGCCCTGAATTATAAAATGAGGGAAGTCAAATGAAACTAAATTTAAAAGGAGCAACCGGAGCTATTATTTGGTTTATGCACTATATCCACGTTTTAAAATAAAACAATATTATACAAACTTAAATCACCACATTTATTAAAATATAATTTTATTACCCCCAGTTACGATCACACGATAACTTTGAGCAATAGAAATGTTTCTCGTATAAGTAGGTATACTTTCAGAAGATAATATTTTAACAAAAATAAATACAATTCTTAAACAAGTTATCACTTACTTTCGGCAACACATTGAACCCCTTAGGTATCATTCGATGTAGGTCCATATTTAAATTGCCCACTCTTATACAAACCTAATATTTAAACGCAACTGTTTTCCTTCTTTACCTTCTCCTTATGCCAGTCCCTTCATTTCTGAAATTTTGAAATATCTCTGTCAGATGTGTTTTATTTTTTGCTAGCGCGGAGGCTCTATGCGGCCAACTTCTGTAAATCTACAGAGAATCTTCAATACCCCTACATATGGTGTATGGGATTTCTCTTCTCGTAGACACAACAATTTTCCCGTTTCAGGCGTCTCGAAGACAATTTTGCGACTTGCATTGCTGGCATTCTTAAAATCTAGTTCGCGGAGACATTTTTGTTGTTTCAGATACTCATAATAATCTTCAGACTTGTTGTTTGAAAGTCAATTTTCCTTTATCCTTGAATGCATTACACTATATTGGTTCAATCACATCATACGTGTTTTCTCTTAGTAGTTGTTGCGCGGTTTCCTTCTGGCAGTCCGCTTATAGTTATTTTCCGAAGTCCATGTATGCTTAACGGTGTAAGAGGTTTTAAAACATACTTGGGCAGCTTTCCATGCTCGCTTATCATTGTTTAAATCAAAATCAAAAACGTAACTTTAGTTTTCATCCTGTGTTTGGCTAGGACTGATAGCCGGGAGGGGATTGAAGCCGGGGATGAGTGTGGCTTTAGTCGGTATTTTTGTTTTCAAGCATCCTCGACTGTGCTGTTTTATGTTTTCCGTATTTTTTTGTTTCCGCGGCGCGTAGTGATAGTGGTAAGGGTGCGGCGCGTTTTGGGGGGGGGGGGGGGGGTGTGCGTCGAGGGACGCGAGTGGGACCTGGGACAGCATGGTGTCCGCCCGCCTACAACCTCTGACCTTGGCGGCCGTGGGGCCGACAAATCGAACGGCTCACGCGCGATAGCCTTCGTCTCTAGGACACGAGCCCCCTGTGACGTCATTGACAGAAACTGACGCTCCGAAACGACTGACTGCACAATACACGTAATTAATGCAATTTATTATAAATTTATCCAAATTGACTACTCTCTATTAATTGTCACTGTCATTTTTTTATTTAAAATGATTATCGAGACAGTATGCGATACGTGCCCTTAAAGTATATACTAAACTACTTTCGTTTTTTATGCTCCCATAATCACATAATTTATTGTTGTATGTTTAGTTATATTAACATAATTATTTTTAACAAAATATAAAAATTTTCGTTCTATATTAAAGTATTTAGGACACCAATTCATTACGTATGTATCTACCTATTTTAAATCTATCTACTTAAGTATATAGTTTTATCCATCGAAAATGTATAGCCTGATAGGAAGTTACTAATGTTACTTTTACAGAATTATCATATTGTGACGTCATGAATATTGTCAGTTAACTGACATGGCCGTACTTGAAAGAAACATTTTGATTGTTAAAAGCAAAGATGAGTCACAAATGATAATCGAATTGATCTTATTAATAATTGTTAGGTGATAATGGAGATGATAAAAAAGTCGTATATCTCGACTTCGCAGGTGACTTTTCACAACATCCTACATCGTTGAAATAATAATAATGTTTAATAGCTATCGATCTGCTGGCCTTGACGATGCGTACATTACATTAATTTGAGTTGTTTCACGTCATTCATGTGCATCGATAGAGAGGCATATGAACTCTTGTCTAACAAAGCTATTAAGTTCATATATTATAAAAGTATCGCGTGAAGAATCAGAAATTTATTTTATTACTTAATTTTATTTAAAAATTTTATCCATAAGAAATATTGTTGTACCGCTTCTATAACATGTCTATTTTGAATAAACAAATACTGCTATCATCTTAAGGATTAAAATAAATAAATTTATTTTATTAGTTATATTATTGTTAATAGAGGCTATTAATGAGTTTTAATTCATAATGGTGAATCACTGGCATTATTGAGGAAAAACACCAACAACCTTCACACTAGCCAGTCACAAGGGTCACAAAGGTTTTTTTATTTTTTTTTTTTTTTTTTTGATATACGCAAAGTGCTCAACATTAAATGATTCAGGCCTACTTAAGAACTTTTCAAGTTTTTGTTAAAAAAAGTAAATGGAACAGATTATATCTTGAAGGTAGTCATAAATTATAGTTAGGGCCATAATTGATTTTAAATGATTTAAAAAGTGTAGGTAAGTTAGTGACATGCGGTGGTCAAGGCAAAAAAAAGCAGTAGGTATAAGAGTTTAAAATGAATGCTTGCTCAAATACATTATCTAATCAAAAATACACCTGGCTTGACAAAGTTAAGTATATTTCTAAGAAAGTCACCCAATATTGATGTAAGGTTTTCAAAACATTTATTTCGGAGGGACAATAACACTTATTTTATTTATCAATCTTTTTGCTTATTATATATTCCCCGCATCATTCAAGGATAGTAGCGACTATCTGCCAGACCCTCTACAGTCTCTTTCAATAACAGAAAAAATTTGTAGAGTAATCATAATGTCACCCTTTTTTTTTTGGGGGGGGGGAGGCAAAATATCGTGAGAAAAAAAAAGTTATTTTTTCTGGTATTTTTTTTAACTCCCCATTAAAAATTACGTCTATTTATTATGTTTATATTTAAACTCAGCGTCGGCATGAAAATTAAATTAAACCATATTTTATTAAAAGCTAAATGAAGAAAAAAGTAATTTCGTATAATTATATAATCAGCTCAATACATTACAATATACATTTTTTTTACAAGTAGTAACATTGTATGGGAGTAATCGATAATATCATTCACTGTTCTGTTGACTTCCTAACTCATTTGGCCAAATATCGTATTTAGGTTAGCGTCAGATTTGGATGATTTTATGCAACACTTGAAACAAACACGAGGCCTCTTTTCTTTAAATTCTAAATTTTTTTTACCAAATCTAGTGTTAATCAATGAAATGGAGGAGGATGAAATTTCACTAATGCATAGTAAAGAACAAAAATTACCTAAAACTATGACTGGATCTACATTAAAATATAAAAATAATTTTAAATTTTTAATTAAATCAATATTTAACAATGTATAAATAAAAATAATTACTACATATTACTGATAACATAACGTTACGGCCAATGTATGTTTCTATCTAGGTTCTGATTATACATATTTAAAAAATATATGAATAAATAAAATATTTGCTTTATCTACCTATTGTTTATTAATATTCTCGACCGAATTCAATGCCATTCAGTATCGTTAGATAGTACCGCGCGTGGTAATGAAGATGCGCGCGCATATCGTGCGTAGTTACGTAACACGTTGAACGTTTAAAATATTATCAGACTATCGGCTAAACTAACAATTGTTTAAAATATTAACAGAGTAAATAGTGATAAGTTCTTGTTCTCAGGGGCATAGATATGTACTAGTGAAAGAGAGAGAATAGCATGGGATCATAAGAAATCTTATTAGAAGGTGAGAGGTATTTATTATGATTAAAAATTCATGTGATTATAATATTTTATAATTATATAATAAATGACTGCACGGCGTGTATATACAGATGTTTCTTTTGCTAGTTTTATTTTTTATTTAACTTTTTCGTGCACGAATTTACAGTTGCGCAGTTCTTAAGTTTCAGTATTCATTTATGAGTTCAAAATGTATTTCAATAAATATTTTTTGAATAGTTTAAACATTTCACAGATAAATTCAAAAATGAGATTTTGTAATCGGTGGCTTAGCCGGTGGGCAGGCGCCACCATATTTTACGAATCCCATGGACGTGGTAAAAAACCCGTCTACAGTTACAAGGGGAGCTCGGCGCGCGGGCGCGAGGAGGGACACAACGAACACACCACAAGGATATAGGCGGGATTTTTGGCCATGGGTTATACCGATACGTCATAGCTAAGACTGACGGACCTTTAGCACTCCAGAAAGGATTAGTAACCAGGCCATGGTGCTTGGTTTTCTGTATGAATTCACAGTGAGGTAAAAGTGAGTTTTGTATGTACTTTTACATATGTAAATGTTTTTGAATGAATTGTTTTGTTTTCACAAGAACGTTTTTAACGTTTTATAGCTAAATAGTCATAGATATGAGTGTTGCTCTTTGTATATTCATTAACTACGTTAGTTATATTATGATATTTTGACCAAACATAATAAATGCTGTTACAGGTTGGGAATGTATCACGTGGCTGATGCATGCTCAGGGTTGGAGAGGCACGGACGAGAGATGGTGATATCAGCATTCACAAGACCATGTTTCTGGTCAAGCGCGAGCGGCGTTATGAGCGTGACTAGCTGGCCACCCTGGCATCAGTCGTGAAGACAAGAATGCAGGGCGGCTGCTCATCCGAGTATCGCTGTGCCCGGAAGGAAAGGCAGTATGTTTATTAATGGTAATTTACATAGTAAAAATATATCGTATCATTAATAAAAAATGTATATACAAGGCTTTTCCTTTTTTTATCTTTCAGGTATGATAGACGGTTGCGTTTAAAATTTTACTGAAAAATGGAAGGGAATAAAAGGTTTCTTTGCGGGGAGTTAACGCGACATGCACACGTAGATTGGGCAGTTGGCCGTGCAGTGCGGCCCAACTAACTAACATTTTCAAGTCGGTACGTAAGCCAGTGATAATATTAATTGAAACGTTGAATCTTGAGCTAAAATAATTAATCTCTGAAATAATGCATTTGGAACATCATTTTAAAAGTTGATCATATATTTCGGGATTAAAAGCACGTGTGGTTTACCAGAGAAAATTTGTTCCGTCGCAGTGTGCAAAAAGAGTACTTTGCTGTATTATGGCATATGCGAGAAAAACACCTTTGGCCGACTTGCATTCGCAGACAAGCTGTTTAAGCGAGCCTTATGGTAGCTCTTGGCGATCTGCCCACTAGATGTCGTAGCTGTACGACATATACAATCAGGTAATTTAAACTAACCTTGCACAGTTTAAGCTCGGCATTGCTTGCGTACGTGTTGTCAATTGCATCTCATGAGTCAACACCTTAGAAAAAAACCCGTTATGTGATTCATCGATGTTGTTAATTAAATTCAAATACTATATATCGTTAATTTTGATAATGCATGATGATAAGAACATTGATACATACAGCCAATAAAATAAAGCTACGGTGATTATTAACAACGCTAATACCGAAATACATAGGCATAGTTTAAAATAATTCGCGGTAATATAAAATATTACTTCATAATGTAACGATAGTAGTATGAAAAATGTAAATCCATTCCAGAATTAAACAAAATCCTGATCGCTCACGGTTACATGGAGAATTCTCCAGCCGGCCTCGCGTTCACCGCCAGCATAGCTTGTGCGGGTCGTATGTGTTTTGTTGGAAACGCCGCTGGATGTAGTCCATACACGGCTCTATAATCAGGTAAATATGTTACCACCCTGAAGAAAGAGGGCTCAACAAGTTTAAGAGTTATCTTTTTGTGTGCACCTTTAGCTGTCCTCTAATACTCATAAAGTTTATTCGCACTATCTGCTTTATATGTTTAACTTTTCACTTGTTGCATTTAAGTAACTGCAATACAATCTGTTTTTTCTTTTAATTAATTTGATATTTTTTTTTTGTAAACTGATTAAAAGGATAAATTAATATTTCCAGGAGGGCCTGCGAAACAAGGAAAACTCCTCTACAACGGAGTTCTTGACTGTCTTAGAAAAATTTATATGACTGAAGGACTAGCTCACGGCCTCTATAAAGGCATAGGACCACTCTACCTCAGAATAGCAGTGCACCTCATACTACCCTATCCCTTGTAATATGGGACATGTTGAATATAATAGTCATGAATAGCAAAAGGAATCATAAAAACTGTCCTTTTTATTTAAATTTTTCAGTCAAAACCATTACTAAAATTACATACATTTAAACAAACTTTTACATGACAGACTTTCTGTAGTATTTTTTTGTGATTCATGATATCGTATTAAAGGTGGCGTAAATCCAATTTCGACCAGTCCACATCAGAAGAAGTACTAACTAAGAACTGACTTCATCGTCTTCACATGAACAGCTGTCGTTTATTTTCTAATTCATCTTCTCTCACAAATATATCTTTTTTCATCAAACGAAAATATACCCACTGATTCTTTTAAAGCCCTTTAAACAATGTCTTCACCAATTGGTGCTGCTTCAAATGCGTTTGGCCAAAACATTAGTCAGATTCTACCATGGGGGGGTTTTTCGCAAGCTTTTTTAATGAGCCGTCGAATTAATAAGTTAGAAATTAAAATGTAAAAAATTTGAATCTATAAATGTTATAAATATTTAAATTAAACAATTAATTTTATATAATAAAATATAAAGAATAAAAAAAAATAAAATAATATAATAATTAAATTAGATGAATAATGATATATAATATTACAAAATAAATAGATATATTAAATAGATTTATATAATAATATAAAATATGAAATAAATAAATATATTATATAATAGATATAAAAAATAAGATATAATAACATTTCGATAATTAATAATAATAATAATTTAAGATCCTGCTCTCTTTTTCTATTAGAAATAATAAGTATATTTTTGAATATGAATTAAATAAATACATATTATTTCTAAGCTTTGTTAGTTTCAGATTCTACCTGTATACTAAAGGAGTGTTCGCAATATTTGGTTCTTTTAGAAACAAAAAATATTAAATAAATATAAAATAATAATAATAAATATTATATTTAATAATAACTATAAAATCTATAAATTTCACTTTCTGTGGGCTGCAATTCATATACAATACACACCGTCTCTTTTACTAATTTTAAGTGTAGGCTTCTAGACAACTCCGCAATTCTGCTTTTTTGTTCGCTTAGTTGTCTTTACGTTCCTTCTGTAGATTTCATTGATTTGGCCTACATATTAAGCATTGCAGTATATCTCTAATCCAATAAATAAATGAAAATATTAATATAACTTGAAAGATTACTAGCTCCTACAGGCCTCGGAAACAACCTGAACCATTTATTACCTGAAAACATACGAGACGATTAATAAGTTAGAAATTAAAATATCCCTTCTCTGCTCTCCAACTCTCTTCCCTCCCCTCCCTCTCTCTCTCGGCCCTGTCCCTCTTCTTCTCTCTCTCTCCTCTGCCCCCCCTACTCCTCTTCCCCTTCTGGCCCCGCCCTCTGTTTAAAAAATAGCATTCACTCCCCCTCCTCTCCCGCCCTCGCTGATTCGCCTCGCCCCCTCCCGTCTCCCTCTCCCTCCCTTCCCCCCTCTCTCCCTTCCTTCGCCCCTCCCTGCGGTTCCCTCTCTTCGTACTTCTCTCTCCATCTCTCTCCCCCCCTCCCCTCCGTCCTCCTCCTTCCCTCCCCCTCCTGCGTCTTCTCTCGCCATCCTTCTACCCTCTGCCATCCTCTTTCTCTCGTCTTCACGCACTCCTTTCCCCCTCCATACCCTTCTCTCTAAAAAAACTCTTACTGTTGATAATATTGATTCTGCCCATCTTCTCCCTTCCGCTCTTTCTCTCCTCCCTCTCCTCACCCTTCCTTTACGCCTCATCTCGCCTCCCCTCTCCTTTCGTCTCCTTCGCTTCCTGCCCTCTTCCTTTACCCTCTCTCCCTCGCTTCAGCGCCTCCCTATATTCCTTCTCTTCCTCTCTCCCTCTCCCCTTTCCCCGCTCCCCTTCCCTTTTCCCCCTTCCTTTCCTCTCATTTTTTTCGCCCTCTCCTCACCTCCCTCTCTTCCCCCTCTCTCCCCTCTCGCCCCCGTTTCCTACTCCATCTCATCCTCCCTCCTCCCTCTTACCCTCTCTCACGTGCTCCCCTCTCCCCCTTTCACCTCTTCCTCCTCCCTCTAATTAATCTTCCACTCCCTACCCCTCGCTTCTCATTCTACCTCTTCGCTTCTCCCCTCCCCTCTCGTGCTCTCCTCTTCCCTCTATCCTCTTCCCCCTCACCCCCCTCGCCTCCCTTAACCGTCACCTCCCTCACTTCTCCCTCCCATTCTCTATCCTCCGCACTCTCTCCTCTTGCTCTACTCGCCTTTCCTTCCCTCCCTCTCTTTCCTCTTCTCCCTCATCCTTCTCCCCTCCGTTCCCCTCTCCCCTCCCGCTCTCTCCTCTCCCCCCTCTCTCTTACCCCTTCCCTTCTTCCTCATCTTCCTCTTCGATCCTCATTCTCCCCCCCTTCCCTCTTAATTCTCCTCTCTCCCTTCCCTTCTCCCTCGTCTGCCCAGCTCCCCCCTCCTTTTAGACCATAATAAATTCAAAAAAATCTTCCTGTTGCTCATATAGATAAAGAAATTTTATTCATAAAAGCAAAAATTAAAAAAAAATTAAAATATAATATGTACAATACCACATTTATACGTACCACATATATTTTTAAACATAAGGTAATAAGTCAAGCTTTAATATAAAATTCTTTTTCTTTCTTTTCTTTTCTTTAATCTTTATTCACAAAATTAATATTCCTTTAAATTTAATTTAAATTATAATCAACTTCTTTGTATAGCATACAGATTACAAATTCACAACAGTAATTAATAGAATTAAAAACAATCAAAGATTTTTTTATATGGACAAGTTAATCCACTTTTTATAATAGTGGAAAATTAATATATTTGATATTTTTGTTGAATTAAATAACTTTGGTCCAAACATCTTATGAGATCAGATTTCACTTTTGCCTTTTTATGTAGTGAATCCTTAAGTAAGTTTATACAAGGGATCTATTAAATTATTAACGGTCTGATCTGGACTTGAATTTGAAGTAGAGAATGATGAAATAAAAATCCATTTTTTATAAATTACAGAATATGAGAAAAATTGCAATCAGCAATTGTATAGGAAATAAAGGCATCCAGGGAGGAGTTTTAAATCTTCATATACTAAAGATGTGACTGACACATTTCGATTTCTTCTTAGAATATGGGATTACACTGTTTTTATCATCAAAAGACTTACACCCAGACAAGTAACTGTAGTTAGATTCTATTAATCTCAGTAGAAATATAACTCATTAGAAATGATCTGGTTAAATTATATATTTCAAGTAGTATTTTATATTTATTATTATAAATCTCGGTAAAAAGAATATTTTAAATTGTTTTCAAATTCACTTTTAATTCCGCTTACATATATAATCGACGTTACAAAATTTAACTTATCACAATACCAAAGAGACTTGCACTTAAAACATTACCAAAAATATGGAGTATAAATACAGTAATTCTTATAGGAAACACGTTAACATTATTAAATACTCGTACGTCATAACATTGACAGTTCGGTCACGAAACCTGGGTAGCCATGTTTTTTTAGGCTGGCAAGAGCCAAGGAGTCTTTCACGTTGTTGTTTGTTTGCATTACTTCAGCATTGATAATGAATGGGAAGCAACGGGAACGTGAAGAGGAACTTAAGCTAATGCCTTGATTCGCAAGGGCGGCTAGTCGATCTTTTGGCCTTTTATTTTTGGCGTTCCGTTAACCTGAAATAAGTCTTATTACCGAAATGCGTCTACAGCGATTATCCCTTTGTCCGACGGAGACGGGTGATGACATTTGATTTCATCACCATAACCACTCGCAACTGTATCATGTCAAGACACGCGACCTTTTTGTTTTTTTTTAGATTTCTTTGTATTAGGTAAGTGTATAAACAGTTGACGGCTCCGGTATTTTTAACATCTTTCTCCTTTTGCTAAACCATATTTTGAAGAGTATTCAGAAGTCAACTTTCTATCGCCCCCGTGGGCCATACTATTCCTAAGTTTCGATAATTGTCTTAGGAGAGAGCGGCTCCAAAAGCAACTCCAACCTATGTTTCAGATTTATACACATCATGTTTCTTGTGTGTTATCGTCCCCAGGCTTTTCATTTTTGGAGTGCAACAGGTTTCCGGTGTTTCTATTTCCTATTTGATACATTGTTTGTATAGCTCTTTCCATTTACCTTGAGAGTCAAACGTAACCATCAAGCACCTACGACTAACAACAATTTCCATTTCATAGCTTGGAATTTACCAGTTTCTGCATCGACCTGTTCACCATTAGGTCCAATAAATATATTTGGCGGCCCATCTTCCATATCTCGGAGAGCTACGAAACCTATCTACATTTAATTTCCAACCAGTCTTGTGATCTGGACTCCAAATCCACCTAGGTCACTACATTGCTGTTTGCCCATCCGGACCTTTAAAGAACGCTGTGGAACCGGGTTTCCATAGGGTCTCTAAAAGTTTCACTCTGTTTATAGTCTAAGTATGTATATTGCGTTGCATTTGCTACTTTGAATACTTTTTTCCCTTTGTATGTTGGATCAAAGGTTCGCATTCGGTGGAGTGAATTCGATAATCCATTCATGCAGAATCGGTATTCCGATCCCATGGATCCACTATCTTCTGAACATGAACAAGGGCAGATACATCCATATTCGTTGTTTTAGTAGTTGGTAGAGCGGGATTAAACATGTGTACAGGGTGGATCTTCTGCATCAGGTAAATATTCCTAAAGCTTGCTGGGGAAGTTTTTAGGCAGATTTCGTGACACATTATCCCTGAAAGCACTTTGAATAAAATGACGTTTGTGCTCTCTCAAGATCGTCTTTGGTGCCCGTTTGGAGAGGGCCTTCTTCCTGAGCGCTGTCACGATTTTCTTCTTGCAGTTCTACCTATTGTATAAGTTAGCTACAGGTTTGTCTTCGTAAGGATGTTGGTTCAATGCTCTCGGCTTATTGTACGATTTGCATTGGTTTCCATTGTGACGGTGTTATTCGCGCATCTTTTTTTATGAACAACAAGTAACGGTCTCTTTAATGGACGTTTCTTCTATGCCAGGATCTTTTTATCTTATTTTCTTCTTTTAGAAAACACCTCACCCGGATTTCGTGCTATCTTTAACAATCTAACAACATGCCTTATTTGTGGCATTCCTGGTTTCCACATTGGTCGGAACTATGAAAAAAAAAATTAAAAAATTAAAAAATGATTAAAAATAATATTTTATTCATTATTACAAATTTTTAAAACTTTTTCTCGTCTTTACCTTCATTCGCAGGGAATATCTTCCGCGGTCGGCAGAGCCATCCCATTTTTTTCGGAAAAACATTGAGGGCTGAACGTTCCTGTACATGGCAAAGCGTCATTTTGCTATGTCCTTTTTTGCGGGGGGGCTTTAAAAAAAGGGCGAATTAAATCCGAATGTAGTTTAGAATAATCTATGTCTAAGAGTCAAAAATACGTTTTAAATTACGTATACCTTTATAACCATAATAATGAAATTTGAAATCGTGGTCGTCTTTCTTTTTTTTCTTGCTCTTTCGAGAATCTTTTTTCGGATTCAATGATCTTCCTGTCAATTCCTGTTGTCTTGTCTTCTATCTGAAAGTGGCTCTTTGTGAAGAACCTGCTTTTAAACTTCTTTGATCGTCCGGCAGTCTCTCTTTTTGCTTTCACTTCCAGACGTACTATAACGTTTTTAACTTATTTTTGTCAATAAGTTTGTGAAATATTGGACACGGTATAGGCATGTCTTGGCCTATTTTTCGTGATAAATCTTCTCCAACAGTTTCATAACACCTCCACAAACGCTTTACAATATGTGGTCTTTTTAGTAAAACCAAATGTACATTCACAAGTACAAAAGCAAGGATCCTCTCCAACTTTAATTTTCGCCGTGACACCCCCTAACACCTCTTCAATTTTTTGATTTAGTTCTAATATTATCACAACAAGGGTTCTTGTAGGTATTTAAATCTAATAGAATTCTTTCATCTGGTGGCGGTGGTAATTCTCTGTATTTCTTTATGGTCGCAATCAATGGCTTTGCATTAGTTACAGTAACTAAGTCACCTACTGCGTTCAGGCAAATCTGTAGAACAGAGGCTTTGAGAACACTCCACCATTGTCACTGGGTTTTATTCTGACAATCACTATCACATATTTGGAATTTAAACTTTTTTTCTACGGTGTCTGATTGAGGAGAACCTTCTGAGGTTTTCCTACTTGAGTCTAGATTATCATTTTCAACTGTAAAAATAGCCCGACATAGTAGAATTTCCTGTCACGTACTATATTTTTGGATCGGCAAATATATATTGGAAAACATTTCGGTTTTTTTTCGCAATAAATAGATGAACAGACTTCCTTTTTTGAGGTAAGACTACTTTATTGTATAACAAGGGTTCACTTTTGGAACATTTTTATTGATGAAGCAGTATTTTTCACATCATGGCCCTTAGCTCATCAAACTTCGAGTATCTTTTGTTATACTTCTTTTAGTAAGTTCGTTTTTGATAATTTTTCTCTAAACTTGTGGTCGTTTTGATAACAATATCCCTTGAACTATTGTCATTAGCCCGGTGTCGGACGTTGCTTAGTATTGAAACAGGTTTAGAATTAATTTGGGTATATAAGAATGTACTTTGGCTTATCTTCAGACAGTGAAAGAAATCGGCTTGTTATTTTGTCCCTGAGATATGTCAATTTAATGTTGAAATTGATTGTTTTGCTATGCGTTTTGATGTTTCTTCATCATACATATCATATGAATCGTCCACAATCGGTGGTGGTAAGTCAGGTTTTTTTACTAACTTACTTAGATAGTTTAAAAAAACATATACTCCAGTTTATGGATAGTCGATGCTACTTTTAGAATATGGTTCCACTTTTATTGCATCAGAACGCTCCAAAGGATATGCTAGCTTTTAGACATAAGTGTGGAGGCTGTATTTTATTATTATTATTGATTGTCCTGTGTGGCATTTTTCATGTTGTAGGCGACTTTTTTGGAATAGATGTGGCCCTTACCTTTAGATTTTTGTTTCGTTTTCAATTTCTTACCTCCTTTCCGGCAATTTCTTCTTTAGGAGTGTTAATTTTAAACCTAAATATATTTTCGAAGTGTCCTATGGAGGTAACAAGTCATGGGCGAGTTCCTGTAAGTTTTTGAAATCTTTAAGAAGCAACTCAAACAAAAAACATTGGAATCCGAAAGAGCCATTTTATTTAGGTTTTGTTAAGTTATTATCAATATAAGAGGACCATTTTATCATTTATAAAAATTAAGAACAATTTGAAAATTTTGATTCGGTAACTTGCAATTTACTAAAATTGCCAAAACTATACTAGAGTGAAACATATCGAAGTATGGAATGAGTCGCTTTTTATTAAACTTTGACAGTTGCGGCCAGAACTAAAAATGTGTGTTAGAAGCCCAATTTGTATTAATAAATTAGGTCATCAGAAAATATTCAATGATTGGCATTTTTATAATATAATCCAAAAATTCTTTACCTATTATACAATATCCTATTTAAATAAGTCCTACCTCTCCCTCATACCTTAAAAAGCGCTTTGAATTTCCTGAGTGATTCTCATTGTCGCTCTCTTTCGTTCTGACGAAACTTGATTTTAAAAAATCCCCTCTCCCAAACATCCTTCTATTCTAAATCCTTTTCTGTGGAAGCTGTAACGGCTCTGGAAAATTCCTTACCACTTACCATAAGGCGTGCTCAATCCCTAGCAATATTCAAAAGGTTATTAAAAGCAAACTTCCTTCCCCCCTTAAATTTTGTCTTACCTGTTTCCTTAATATTTATGATTTTTATTTTGACTATTTATAATATAAATTCCTACTCTGCGATGTATAACTGGCTTATATTTTAAAATTTATTATTGTATGTTACTTATAGTCATATTTAAAAACTGTTGTATAAAATTAAATATATATAGATTTTATTGTATATTGAATGTAGTAATATATTTGTTTTACTATATTTATATATGTATATAATTTTTTCGTATAAGTATATTTTTCTCTTATATATTGTACACCTGAAATATTTTAATTACTGTTTTTACTGGTGTCCTTACCGTAACATGGTTGCCTGGCAGAGATCGCTGCTTAGCGATAAGGCCGCCAATTGTACATTTTGATCAAGTTTTGTAATTACTGTATAGAACTTATTTTTTTATTTTTTGGTGTACAATTAAAGAAGAATACTGTATTTTATTTATTATTAATGTACACCATTCTTTTAAAACCGTCGACACTACTGAAAACGAATGTGGACTAGTTTTAATGGTACTGAATATTAAATCCTCATATTATTAATTTTGTGTTTCATAAAAGCAACCATAGTATGGACAGTAATAACAAAAATAAAAGCTGATACATTATTGTAAATGATTTAAATTATATCTCAATCTTCAATTTCCTATCCTTAATCTCCTCTTGAATTGAGAATGATTAAAATATAGGTATTTTATTTTAAAATTTTAAATCTTAAGAGAAGACTTATCTAAACGTACGGGGAAATGATGATTATAAAATTATTATCTGGAATAGTCAGCTTTTGAAACAAATAGGTACCTACATATTATAACGACAGCAAGTTTAAGATTCGTCAATATTTATAAATGCCGGTCTATGTTATATAAATAGAAAACTCTTCATTTCATCGTTAAAAAAACGTAGGGAATTATTATTTCTCAAATAATATCACCAGGACCAGGATCATCAGAATACCTCAGGTTCACAAAAACAAATCCAGCTAGTGCTAGAACACCCGCAGTTCCAGAGTTTTTCCCGTACTACAATACAAATTAAAGAACAAAAAAATGCATAAAGTCCTCCGTTTTTATTGCATCTTAGTCTTTTCGTGAGAAACTTGTAAATAAAAAGTTATGACTTTGGGACTTATCTCGGGTATTATATAAGCCTACATTTTTAATGTTATATTCTCTGCAAGGGGTAGTGAAACTGGAAGTAATCGAGATAAAATCTGAAGTATAGATGTATTTCTTTCCTATTTCGTGAAAATTAACGTAATGCAAAAAACAAAATATAGTATTAATCAATTAATTTCATATTTGTTCTTCTCACAATAACAAAAACTTTCATCTTTTTTTAGGGTGTCGCACTAGACTATTCATTCCAGACTTAGGGGAATATTTTTGTGACCTATTTTTTTCTGGATTTTTTTAATACAACTAAACAGACCAACATATAAGCAGCAGCAAGGCCAAGCTAGTACTTGACTAATATCGTTTTTGTTAATAGTTTAAGTAGCAAGTTATGTATTTTATAAAACTCAAAATATCTAATAGGAGGAAGTATAAAAAAGTATGAACACTCAAGGACAATCAACAATTTATATTTTTGAATCTTTTCAAAACATCCTTATATTTTTTTAATCTTTTTCCTACCTTAAAAACCGATTTATGAAAGGTTCATACCATCCAATCTACTATAACCGTATTATTATATTATGGAGAAATACTCTGCTTTCATAAACAAAAAAAAAGTCATAAATCGGTTATCAAGAATGTTTAATGACAATCTACGGAAGGAGTAGACAACATTCGATTGTCAGATGTAATAAGACACATGGTTTTGAGACTTTTTCTAAATTTACTACAGGGGGATAGACTTTTTGGTTGTGTGTTGGAAGCTCTGTTTTGTTTTAACTGGACATTTTGATTCTGGAAAATCGTCATATATCTGTAAGATCTTTCCATGATTTCTTTATTATATTTAAGCCATTTTTTTTAGCCTCTGTAAAATACTTTTTTGCCAATATACTGGAGACAGCTTGTTTCTTTCATAGTTCATGGGCCACGCTCATAACTAATGGGCTCTTTGCTTTAGCTGACGAATAAGTGGGGGGGGGACACAGTTTTTTTAACTTTATTTTCACATGTGGCCTCTGCTCCATTCTTTTCTTTTTTTTACCTTTTTCCCGATTTGTGACCTTTGGCTTGTCCTTTGCCATCGCCTTTTGTCCTTTGTATTATTATTTGTTTTTGGAGGAAACTTTACCTTTCTTAGAATCTATCGTGGACAAAGTTTGATTTTGACTTCGGGACTTCTGGTTTCGATTTTTATTACCAAATACCAAGCCCATTTCCCTTCCTTATCAATATAAACCATCAAACACCTATCTTTAAATTTCGTCCTGAAGCTGTCAGTGAAAATGCCTTCTCAGCTGAGTGTAATACATGCCATCGGGTCCGATGAAGTTCATTGGTACCCATCTATTATCGGGGACCTATATAACCATCTTTATTAATTTCCATCCATATGTGGTCAGGAACCCAAAAAAAACCCAAAAAGCCACCAGGGGGTCACTACATTCCTCCTTTTCCATCAGGACCTTTAAAAAATCTAGGTACTCTGCATTTCCGGATTTATCAAGTAATTTTACTTTATAATCTAAATAATTACTATTGACATTCGTTTTCTCTGCCAAACTGGTGGATGTTTAGCTTTAAACATCCCAAATCGAGCTATCGGGGGTGTAAATTCGATGACCCATTCATCGTCAATCAAGGGTCGCTACTTGAAACGGATCCTTCCTCAGAACAAGAACAAAACATGAATCTATTGGGGGAGTGATTCCTTTAGTTGCTTCCGTTTGGCACGGAACAATCGGGATCGTTTGGATTGGGCAAAGGAAGGAAGGAAACCAATTGCCTGATTATAGGCCTTTAAACAAATCTCTTGGCATTTATCCCTAAACGTGGATTGCAATAAAACGGGACTCTCCTTCTAGTCTGTCTCCGTTCCCGCCTCTCACGTTTTCTTTTGTATTTTTCGTTTCTCTTCTTCCGTTTTTTCCTATAGAATATTACTAAGGGAGGTTTTTCATTTCATATGGATATTGGAAAATTTAGTCGCTCCTTAGAATATTTTTTAAATACTTCCATTTGAACAGTATAATTCACCGTTCTGCTTTTTCACTACTAATGTTTGGTTTTTCATTTCCAGCTTCTTTTTGCGTTGCATCATAGCCAACGTTTTTTTCTTCGCTATTATATCTACTCCATCTCGTATGGCCCTGTAGCGTCTAACTAAGAATTTTATTAGCAGCTCCTGGTTTCCACTTGGGCCGAGGCTAATATATGTAATAAAAAAAGAAAATAGTCCTTACTTAACATGAAAATTAAAATTTTATAACATTACATATTCACAAAATGTATGTATATATTACGAGTAAATAGAATCAGAAAAACACAAGATAATATTATTGTTAATTTGTATTAAGATTATGAAGCTAATCACGTCAAAATAGGTCATTTTTTGTTTGTGATTATTTTTAATACAATGATTTGAGTTTATCAAGTGTACCTTCATTCCAGGGAATATCATCGGCGGTCCAATTTCCACACCCATATTTTTTTTTGGAACTGGTGGATATGGATATTTTGGTTCGGGTTTTTTTTTCAACCAGGGCGAAAACATAGCTATTAATGAATAAAATGATTAATAATGAATAATAAAGGGTACTGTTTATGAAGAAAATATTAAAAAATATGTATATATAAAAATATTAAATATGAAATGTTAACTAAAAATTATGCTTTTTTTTTAAACTTACATTGTGTATCATAGATACTTTGTGGTAAATTTTCCTACTTTCTTTTTATCAGATTTTGTTTTCTTAACTTTTTCTACAAAACAATATAATCTTTTTTCTTAGATGGCCTATCAGAAAACTTTTTTATTGATTCTTGAAAGATGTCAATCTTTTACTTTTCAGGTGCACCCATTCTCGAAACCACCACCACCAGTTCTAGAGCTCTTAATACTTGCAGTGTCCAATTGCTTACGTGGAACTCCTCTTCTTCAGGACCATGGGCTTTTTTGTGTTTATATAGTTTTTATCGTATAACTTATGGTAACACTGGACATGGATGTGGTTTCGCATAATCAGGTATTTTTGATTTTGCATCATCACCTAAACATTCATATCCACCACAAACGGCAACAGTATGTTGTATTTTTTGAAAAAAACTTGAAAGTACATACACAATCACAAAAGCAAGGATCGTCTCCTTCGGGTGAGCTTGTTTTTTTTTTCTGCTCATAAGACCATCCACAATAAAAGTCTTTAACTCTTTCCGCCACGTCACAAGTTTTTACACAACAAGGATTATGTATGTCATCAAAAAAATTAATACAACGATACTACTGTCAGCTGGACTTGGTGACATATCAGTTTTTGCGGGACATACGGGGGCTTTGACAATTAGACCCACCATCGTTTAGCATCTTCAACCCTTCTCTCTTTTTCGGAGTTAAAGTGGAACATGTAGTTTTAGAACAAGTTACTCTTTCAGAGGTGTTTTTGTACTGGGAACAATCGGTAGAACAATATTTAGAATATATATTTTGAAGGACTTATCAAGACTTTTTCTGTTCCACTGGGGGAGATGATCTATTGGAAGGTTGTCTATCGAAATCATGTTCTACTGTAAAGTAATAAACATCATAAAACTTGCTCCCGTTTCTTTTTTATTAAATGGACAACCTTTTCCTTCACATTCACTTTTATCACTTTGGCTATCTGAACAGTCCCTTAGTACAGACTGTATCACACAAGATTCTTTTTCTTGAGTGCTTTCCTGCATCTGTTTGTACGCAGGCACACTGCGGTGACAATCCTTCTAGTGTGGAGCCTTGACTGAACACCCCCTCGTGTAATAGAAATTGTTGAATTTTTTCGGCTACTTTACATTCTTTGCTTCCGCATGGCCCGATTATATCATTCATATTTATCTCTTTATTATCTTCTTCAAGCAGGTTTTCTATATAAAGCTCTCATATCTCTGGCTATCCTGCAGTCAGCTCTACCACACCGGTCCTCTTATATTAGCTATATCGAAGGTGATACCTCGAGATCCTTCGGGTCTCTTACCAGCGTTAATACACATTGTTGCACGGCTCTGATTGCGCTTCTTTCTTAAATCTTTCAGCAAACGCACCTGTTGGCCATTTCGTTTCCTTACAGTAGCATAAAACGATCTATGTCTGTCGCTTTAATTCTAGGTGTGTTATTGTTGGACGAGGAGTAAGCATCCGCATGTTATCATTACAAGACACAATAATTTTCCTTACGTAGTCAATAATATAATCTACATCTGGACAAGTTTCAGGTGCCTTATATATTGATTCCGGAGGCTTATCTGCGTTATTGCATACAGCAATAGTCACCATCATTGAAGAATGTTCAATTGGCACCAGGAGCATTTTTATAGTCAGCATAAACTATTTTTTATTAGGTTTTGGCTTATCTTTCACAAATTATTTTCTATTTTGTTACTGTTTTCTTCGAAAATTTCATCAGATGTTTTTAAAGTGCAAATATATGAAGTAGTTTTTTGAATTTATTGCCTGTGTACAAAACTTTTTTTACAGTAGGATCTTCAGATAAAGTACGAAATGCAGTGGTTATTTTGTCAGTTAAAAAATGAAAGTTTTTCACTTGGATTCCTAATTTGGCCATTAATTTTGCAGTACCCTCTTCAAAAATATTATATTCATCTTTTACCGTAACAGGTAAAGGTTCCTCACAATTACAAATCTTTTCTAAGTAAGTATAAAAAAACCGGATCCCAAGGAATGCAGGTAGATCCGATACAAGTTTAAATTATCTTCTCTACTCATAATAAAGATAATTCCAATGGAAATTTTTTCATACCCTGGATGAGAAAAACTTCAGCGCTACTTGAAAAACAATACAGACTGGCCTGACTGAATAGCTGGCTCAGGAGGTGGTTCTTCAATTTTCCCTTTTTTTACCTTTTTTTCCTTTAGGCTTTTTTTAGGTGGTTTTTTTTTTCTTCTTTCCTTTTCCGGGTGGTTCAGGAGGAAGTGGTGGAGGCTCCGGAATTTGAATGTGCATTTGTTTAGGATCCTTTTAACTCCAAGAAAATATATCTCCAAAATCACTTTTGATAATTAAATGCCTGCTTTCGACCATACTTTTTCACACTTTCTACTACAACTTCAAAAAGAAACATACCATTTGTTTACAGACATTTTGCTTTTTTTTTGGTAAACTTTTCAAGCTTATCAAAATGGTATACTTTACATATTTCAATTTGAAAACTATGTTTTATCTTTCAATAATACTAAAAATTTCGATAAATTTTACTTTTGAACTGTCAATTCACTAATTTATTTATACTTCATATGCCATTTTTCGACCAGTGTTGTACTAGATTCCTTGTTTAATGTTTATAATAATTTAAAATGTATTCCTAAACTTAGTTTATTGTCGGCTGATTTTGACACATGTCATTATGTTTATTTGACACTACAGTTATTGTCATTCTAGATCATGATTGGTACAATAGAATTACGAAACATTTTACTAATTTACGGGTGTATTCTTAAACATAGAGCGGTATAAGATGGGCGCTAAAGAAAGAGGTGATTTGAACTGACCCAAGTACCAGGTAGGAATGCTTTCTGTCATTGAAATACTATGCAGATATAGAGCAAAATCTTTTTTTAATTTGCATTTAATTTTTTTTCACTCATGGTTTTTGAACTTCAACCTTGTTTGTGTATTTTTTATATCACACTTCATTATATTGACTAAAAATTAGAAATTTTTTGCCTTGCTATTTTTAGTTCCGCTAAATACATTAACCAGCATAACAGCTTAAATGACTGGAGAGAAATTGAAAAAAATAAATAATGAGAACTTAATATCTCAATGATAGAGTAAAAAAAAAAAAAAAAAATAGTAATGCAATCCAAAAATTAAAATAAAAAAAAAAAAACATTTAAAAGTGAATAACAAATTTTCCTGATCTAAAAAGATTATTCTAAAAAGTGTTATCGACATGAAGCATTCAATTTAAAGATCATTTTCATTTCTATTAGTACCTTTTATAGTTATGATTTTTTTTATAAATAAATATGTCATTGTCTGTTACATTCGCTACAGGTAAAAAATATATACTAAATTATTTTTCTTTAAACAAAAAAAAAAAAAAGTCTTACAATTGAAACTTAAAGTACAACCAGTCTTGTATACATTGTACACAATATAATGGCCACTTAAATTGCAATACTTAACTTATTTATTTCATAACTTGATATTTAGAATTCCCGATAAATGTAGACTGTTTTTTTGGTTTTAAGAAAAAATAAAGGAAAACTTTAATTCCTGGGTATTTACCTGTCCTTAATAAATTTACATTATTGATTCATTCAACGAAACTTTACATCGCTATCTTATATGAGTACATGTTATGTAAAAATCATATTTTTTATTATTATAATGGAATGTATCATTTTAATTAATTGAGCAAGGGCCGGGCTCAACTAAATTCTTATAAACTTATGATCCCAGTCCCTACTTTGGTATATTTATAGAAAAAAAATCTAATTAAAAGCTATGTGTGTAAAACACTTTATTTTGACAAGAATATTCTACATAGCATGTTTTTATAGAGTTTATATTCTCACATAAGATATTATACATAACAGACATGGCTGAATTACTATATGCTCGGTAACATTATGTTGGAGTCCATAGTACAAAATGCTACACACACATTTTGACTACTTCTATATCCTATTTTTTTTTAATTAATCTTTATTTCCACCCGCAAAAATTTCTTCTTTAACATTAACATTGCATTCCATTGTTTTTAAAATTTTTTTTTATGTTTCTTTAGAAATTATAAAGTTGTAATGTTTTATTCAGTCTTGGGGCCATTGGACATATTTTATCATCACTTTAAGCTTTTGTCACGAAGTATAGCTTTTTTAAATATTTTGGCATGTAGCTGAAGATAAATGTTTATAATATCATGTGATTCAAATAATAACATTCGTGGTTTCTTGATCCTAAATATTTTTTTCTGCGACTAACACAAAAGAGAAAAACATGTAAAACGTAAAAAAAAAACTACTCCGTAGTATGGATTTCGTTGTTGGCGGTTGGCGGGAGTCGGCGCGGGGTTCTTTAGCAACCCGTTTGGACGTTTGTTAAGACTCGGATGCAATTGCAAGGAGAGCTCGTGGCAAAGGGACAACATGCCGTCCATTATAAGAACATACCAACATGCTATGTACACAATTGTTAAACATGACGGGATGTCTGCCCTTCAAAAGGGTTTTGGTACCGGCGTTGTGGTTCCAGTTAGTTGTCAATGGCACGAGGTAAGCGTTTGTTAGAATTTCATATTCACATAACCAGCGCCTAGTTTCTTTGTAATATTTAATATCAGAAACAGTAATGTTTTCCTACATTTTTAGACTGGGTATATACCAACAGGGCAGATAAATTACGGCCTCCTTCGTGACGATCAGAACAATACACTGTTTCTAAAAACAGTCTGTTCTTTGGTTCTGTGGGTGGCTGGATGTCTGGTGGCCTGGTGGGGAGTCCCCCTGCAATTAGTGAAGACTCAGCTCATGTCGTATTCGTCAAGAAAAATAGCAGTTGGGAAAACACAGCACGGCCATCCAGGAACGTTGAAAGCCTTTAAAAGATATATACAAGGGGAAGGAAACGGTTTTCTTTGGTTTATGGAGAGGGGCTCACGGCATGATGATCAGAAACTCAATCGGGTCCGCGTCGCAAATAGCGTCTTTTGCTGTGTGAGTGAATTTATCTACATTATTTTAAATGATTGCATCATGAAAATGATTCCGATCAAATACGTATTTCAATGTTTTTTTCTTAAGCCCCTTTTTACAAAACGATAATTTAAATTAAACAAGAACCTCATTGTTTTTAAACATTGATACACAAAACTAATCGCTAAATATTAATAATTGTAAAAACAAATGCTAGATAAAAAAGATAAAGTAACTGTATTGTTTTTTACATATAAGATTGCATAAGATACAATATTTTTATGTTCATTACATCAAATAGAATTCGTGTTCACTATAAAGATTTCCAGGTGTTAAATCATGTTTTTAGGTGTCACATTATTTGTTCCAGGGTGGAAAGAGTGGGATGGATAACAACGGGGACGTTTTCCCAGCAGTCAAAAGTATTTTGTCATCGTTCGTCGCGAGTAAACATCGGCGGGCCGTCCTCAAGACTATAGTAATTGACGCCGATGGACGTCATTATGACGCGACTTTACAACCAAGGTCACTATTATATTTGAGATTATTAATTAACTATTTATTGCACGTGACTTCGCCCGTGCGTACTTTAGATTAGGAGTAGACTGTAGAACTACAATGTACTTAAAAATAATTGATGTACCCACCTGATCAGCGCCATCTATCTAACGTGTTTTTAGTAAAACTTCATACAGTATACAAATGGTTGCTTAGTTTAAATTTACATTGCTTACATAATAATATATGGAGAGTTTAAAAGTTTTTTGATTAATAATCTTCGCACATTATAATATCTACGTAAGATCCTTTGAATGAGAAACGGAAAAAACGCCTATGAAGATAAGCAAATAAAATCGTGTGATTAAAAATATAGCTTAATTTTTTTTACGTATTTTGTCGTGTGTGTTTACTTAAAAGAATATCAAACATACATACGAAAACTTGTACTTTATAATGTTACTAAAGGCAGACCATGTAATTGAACTTTCAGCTTAACTCATCTGAACTCGGTTTCGTAATCAAATTAGTTTGTATTTATTATTATTAATTTAATATTTCAGCCACTGGACTGGCGTCCGGCCGTGGGCGTGTACTACGACCGGTTATAGCGGACTGCGCGCGCAAAATAAAAAAAAAAATAACGCGTACGGAGGGGCCGCTCGCGTTCTACAAGGGCATGGGGGGGGGCCCTTCATACCTGCGGCAAGGCCCCACCACACCGTACTACTTCTAGTATTCTGGGATATGCTTAAAGATTTACAGAAGACAATGAATATGTATATTTAAGTCGTGAAATGTATATTATAAGTTTAGATAGTTATTAAGCTATGTGATTTTTATGTAGTTTTTGGTTTGTTATTTGTTATAATTGTGTTTGTGAGCGAGGGACAGATACATATAGTAATTAACACTAATTTATATTAATTGTATTATAATGAGAATAAATTTAATGTTTACAAGATTCTCAGTTGTTGTTAGAGAATTGTTAAGGAAAGCTCGTATTAAAGAAGGATATTTTTGAAGTATTTTATTGCAATGACCGTGCCTTAATTGTTGTAAAAGTGCAGTATTTTATTAACACGTGATAAGCATTTGTAGTGATTAATCAACCAAAGAATACTTAAATACCAGATACCATTGTTTTTTAATATAATAATAATTTTTTATGTCGTGTTATTTTTTTTATAAGGTCTCTACGATATAAAACCTCTTTAATTTTTTTTATTATATGTTAATTATTTAATCTGTATTAATCCAGTGTTGGATTCTGTTATTGTTATGTCAAATAGTTTTAGATGGATCTGCATTTTCGAAATAAAACGTTGTTACATATTGACTCTTTTTATTTTACCCGATATTATGATACTCCTATATAAAAATCTGCGATATATTTATTTATCACATCTCGGCAGGAGTGATGACGTCCAATAACACAATAAAAATGGTGTCCTCCGTGACGTCACGGATATGGCGATGGGCGTGTACCTCAGCTATGTTCGCTACGTTGTTCACAAATCCTATAGAAGTAGTGAAAACGAGGTTTGCAACTACAGGGTGAGCTCGTGTCTAGAGGAAAACAACCCTGTAGTCTACAAGAAAAAAAAAACGTGCCCCACGGCTTGTTTCACTATAGCGAAGAACGAGGGGAATCGTTGCTTTACAAGAACGGGACTACCAGCGATGCTTGGCTTTCAGTTCTTTTTGAATACATTTAGGTAACTAGTGATTAAATTGAACAAATAAGAATATTAATTAATATAGAAAAACCTAAAAGCTTGAATCTTCAGAGTTCTTTTAATAGCTATAATATCATTTTACGTCAATAATAATAATGAAACTAATATGTACGGATTATTACGCGTTTCTTTATTTTGACTACATACCCCCGAGGTTTCGGTTACCTTGCAGCAACCGTTATTCCTGGCAGACGTTGCAAAGTAACCGAAACGTTCGGGGGACTATGCAGTTTAAATAATAAAACACGCTTTTGTTATCCGAATATATTAGTTTTCATTTGAATGAATAATCGCGAAAGAGCTCAATAATTATAATTATAATAATGTTTCTGTTGATATTTTGCTCTATATACGTAGTATACTTATTCCGTTTCATGTTTTTTTCAGGCTGGGTGTATATCGTATAATGTGAGCGTCGTGGCCTAAAACCACCACTTCTACTGGCCGCACGTCCCTTATCCGCGGTTCATGCGCGGCGGGCCGTTTGGGCGTGGAGCCCTGGGCTCTATAGCCGGCACTCCGTTCTTTCTGGTCAAAACGCGCCTTCAAGCACAAGCCAGCAGGAGCCATCGCTGTGGGCCATCAACACAAAACACACCGGCACATTTCGATGCGTTGGCGCAGATATATAAACAGGAAGGATTAAGAGGTATTGAAGATATTATTATAAGCAATTTTGTTATATTCATCATCAGCCTATCAGTACCCCACTGCTGAGAGGCCTCTTCTCACATGGAGAAGGTTTGAGCATTAATTACCACGCTTGCTCAAGGATTTGGCAATTTTAAACTTATTTATTTATTTATTTATTTCGGCAATCCAACAGTGCTTATAATAATGACATGATAAAGTATAACTAAATAATATTAAGACCAATACAGGATTACATAGTTAAAGTAAAAGTAGAAACATAAACGTAACTTAAGTACAATTAATAATGGATAACTAATCTAATTAGGAGGACTGTTCGTTGTGTGTGAGCGAATGTGTAAGTGTGTGTGTGTGTGTGTGTGTGGTGTGGGTGTGAGCGTGTCGTGTGTAGGTAAGTGTGTATGCATTTGTGTGTTTTTAATAGTAAATTAAGATATCACTTGCTTTTTTAAAGCCTTTTTAAATTCTGATTTCTACATATTGAATATGTCTAAGTCAGTAAACAAGTCGTTATAGGTAGTGGCTAAACGATTTACTAAGCAGTTGCTTCCGTATTTTGTGCTCATCACTTATACCTAATTTGAAATTATAAGTCTATGTTTCCTCACGAGGTTTTCTTTCAATGTTTGTTAGTGGTTTCTAAATACTGTTAGAAAGTACATACAACTCGGAAAAACCACATTGATACTTACCAGGTTTCGAACCCTCGTCCTCATGCATGAGAGACGGACTTTTAAACCATTAAGCCCCCACGAGTAACTTTGTTTTACATATAATAATGGCATATTATCCGTAAGGTCTTTTTCCGTGGTGTGGGGGCCTCAGATACCCCGGGGGGCGCGGTCGGTAGCGGCTCACAGATGGGTGAGCTTCTCGTTCGCTAAGGAGTGGCTCCGTGACAAAGGGTTCTTCCAGTCCCCCCTCGTGCTGTCCTTTATGGGGGCCAATTTTAGGCGGGCATCGTAATGACCGTCTGCCTCAACCCTTTCGATGTTGTTGCTACACGCTTGTCTAATCAACGTAAGATTTAAATTTTTGTTTATGATCATTAATATTCATATTTTTTAAGTGCATGTTATATTGGAAAGTTTTTTTACCAATTTATATAGGACCCATATCAATTTGAGATCTGTCAACCGAGTTGTCACATATTCGATAGGTTAGAAGTTGAATGCACATTTATTCTTACATATTATATATCATATTATTGATGTACTATGTATATTTCTTAGTGATATGTTCATAACCCACGCTACCATCTTTATCCCATTTCGTACTTTTACTATATTTGGTTGTATCTCATACTATGCTATTTTGCAGACCCTATTTTGACCTCGATATTATTCTATTATGATATAGTATAAACATATTAAAGAAGTATAAATATTAAGTACATTTATTACAGCGTTAGACGCCCAACAATCGCGGCGCTTTATACCGAGGTATGTCAGACTGTTTCGTGAAGATGTTCCGCGCGGAGGGAATCACCTCCTTCTATAAAAAAAGGTGTGGGAGCGAACTACCTCCGCCTTGGACCTCACACGGTGTTACTACTCGTATGCTGGGACCAACTTAAGATATTCGAAAGGCATATATCTTAGGAAATAGCAATTTAATATACATTAGTCGATATTAAGTACAATTTTATATTTTATGGGTATTTTTTTTAATAATAATTTTAATTTTGACATTTTTTGAATTATAGTAATTGTGATTCAACTTACCTGAAGCGGTAGCATATTTTTTTTTAATAATATTTTTTTATTTCTTAATACAGTTTTCGATGTTTTTATTTTTTATTTGTTATTTTGTATGAAAATTATATATTTTATATGACAATAAAGAATTGTTGAAGTTAATTTACTGTTAATTTTATTTTTCGCGATGATTTAAAAATAGGAAATTCCCGAAACTTTTAATTTGAAACATAATATAAAAAATGTAGGTACTCCTTATATGGTTATCTTTACTGATTTAACCTCCTGACTACAGAAAGCTGGATTTATGTAATATCTTTAAAAAAAATACAGTTTGCTACTTAGGGTCCAAGAAAACATGGAAAATTTTTATAAAAAAATTACTTCGTGAAAATTTCGATTTCCTCTACGTCCTATATATAGGAGAAATTCATTGTAATTGGGTTATGCTACTCAAATAACATAAAAGGATATTTATTACTTTTTATGTCAATTTCGTTTAAAATTTATTTATTTTTAAATGGAAAAATAAAACATTTTAAATACTATATTGTCAAAAAAAACACACCAATTTCTTTGAAAAATATTCATAAAAGCACAAAATTGACTTAGAAACAATTTTTTATCGATCAACAGACATAAAAATATTTCAAGCCCAAGTTAATAATTTAGTCAAAAATTAACTCTAAACAATAATAACTTCTTCTAACTCGATTACAATGAAGTTAGTACAACTATCTTAACTATAAAAATAAAATTTGGTATCAATATCAACAGAACAACCCCTTGTTTTAACTTTTGATTGATTGACAATAAATTATTATAAATTACTTATTTATTCCTGTCAATTGTCCCAGTTAAATGAATCCCACAGTCAATATTAGTGTTAAATAGGGAGCATCGAATATATTTTCATCTTTTAATTATGAAAAAAAAGAAAAAACATTGTTAACATTTATATCTGACAATGTCTTACAATATAGGACATTAAATGCCTGATCTTGTTTCAAATACTCTGTAATGTCCTAAACAGAGGACATAGAGAAAACATATGATATAAAATACAAAATCCTACTAATATTATAATTGCGAAAGTTTGTGAGTGTGTGTGTATTTTTTGTTACTTCGTCACGCTCAAAACGGCTGAACCGATTTTGATGAAATTTTGTTTACAGGAAGCTGACGTCCACGAATAACACATAGGCTACTTTACATCCCGGAAACACCGCGGGGCGCAGCTTGTATTCTTCTATTTCAAAAAAATAAAAGGTCAATTTGTATTTAATTGGGTTCAGCTAGCAATAAGTGTAAAAAAAATAACAAATTAGATAATAATTACGACAACTAAATACGATTAAACTTACTTCTGCTCGAGCGCATGTCGACACATTTGTTCTTTGATCCAATTGATGCATGTTTTACTTTTTGAACAATCCAAAAGATATCGTTACATGTTACTTTTGTAACTAGAACCTCATATAAAACGGGTAGATTTTTAAAATTATACATTCTACGTGTAATACGCAGGCGTTGGAGGAGGGTTAAAAAACGTAACCAAATCTCTGTTAACTTTCTCAGTTATTAAGTATCAAATGTGTTGAGAATCTTAACCAATAAAACATATTATAATATTCTTTAACCAATATACATATTGTAAGAAATATCTTTTTCATCTAATCACTAATAAAATAGTCATATACAACGTGTAACATAATTAACGCACACCCTGAAAGTAGTTTGTTCAGAATCGGTATCTGGATCGATTTTTATAGTTTTTTATGTAGATCATTTTTTTTTCTCAAATTTAGATAGAAAACTAAGCAAATTACAGTCATCCCTCGCACGCAACACCAACAGCGACAGTCGGGCACACATCAAATACCTACGCACGTGTCCATTGACCTACTAGATCAGCTGATTTGACGCCACTCGACTTTTTTTTGGGGGGCAAAATTAAAATCGCTAGTTTATAATACAGAGACAACAAGTTTCGAGGAACTAAAAAATAAGATAATAATAACCGCCTTTGTAAAAGTGAAAAGTAAACACTGCAGTATTATCTAAAATATCAGTATTAACTAATACTATAAAGCTGAAGAGTTTGTTTGTTTGAAAGCGCTAATCTCCGAAACTACTGGTTCGAATTGAATAATTCTTTTTTGTGTTGGATAGTCCAATTATTGAGGAAGGCTGTGAGCTATATAACATCACGCTACGACTAATAAGAGCAAAGATATAGTGGTAAATGTGTAAAAAACGGGAGAAATTATTTCATCTTTGAAGCCTTTCCGTTGCGTGCGCCGTGAAAACGGTTCAAGATACACAAAAAATATGTATTAAAGAATAATAGCTCTTTTAATGATCTAAAAAAACAGTCCAAGACAGTATATGTCTATCTTTTAAGATTAACTCATAAAGAACCGTTTTTATGGTACCTAATTTTGTCGAAATAATTTGTTTAAAGTTGTATCAAACTAATAATATTAATCTTTATTCATATAAACAAATAAATATGTTGTTGTTAAGAGTACTTCATTATTAATAAAAAAACATAGGTTTCATCCTGAAAATTCTACGGGAAACTCAACCATTCCGAAAACCCCGCAAGAACGGGAACTATGTGGGAAGAACCATAAAAAATCTGTCGGAAGTAACTATTCCACGCGGACGAAGTCGCGGCAAAAAAGCTAGTTTAAACTATAAGTTTGTTTATGATCTTTAAATTATTGTTTATATTTTGATTCACACCCATTTAAACACGCCGACTTTGTCGTAGGTATTGTGGTATCTAATCAAATCACGCGTTATCAGCTGTTTGATAATTCTTATTTACAAATTTAATTTAACAAATCAGTAATTATAAAATATTGGCTTCATATTAAAAAAAAAATTCAATGTCGACAATCTTAAGCCTGAAAAGTGTGATGGAAAGAAGAATCATAAATCATAATGTAGTTATTTCGTGTACTTATTATTACCTACTACTTATTATTGTCGGACGGCACTCTGAGAGAGGGACGCGGGTGCGGCGAGTACATTGTGTCTGTCTGTGTGTGCGTGTGCAGCGGAATGTTGGTGAATAGCTGACCATATTATTTACACGAAATTGGGATAACTAATTTCACAAATAAAAAAAATGCTAACGCACCATATAAGTAATATTTGGTGTATGCATTGGGTGTGCGTTAATTACGTTACACGTTGTATATTATATTCTATCCGCACATTATATACGTTTATAATAATACGGTCACGTGTCTTTTCTTTAATGATATTGATTTCTCAATATAATATGTAAAAAAAACGTTACTTAAATGAGGAAAAATGTTGTATATAGACTTGTAATTTATTTTTTTTTAGTAAAAAAAAATATAATATATTTATGAAATATTATGTAGTTGAGGCAATCTTATCACCGATGTCACTAACAATGTATGTAAAAAGAAAAGAAAGTCGCAACTCAATTAGTACTGAACAATGAACCAACTTTAATATTTCAAGAAGTAATTAATTAAAAAGCTGTAATATTTAGGTTAATTAAAAATGAATGATTCATATCATTTAATATGAATTATGATAACAAATGTCATGAAACAACATTGCTTCTCTCTAGATGTGTCATTAAACGTTTATATAACCTTACCGAGTAAGGTTTTCAAAAATAGAATTTAGACTCATTTGAGTGTTCCCCTCCACGGAAAATCTTTAGTAAAAGGCGAAAGATTTATACGTTTTGAAGGGAAACCAGAGTGACGACAAAAGAGCGGCCCGGGGGGTAGTGATTCAACGGACGGAAATTTTATCACCGCGATGTAGAAAAGTACCGCATAAAGATGAGCGCCATCTAGTGACTAATGTTGGTACTAATAGCCAACATGTTATAAACAATGAAATTTAAGGAAAGATTTTAATAAAGAAGAATAAATAGAATTTATTATTTTATAAAAATAATAATTAACACAAATACAATCGTATTAATAATAATTGTGGACAAACGCCATCTGTACTATCTGTTGTTTCTGTAATTCATTTGTGAATCTATTGTATTTTTCCATAATAAACTCATTTTAACAAATAACACTTCTGTTTATATAAAAAAATATTAGTAATTTAGGTAATAATTATTATTCTCAGACAAAAAATTAAAAATCATTCTGATATAATAGCATTTATTCTCACAAATTAAAATTATGCTATGATATTTAAGAACAAAAAAGCTTCCTATAAATTAATTATTAAGTACATATTTCATTACCAAGTAATATATTTTTAAGAAAAAATTCTTAGTTTAAGACATAATCAGTTAACAGCCTTGGGCCCACATATAAATTTAATTGGTATTTTATTTTCTCGAGATAAAGACAGCATGTAATTCTAATCTTAAACCTAGAAGATGTTTTAGACCCAGTCTCTTGTACATCCGGAATTAAATAAAACATAAGTCTTTGTACTTTAAACCACATACATCAATATATAAAAAACAAAAACAAAACATAAAAAGCAGGAAAACAGGCACATAAATTATATAAAAATAGATGTTTTTTAAAACAAATTTCAACAATCTTGATAAGAAAACATAATTTTTGGCTCAGTTTATTTTATCCAAATAAATTGCACGAATAATTAAATAATTATCATAAATTTTTTGTCGAAATCATATAAAAAAAGCGACCTCAAGCTTAAAATAAATACTAAACAGAGATAAAATAAATCACTGGCATAACAATAAAACAGACAAATAAACATTAGTCAGATAATTTTTGGTTGTTAAAACAATAAAAAAGGCCTAAATAATTAATAAAAATCACTTGTCATTCTTCACTTTGGTAAAAAAAATAAAAAACAATTTTTTTTCATATACAATACTAAGTCTTTTTAAAGGCTAATGTGATGACAACTTTCTAATAAGGCTTTTCGTGATAATAATTTTTCAAGGAACGAATGGCAGTTAGAAATCACTTTATGCAGATATCACATTATAAATTGGCTGACAAACTAAATTATGGACAAGTTCGTGTCAGCACTAATGACACATTTTAAGTAAAAAAAAAAATAATATATGTAATAGTTTTTTTTTCTTAATACGATCGATATTAGCACATGGACCGTCATATGTCGAGCCGTGACGACCTCACCGGCCGGGATTTGAACCCGTGACTACATAATTGAGCGACCTGGGCCGGGGACTTGCCTCGCGTCTCTGGGAAGTTACATTCTGTAACATATTATCATATAAGTCCTCATTCATATATCTATCAAGCTCCTAAGAACTGAGAATTATTATGTTGACGTTGGGTTGGTCCATAATTTGTTAAAAAAGAGGTAAAATAATTAAACTTCAATCTTTAACAATAGTGACGAGCAGAAGTGTTTACATTATTTAATATTTTCCATCAAACCACAATGATTGTTTTATGAACAGAAGCGTTACGAAACATGGCACGACATGAACACATACTCTAAGATTAAGAGTTATATATTGGGGACTTTATATAAAAGTTTTAAGTTGACAAATTCGTTAATCAGAGATATATTATATATTTTTTCTTGGTAGTTGAAACTTCTTTATAAACAAGTTGTTCGCAGAAATGTTCACAATGTATATATTGAAGTATGATTATATTTTATATTGAAGTATGAACAATTCAAGGGGATTACGAAGAATTTGTTAAATCAAGGAAATCGTTATATTGAGGTACGTAATATTAAGGTTTCATTGTACTTATATCTTATTTGCTATAAAAATCATACTTACTTAAGGAAACAGAAGAGTATTCCTGTAATGCCAGCGAACACGAAGAAGCAGTATGCTCCTAGTGTATCTCTCATAGTAGGGAAAAGTCATCCCCACTATAAAGTTCCCTCCCCAATTAGCCAGAGAACCCCACGACATGCCGGCAGACCGAGATGACACCTCGAACAACTCTGTACATAGATAATGTGAGTTTAATATAAAGAAAAGTAATTAAAAGTAGTATTTGTAGTATCTCGTGATATATAAACACAATTATATAATGTCTGAGATGTTACATAATAGAATAGGTTAGTATAGTAATCGTTTATTATACGTTCAAACCATGTTATACTATTAAAATCCTTTGATATACTTCATGATAGAAAATGAAATTAATAATTTCAACTTAGTGATGCCAGTGAGATAAGAAAAAATTACTTTTTATTCTATATAAAAGCGGTCATATACATATTTTGAATCAACATTGTTTACATTATTTATCTTGTCCCGCTGGACTGAGTATTGAAATAATAAGAGTATTACAATAGTAATAAGTCACCTGAAGCTATGAAGTACGGTATGGGACCGAGACCGAGGGGCCGTACACTAGAACATAGATGAGAACTGTTGACATACACACGAACGGCATCCAAGATACGACGTCCTAGAAGAAAAACATATGTTAGTGACATACATTATATGACTAAATACATAGTATAGATTAGTGTGTTTGATAATGTTAAGGAAATAATCTATAAATGATCCATATTGATATCCTATTCAAAATATATTACAAGGATTATAATATTCATGTTGGCATCTCCACAGTCTTTAAGCTTTGAGTGAGATTTCCATATAAATATCAATAAGTAGTCCCTTCGTTATTACGGTTCATTAAATATAATGCTTAATTCACTCTCAAGTCAAGGCCATTTTACTTGCTAACCAAAATAGTTTTTATGTTAAGAATTAAATTAACTCACGCTATATATTTTCGCGAAACCAAGAGCTGCAAGTGATAAAGTCGCAGCGAGTGTAGAGCCGAGTAGTAAGGGACGTCGACCGGCGTGACTGACCACTCGAGACACAACTATCGCTGTACAAACATTGATAGCTCCACACGAGATGCTGGCCAACTGAGAGCTGTGTTCAGACAAACCCGCCTGGCGGAAGATGCTCTGAGAATAGTAGAACACCTGCGGGAAATAACACGCATTAAGATTTGTTAGGATCAATATAAGCTATGTATGGTAATGGCCTAGTGGTTAAAGCCCCGCCTCTCATGCATTAGGGTTCGAAACCTGGCGAGTACCCATGTATTTTTCCGGGTTAGTGTGCCTAGAACACCTACCATTTTAGGTTACATATTTACCTACCATTTATGGGTTCCTACTGTGATAGCTGATCATTAGTCAGTTTTAAACATTTAATATAATATTAGTATCTCTTGTGCATGAGGGCGCCAGTTCGAAATCTATCAAGTACCAATGTGATTTTTCCGAGTCATATGTACCTTTTAGGAGTATTTAGACACCGTTAAGAGACGGTGAAAGAAAACATCGTGCTAAAACCTGGTCATATATTTTTAAATTACAAGTTTGAAATCACCAATCCGCCTTGAGCAAGCATGGTGATTAAAGCCTTTCTTCGCCATATGAGAAGAGGCCTTTATGATAATGATACTGATAATACTCATTTTGTTAAGATCAATATATGTATAAGTATGGTTTCTCTAGAAAGGGATGCGTTTTAGAAGTAGGACAGGTAAGAATTTCGAATTCCATATGTTTATATAAGACTACCTCAGAGTGTCCCGACAATCGTTACGGTTAAATCATTCAATATTCACGATCAGCGGATTTCTAACTCACAAGAAATAAATATCCTATGATAGATCCGACGATATCTCGACAAACAAAAAATATAAATTACAATATACACATTTATTTACTCTCAGCTTTACTTAACACAGAAAAAATATAAAGACGAAATGATATAATTAATATACACGATATGAAGAAGCAGTTGATATCATGATGATAATGATGACATACCGCGTTAATGCCGCTTGTCTGCTGTCCGGCTTGTGCTGCACACACCAGCAGCAGAGGCAGGCGGAGGGCGGGGTTCCTCAAGGCGGACAGCAAAGACCCCGACCTGGACGGGGACTCAAACCTGAGACACTCCAGCTCACACGACACACGAGACACACTCTCACCGCGGACACGACTCAACTCTGGAATAAACATTATATGATAAAGCCTTTTATTAATCCAGGACATAGTGTACAAATATTAGTTTCATTAAAAAGAGGACATGTAAAAAATCTTAGATCTCATTACATAGTGTACAATTGCGACTCAACTCTGGAATAAACATAATATGATAATATTATAATTGCGAAAGTTTGTGAGTGTACTTCTTCACGCTCAAACGGTTGAACCGATTTTGATGAAATTTTGTATAAAGGAAACTGACGTCCAGGAATAACACATAGGCTACTTTACATCCTGGAAATCCGCGGATAACACCGCGGGGCGCAGCTAGTATGATAATAAAGCCTTATTTCTCCAAGACATAGGTTAAACAGTACATTAAACTAAATAAACATTATAAGCTAAATATGTTATGGTTCTTTTGGGTATAGGCCTCCTCAAGTTGCAATAGTTTGACCATTTCCATTATAAACATACTAGACATTAATCTATTAATAAGGAGTGTCAGTTATATAGAAAAGTAATGAGACATACTATCTGTATTTATATAAATAAAATCAAAAAATTATTATAATCCGATTTTGATATTAATTTCAATATAAGTGAAACTTAAGAAATCATTCATATTTCTATATAATTTTTAAACTTACATATATTTAACATGTATAAGGACATAACTGACCATCAAGAGCGGCGACCTCATCTCTCCTGACCACAAACAGGTACTTGGGACTCTCAGGCAATACACACAGGATTGGTAAACTAATAATGACTAGCACCATGAAACAGGATAGGAGATACGGCCAGTTGTCGGCACCACCTGCAATAAGAATAACATACATTTTTAAAAAGCTTGGGTTGTATATAACTAGCTCTGTAACGGAATCTTTGAGCACAACCTTTAAGTCTTTCCAAGAGTCTAATTAATTTGAAACTTTGAATATGTATCAAGGACCGATGACAATGGCATGTGCTACTGACTACCAACTACATTTCATATCTTTCCTCTCATAGAAAATTTTGACATGATTGATGATGAATGATTTTAAAATTCAACATCAAGCACCTCCCACTTTTTTACTCTAAATTAAAATAATTTCTTTGTTATTGAAAATTATTTTCATTTTTTTAGTTCGGTTAGCTATAAAAGTGTGTTTTTTTTAAACTATTATTTATTGAAGTGAAACTTCTAATGCGACTTCTAACAAAGTTGCGTTATGGTTTCAACGCTCAACATTTTTCCTTTTTACATTTTACTCCTTTGGCAAAATCTATAAGGAAACGCCACTAACTAAAAAAGAAGTAGAACATTTTACTTACTTAGCAAGTGTCTTTTGTCAAATTGATATAATAGCATAGCTTAGTAACTGACGTAGCTTAGTAATTGAAATTAAAATATTGTTTTACTTATCATTGTTACCAAAAAGAAAAGTTATAATAAAAATATTATAAACTATTAATCACCAATATAAAAGACAGACTATTATAATCCTTCTTTGTTAATAAGACGATTTATTTTTAAATTATAGGCATCGAAGGACTATGATATACTATATTAATCAATATTCTATTGTATATACATATATTATTTATGACTTTCCTCACCTAGCAGACAGTCTAGCCCCATGACCTGTCCCACCAGCACGCCCACGTTGACGCCCATGGGACAGGCGACGCCCATGGCGCCCGTGAGCGACGTGGGCGCCAGCTCCGTCAGATACATAGGAACTATACTTGTTGTTAAACCTGAAGAGTAAAAAAATAATAGTTAACGACTTCGTTAAATAAATTTATTTGCAGATATATGTTTGCGTATTTTGATAATTTATTTATAATTATACTTAATTTAAAGTTTCTTTTATAGAGGCTAGAATTGGATAAACGAAATGATAACAGGAACAGGTATAGGAATGAAAATAACTTGATTTATGAAGGCCGAAGGTTGGCCCAAATGAAGTGTGCAAACTTTATAGTATAAACCGTGACCCTTAACCCAAATCATTTTTTTTTTATGAATTAATTCAATTTTCCATACAAATAATATTATTACCTCCCGCCAGCCCTACCAAGAACCTCCCAACGATCATCATCTCCACTGAGTTGGCTGCTCGACATAACAGAAACATGACGCCGCCACATATAAACAGAATATTGGTTGATATCGTCGCCTTCTTACTGAAATTAATAATTAATGATCTATTAAATACATGACACCGGTGAAAAAATTTTTTTTACTTATTAATTAGATCAACAAATATTAGAATGGTTTAGTGTGAGGAAATTGTCAAAATTTTACGATATATTTTTTATAATGGACAATGGACAAAGATATTGAAAATAATAAGAAAATATATATTTATAAAATGCTATAATCTAGGTAAAATTCCTCACTCATGTTTCAACACCGCGTGTTCGACTTGATATCGGATAACATAAATGAATAATACAAACAAAAAAAAACCGCAAATGATATTTCGATTGCAAACTGGGTTTACGATCTTGGAAAATACTAAACGATTTTAATTACGAAGGAAAAATGTAATGAAGGTATTTAAGGAAATTGGTGACGAGGAAAAATGTGGGGCTGGGAAGGTTGATTTATTAAATTAAAGGGATTTCTAGTACTACCTAGTAGTAGTAACTACTAGCTAGTTTTAGGTAGCGTATTTTTTCATACCGGCCGAGTTTGTCAGCTAGCACTGAGCCGAGTAATGACCCGATACAGCCGCCCACGATGAACGTAGAGACAACGGCCGACCACAACACGTTAAGCCATTTATTGTCCAAAGGTAGATCATAACGGCTAATGAAACTTTCATTGCAGAAATTCTTCAAAATCTATAAAACAAAAATATATATAATATACTTGAAGTTGTTTTAATTGAACCAAAACATTATAAGAGGCTTAGAGGATTAACTATTAAATAATTATAATTCTTAGCCTTTTGCTTGTAAGACGTTTGTCTAAATCTGTGTGTGACTGAGATAGGGAAAAAAATTTAAGTATTTGTAAGACAGTTCTTCTTAAAGAAGTCTAAATCATAAACCATTATAAGATGATCTCCACACCTCAGCTGGCGTGTTCACAACTCCGATGTTGAATCCGACTGGCAAGGACGAGCCTAGAGTGGTCACCACTCCGGCCAGGACCAAGTAAAAAGACCATCCCGCTTTGTACTCGTTAGAACTCGTCAAGTGCTGGTGCTCATTGGTTATCTTGGAACAAAAACAAATATCTTAAATAAATATTAAATGATAATATAAATAACTTCAAGATATACAACACTAAAGACGATAGAATTACATTTTGGAACCATTTCATTGATCTTATACCATTTTATGTCAGATATTACAAAAAATATTTCTGCATTTCACATCAAGCCAGTCGAAAAAAGAGTATATCTATGTATATGACATAAAATATGTCTTGAGGATTAGTTAAATATTGGTTGGTTCGAGAATGGAAAATTAGTCGGCGCAATGTAAACTTGTTATTTATAAGGTACTTAACGAACAATACCAGTTAGGAATGTAATTTATTTTATCTCTATACTACGACAAACAGGCAGCTAATTTTAAAAACTTGAAGAGTTCTTTTAAGTAATATTATTTGGAACTAATTTTTGTATAATTATAAAAATAACTTACGAATAATTTATTTAACATCTCCGTGACTTTCATTGTTTAAATGATAAATTCTTCTTACTTCATCAAATAAGAAATATATAAAAGAAAGGGACTATGTCAGTTGCGAATATTAAAGAGAAAACTGACTGGTTCGAAAGATAGTATTGCGAATTCAAATAGTGGGGATAGCGGTAAATGTGAAAGTACTTGCACTTTATCTAAACGATATAGCAAAATATATAATTATGCTTTACACACTAATATAAAAAGAAAATTACTTAATATTCCCAATTTAGTACCACCTAGTTTATTAACTCAAAAATATATTACTAAACAAATGAGTGTGAAATCAATACTTTTTAAAACATAAAGTAACAAAAGCAACTGAGATATCAGTGACGAATGGTATGACAGAACAAAACAAGAAGATTATCCAGAACCAATCACAGAACCAGCCGTCCATGATGAAATACGAGAGGAAGATGGAGGCGAAACCGTGGCCTGTGATCGCTGATATATTGTTAAGAATCATTATATACAACATATTCCTACTTATATATAAACTAGCTATTACCCGCGATTGTGTCTGCTTAAATAAAAAAACATGAAAAATCTTTTTAGCACCGCATACGCCCCGCCTCCCACTCGCGCGTTAAAACGCTTAATTTAGGATCGGGATAAAAAGTAGACTAAATTTCTCATTATTACACCGGCTACCTGTCAATAAGTCTCATAAAAACCGGTTCAGCCGTTTCAAAGATTAACTTGAACAAAATATAGACAAGCAGACAGATAGACGGACTTAAAAAAATCGTAACTAATGTTACTTTAGAGTGCGTGACATATACAGGGTGACTGGTGAATTACTATCAATATTTAAGGAGAATACTCGGTACATGATTCTCATTCGAATTATGTAAAAAAAATAGGTACTTAATTTTTGACCAAATTTCCGTATAAATAAATAAAGTGTGGACACGTTCAAGTGTGTGTGTGTGTGTGTGTGTGTGTGTGTGTGTGTGTGTGTGTGTGTGTATACCTAATCTGTAGGGTGTTCACACGATGCGTAATTAATTACATAACTTTTGGTTAACTTTACTTAGAAGTTTATTAATATTTATGTTATATTAATTTTTATTTTGTCATATATGATCGTCAAATATCATGTCCTCAAGTATCGATAGTAATTCACCAGTCACCCTGTATATATTTTTCGTTATGTATATAGTAAAAAAAACATTTATTACAATATCACATAAAGACCCCCCAATATCATTTATATGTATAGATAATTATATTTTAAGCGTAAGCTGCGATTGACGCGCGAAAGAGATTTAGATATTTTTAGTATTGTTAATTCTACATAATCTATTTACTATCCCATCATAAATTTATTGATGCATAATTCAAACCCATCATTGATAGCACTGGTCAACAAAAAAACAACTTTTGCCTGTAAAATGAAAACTTTTATCTAACTATGTTAAGACGAGGAAAAAGATACTAAAAATAAAATTTATATGCCTGCACTTTTTTTTGTAGTATTTTATAACATATGTATTAGAATTAATTTTGATTTTTTATCAACTAAAGAAAGTTTTAGTTTAGGTTTTATTGAAGAACATGGGGAATTTAATTTTATTATTTTCATATGTATTTTTTTCAGGAATGTCTCATTTTAATGTCCAACAGTAATCCAGTAACATACGTGGGCTCTACTTACTAAAAGGGTAAGCAGGCAATTTAAAATCAGCAAGCTTCTTTCTAGTTACAAAATATCGTTGACCAGTGATAACTTTTCAAAACAACTCAGGATTATATACGTCATAATACAATCAATACGACCCAAAAAGTTTACGTAACAAACGATTGAATCTAAAACGAGACTACAGATATTAATAGTCAGTTACATTCAGCCGGATGCTAGATAAAATTAACTAATAATAATATTGTTATATAAAATGTTAATCAAGAGGAATGTTAAAAGGATACAGGTGAGGGCAACAGATGATGAGAACATGGTGACTCCGAGGATGAAGGTGATGAATTCGATCGCAATGAATACTACAGAAACAGCGAGCCCCACCACCAATCTGAAATTGGACCATCATAAGCACTAGCCATAATGTACACCTACAAGTTACAACCGATTCAAATTAAGTAATAATTGCTAGGAAATATCAGAAACCTTGCCACTTCGAAACAAACCTTCACACCGTTCATGGCTTAATTATATATAATGTATAGAATAAACAATTCAGGACGTTGAAATAAAACTAATATTTTTCGCATTTATTACGCGTTTATAATTATTTTTAACAACACACTCCCGACGCGACGTTTCGGTTACTTTGCAGCAACCGTTATCATATTAGGATATACTTATAGAAAAGTCCATTGAAATTATATATGAAAGTTTTATCGTAGTTTTTATTTACCTTTTAAGTTGTTAGTGAAAATCCTTTTTATATCTCACTTCACGACAGATTAAACTTTTTTAATCATCTACTCTCTAATTATTTTGATAACGCATTTAATATTTATCGTAAAGTCGTGATTAAAGTATAAAAATATTTATAAAAAAAACACAGCAATGACAGTTACAATGTTTGACTTTGAAATAACATTTTTTTTTTTAAATGATAACTAACTGTCTTTGGAATAAAAACAGATGTTTTCGGTAATCAATTATGTGTTAATAATACGAGAACATATTATGTTATATTGCAAATTAGTTTCTAAACTGTTTAAAATATTACTCTTACAATAATAAAATATACAAAGTAAATATAACATCTCTATGCATAATCGAAGATTTATGTCACACCATACAAAGCGTTATCAGTTTCTCATACATAAATCTCAGTACATTATTAATATTGAATGAGAAATTTCAACGCTCCTTATAAAGTGTGACTAAACAAACTTAATATAAGCATACTCGTTTAACAAATTCACAGAGGCGAAAACATACATATAATTTCTATCGTATCTGTAACACTACACTGACTCCGTCGTTCAGTAATCGCTAGCTTGAATAATAATAAGTAATTCAGAATTTTATTATTTAGTTACGAGTTTAAGAACATATTGGTACGGTCCAATGGATGTTAATCACATATAAAAAATAATACGAAATTATTTTCTGAACATTAAAAACAATCAAATATTACGTTCTACTACGGCTGTAACGAATTTAGTTCGACCTTAGTATTAAATTTTCGTATATATAAAATAATTTATACAAACATTTATGTAATAAAATCCAGTTATAAAATATAAATAACAACCTTAAAAACTTTATACATAAGTGATTCCAATATATGTATTAATAATAGTCATTATTTGTAAATATTTGCTTTACGTATGAGAATATTACTTCAAAGTATTACACATATTACGTTTTAAAAATATTGGACAACAATCCACGCTATTATATCTCACAATTTATTGAAAAAAAAAAAAACATTTTTTTTATTTAATTAATTTTCTTACTCACCTGGGTTTTCGTCCCTACAGCCATGTTAAAGTATAACCGTTCGCCACTAGATAAAAACTTATTCTAAGTGATAATCAAATAATACGTACATAAAACGTCTCGACTTAACTAGTGTGATGCGACGACTTTACTCGCAAATTAATAAACATGTGTCAAATATATTAAAAGTATATTTTATACCACCTAACTAACTGATGCTTTCCTTATATTTTTTTTAATAACCTTTTCAAGAGTTTATAATTCTGTAGCAGATAGATTTGCGAACAACCTTGGACTTTAGACCCGTCAGAACCGGTGTATTCGTACATAATATGTAAATTTTATTACTAATAAATAAAAACTCACTTCGCTGGATGCTGAAGAGCCCATATATATATTCCACGTTACGCACCACCTCAATAGGGTGTCATGTGAATTTTCGTCCACTAATTTCTTATCTTATATAAATTTTAACTACAATTTTTTTATATTATTTTCTCGATAAATGTCACGTGATGTTGTCGCACGTGAAACGTTTTCCGACCTGACAGCCAATACGCCTTGCGTGCCCGTTACAAACCACGTCGTGTACCATGTTTTGTAAACTGAAAACATTAACCGGTTTTAACCGGTTAAAGGCGTGAAGAAAGTAGGGCTGCGGTACTACAAAATTGCCCATATTATTATACTTAATAAATCAATAAATAAAATATTCCATTATAAATAATTTATTACGTGCATATAAAGTTATGAAAACCAGATTACGTTTCATTAATAAAAAATAATGCATTTTATACCTAAGAATTATATAACATTAAATGTATTAAAAAAATTACTGTGATCAAGTTTACTAAAACCAAACATTTATTTAAATAGAAAAAGAATTCTCTTTGGTAAAATAACTTTGATTTGTCGCATGTAACAATATCAGAATTTTATTAAATTTATGATACAAAAACATTAAATGAAAAAACGATTTCAGTTATCATGGAAAGTAAATATCCGACTTATTTGTAAAGCAAACAATCTATTCAAATAATCAATTATAAACATATAATCTAACATAATTCTTACACAAGCAGTAATAAAGAGCAAATGGTTCTAACTACAATTAATGTATAGTACCTAAAGATAATTGCATATTCATTAATTAAATATATGTATGGAAATTCAACCCTATGTAGTGTGATTTACAATCGGACTCTCATGCTGGTAACAATGGCGGGCTTCATCAAACAAACTTTTCATAATATACACTAATCCAACTGGATTTAACTGGCTATTAAGTTTTTAATATACAAGAACAAAGTCAAGATGACTCTGTGGTACGCTGAAATTAAAAAGTTTAGAAATATATTTTTTTGTGCCAGTGTTACTGTTTTGTAATGTAAATATTAAATGAAATTAAAGTTTTTGTGTTTAATAAGTATTCCACCTTAGTCTTATATTATTTACACCTACCCGTAGACGAAAAAATAATCGAATTCTTTTATTAGCTTATGTTTGATTATTTTATGAATGTTAATTGAAGAAAACTAAGATTAAATCTTCTAATGAATGAGATTAATTATTCAAGCGGTATCAGTGTTACACGTGTCTTTGTTATGCACTGCACTGCAGTAATTCAAATGGAAAGCGGGTGATGTTACGCATCATCAACGAAATTAATTACTAAATAAAATCCTCAAATATCTTGGAACCTATGACTTAAACTGTAGTTAAAATAATACTAATAAGTCATTTCAAGAGGTTTTGTTTACTTACCGCTTGTGATACGTCTGGAAGTGACTGTCGATATAGTGGCTGGGCAAACAAAGACGTACACTCTGATTGTTCTCCCATAGCAAAGTAACTAGCACACAAAAGTGGCCAAGGAGAGTCAAGAAACGGGCAGGTATCAAAGTACCGGCCCCTCTCATGCCGATTTCGAAACTCTGAAGGCTTTAAAGTGCTAAGAAAATGTAAGCTCGACCAGAAAGCCTACTTGTCTCAGTTAGGTATAACTTAAAAGTTGATGTTATGACTTGTCAAATCGTTGACATTAAAATTGTTTCGCGTTTTGCAATGGTTATGATTAGAGGTCATGCTGCCCGGTGTTTAAAAGAAAGTTTTTTACGTTTTAATTAAAGATTTTTAAAGTTTAAAACTAATAAAATTCTTGCATAGTAGATAAAAATTATGATGATAAAAACTGAAGATCTTTCAATTGCATTAATACATTGATATTTGATGATGGTTACAAACATATGGAAAATAAATGTTCCATGTATAGTAGATTAATTTGTTATGAAGTCGAAGATATCCTCAATTTCATTAACAGTTCATAGAATTTATTCATTAATGTCTTTGAAGACTTGCAATCAAGCACGGATTTTGCAAATATAACTTATGTACTCTTTATTTTGTATTATATTAACAATAAAATTTAACAAATAATTTGAGCCAGAAAATACAATTATTATTTTAATATGCGCTGGATTCTAGATATGTTATTCAATTAAAACATATTATGACTTATAAATGTATTCGCAGTTTTAAGACAGAATCATAACAAACCTATGGTTTTAATGGCGTCCATTGCCATTTTTTCTATTGGCTAGATTTATGGTGTTACTTCATTTTGTAGTATATTTCTGGTCTTACACTAGTTGACGTTCTGATATCTCATCACCTTAATGCATTTATATCTAAAGGTCACACTTAATAAATAAACGTTATGTTTTTATAATGTCTAAAATACTACGGTTTATATATTCCAATTACTTATTTCAAAGCTCCTTATTTTTTAACTCCATAAGCATATGACACAGTATTTTAATTTTTAAACATTGCGTTTTGAAACCCGTTCACCAGTCATTAGCCGGTCGCTAATGCAAATATTTAACGTCATTGTCATTTGCGAATTAACATAAATAAAGTAAAAATAAACAGTTCGCTGTTGTTTTCACATAATCTTTATTTAATTTCTTATAAATGAAGCTTTTAAAACCCAGCTGGGTGAATCATGATGGTGAGTAAAGTGAAAGAACAGTGGTAATTATGGTTTTTCATAACGACTATAACATTAAAGAATCGTCTTTTTGCAGACAAACCAATATTCTCGGTGGATATTCATCCAACTGGGAAGCGGTTTGCTACTGGAGGGCAAGGCGGTGACTCCGGTAGAGTCGTTGTTTGGAACTTGAACTCTGTTTTATATGAAGAAGTCGAAGTGGATCCAAATATTCCGAAAATGCTATGCCAAATGGACAACCATTTAGGTTAGGAAATATATCTGTTATAATGTAAATACAAAAAAATTATACAAAGCTTACATATTTAGCAAACATGTCTGTTTCAATTATAAGTTTTTAAAAATTTATAAATATTTAATGAAATATATTTTATAGCTTGTGTAAATTGTGTCCGATGGAGTAATGATGGTCGCTATTTGGCATCGGGTGGTGATGATCGGCTTGTGATGGTGTGGGCTCTGAGTGTGGCCACATGTGCGGCCAGCAAACATAAGACTGAGACATGGCGCTGTGTATCGACTTTAAGGGGACATGCAGGTAATGTTAGCTTTACCTTACTTTTGGACATTGCCATGAGCAAAAGTTAGGCATAAGGGACTTATATAAGTGTTATATATTTTTCCCCTTAATCTATTTATTCATAAATATAATTGAGTATAGCTACAAGCTAAATGTTATCACATAATATATGTAAATCTACAAATAAAACACTTATAAATGATGTCATCGTACATAAACAATTGAATCTAAGTCTCATCTTAATCTTTAAACCCAGATTAATATATGCTTTTAATAGTTACTACATATAAATATTTACTTTGAAATTTTAATTATGTATTGAAATACATTATATTATAATTCTATGTCGTAATATTTCAGGTGATATTCTGGATCTGGCATGGTCACCGTCAGATAAATGGCTGGCAAGTTGTAGTGTAGACAATTCCATTATTATCTGGAACGCCGAGAAGTTTCCGGAAATGGTCTGTGTGTTGAACGGACATACAGGTCTTGTGAAAGGTGTTGCTTGGGATCCAGTAAGTTTTATACCTTGAGAATTTGTTATATAACAGAAAAGATATATAAAAAAGATAGATATATCTTATATAAAATTCTTGTGTCACAATGTTTGTTCCCTCCCAAACGGCTTGACCGATTCTCATGAAATTTTGTGAGCATATTGAGTAGGTCTGAGAATCAACAAACATATATTTTTCATACCCCTAAGTGATGGTTGTTAACCCTTAATTTTTTTTTTAACTTTTCGGACGAAATTAGTTTGTTTTTATTTTTATTAATGCGGCATTAAAATACATACAACCCAAAATTTTTATTTTTTACCACCAACCCCTATTTTTTTATATGGAAAAGAATGTTTGATGGGTCAACTAGTTTTCATATATAAAAAATATGTACTTTTAGTATTTTTTGTTTACTTTTTTTTATAATAATTTCAGGTGGGGAAATATTTAGCATCACAGTCAGATGACAAATCACTAAGAATCTGGAAAACAGCTGATTGGGCGATGGAAAAAACAATCACAGATCCCTTTGAAGAATGTGGAGGTGATTTAATTGATTCATAGTAGTGTGATATTTCAATATACACTATTTTTGTATATTCATATATACTTCATTTTTAATTTAGTTATGTATGACAGTACTTTCTTAGTGAATAAGAAAATTGATAACCAAGTGCACTAAAGTTAATTTAATAAATCAAAAACTAGAAAACTAGTTCTGAAGTATGACTAATATTAAATAGTACATTACGAAGATAAAAATACGAAGATAAAATTTTTTTAGATAAACCATTCATATAAATCCTCTTTGATTGGGTTAAAATTAAGCCTGAATTGTATGTGATCATCATTAATCATGATGAGAACTTCTTCCAATATAACCAATACATAGATCTTTACTGAGAAAATATGCCTATAATTTTAGGTTATATATCTAGCTACCATTTATGAAGTGCTACTATGCTAGCTGATCACGACTCAGTTTTAAACATTTAATATTAATTTTATTCATCAACTAAATATTATCTTCCGCCAATATTAGTAGTTGTGGTGGCCTAGTGGTTAAAAGCTGTCCTCTCATGCATGAGGGCGCGGGTTCGAAACCTGGCAAGTACCAATGTGTTTTTCCCGAGTCTTGATCAAGCATGGTGATTAATGCTGTAAACTTTTCCATGTGAGAAGCTGCCTTATCAGTGGGTTCTGATAGGCTGATGATTAGTATTAGTATATCACTAATTCTCTTTTTAATATTAATATCTCACTAAATCTTTTTTCCCAGGTACAACCCATGTTCTTCGTCTGTCCTGGTCTCCTGATGGCCAGTATGTGTTGTCAGCTCACGCTATGAACGGGGGCGGACCCACGGCCGGGGTAGTTGAGAGGCAGGGCTGGCTCTGTGATAAAGACTTCGTGGGACATCGGAAGGCTGTCACTTGTGTTGTGAGTTACCGTATGATATACATTGTTACTTATATATGATAAATGATTAGACTTAATATAACTGTCTGTCCACGTATAATAAAAAATTAATATGTTTGTCATCATGGTATTTGGATATAATGAGATCTAAGATTTTCGCGAGTACTCATTTGAATGAAACTAATATTTTCGGATTTATTCGCGTTTTTATTTTTTATTTATCTTTGAGAAAATATTAGTTTCATTTATTTGGATATAAATTCGTGTGAAGTAATATACACAAATCAACCAATTGGAATGAATTTTGCGAGCAAAATGAAATGTATTGTGTCATTATACATATATTAACTTTCTCCTGTCTCTTATGTCTATATGTGTACTATATGCTTTATATCTGTCGTTGTCGTCCCCGGCCAGCGCTTCAACAGTAACATCTTCGTGAAGGAGGGCAAGAAGTGTTGTTGCGCGGCCGTGGGGTCCAGGGACCGCGCGCTGTCCATCTGGCTCACGTCGCTCAAGAGGCCGCTGGTTGTTATACACGAGCTGTTCGGGAACAGCGTGCTCGACCTCTCCTGGAGCTCCGACGGTACACACACAGGCACATATACGCACGCACGCACGCACGAACACACGCACGCACGCACACACACACGCACGCACGCACTCTCGCGAACATATAAAACTACAAGTATCACAGTCAATGTAGGCAATTATTTATTATATATAAAATGATTTAGCAAGGAAGAATTGTAGGGTCAAGTTGTTCGACCAATCAATAAAATATCATAAAGTTACATTCTGGAGACTTTATACAGGCGACTAGGGAGGGAATTTTAATATGAAAAAATGTAGACAGATATTCTTGGGAATGTCAATGACATTTATTAATTTCTACGAAATCTTTAGCTACAACAACTCAACAGAAAGATGTAATCTGTAGTTCTTATAACGTGTTGCATTATACAAGACTCCAAGTAGTGGATGACGGTATAGTCACTATAAAACAAGAAGCTTGACAATACTCAAAAGGTAGTTTTCTTATGTAAAATATAAAAAATATACTAATACATATGTACGGGCACGACATACACGGCTAGTCATGTACAAACCAAAGTAATAATTAGTAAGTGAACTAATAATAAGTTCTGGCACCTATCTCTAAATCAATCTAAACTAATAATTTACAGTAACACTACTCACGACCACATCAAATGGTGTCTTTCAGTTAGTCTTATTTTGTGTCATCTATATGTAGCCAGGGATTTAAAAATTTTCTCCGTATAAGTACGCTGAATGCACTAATTATATCTAGAAGTCTGGTAAAGTGAATACTGTAATTATACAGCCACCTTCGTTATTAAACAGAGGATGATTTTAATAATTTCAATTACATTTTCAACCTTGTAATGTATAAAAATCATGAAAGCGTTTCCTGACCATAACTCACATATTTTCTTTATTTCTTTCTTTCTCTAATGTGCTAGTTATTTGTATTTAATTGTGTTTTCTTCTTCCAGGCCTCAATCTACTAGCGTGCAGTTCAGACGGGACCGTCGCCTGCATAATGTTCACTAACAAGGAGATCGGAACACCGCTCACAGTCGACGAGAAAGTTCGTTATAATATTAGCAAATAAGTGCCGGCGATAGGGGGGTGTGATGGGGCGACGGCCCATGGCGCCAAATTTAGGGGGGCGATTAGTGGGGGTAGGATACTTATAAATGAAAAAATAAAAACCACGTCGTTAGCTCTGGGTCACGCTAAAGGAAAGATGGAAGATGGAATATAGAATTCTTAATACACGTTCAGTGTTCACATAGGTTCAGAAAAAAATAATACTCGATTTTGATTTCTTTAAGTGGGCGCCAAAATATTCTTGCCCAGGGTGTAAGTTCCTCTAACGCCGGCACTGCAAATAATATTAATATCAATATATAATAATTTAATATATGTATAATTTTTTTGTATAGAATTCATTCTACGAGAAGATCTACGGCAAACGATTGATGAATGACTCGGGCGGTGACTTGTCGTCAAATCTATTGGTAGAATGTCCGGAGATTATACTCGCGCGAGAAAAGCAAGAAACGAAGAAGGAACCCGTCAAAGAAGAAACTACGCCCAAGACTTACAAGTTCCAGGTAATAATATTATATAACAACTAGCTGCGCCCCGCGGTGTTACTTGTATTTCCGGGATTTCCGGGATGTAAAGTAGCCTATGTGCTATTCCTGGACGTCAGCTTCCCGCATACAAAATTTTATCAAAATCGCTTCGGCCGTTTGAGCGTGAAGCAGTAACAAACATACACACACACAAACTTTCGCAATTATAATATTAGTAGGATTTTGTAGTACATGCTATATATGTAGGATTTCAGACCCCACTGACGTCACTAATGCCACTTCTTTCATAAATTCCATAATATTCTAAAATGAAACTTTAATATCTCTAAATATTCTTGTATTTCTAAAGCTTCTATATTTTTCAACGGTCCACACTCACTGAACTGTCCTATCGTGGATTCAGAAGTTTTATTTATACTAAAATTCAAACACAGTTCTATTAACCATTAAAAAAGATATTGGTTTCGTTTTACTCTTTACAACAATTATGGATAAGTTTTTATAATAATTGATACATCAATGTACTATGTTGCATCCATCATTGGTGCTGATAGCACTGATATATACCTACTAGAAGACCCGGCGAACTTCATATCGCCCTATAATCAAGAAATATCTGATACTTTTTTTTTAATATTTTTGGAATTTACCTATTAAAGCCATAAATCTCCGTGTTTTGAAGTGCGACAGAATGATTGACATATTTGTTAGTTGTCAAATCTAATGCCAAAAAAAACTTTTGTATCAACAACTACTAATAAATTAAAAATTAATTAAAAAAACACAGTCATGCGGCCAAAATTGTGAATCTAAACCATTCCCAGATTCCCTGGAACACACAAAAAATTTGATCAAAATCGGTCCAGTCGTTTGAGAGAAGTTCAGTGACATACACACTCACAGAAGAATAATATATATATATACAGGGTGACTGGTGAATTACTATCAATATTTAAGGAGCATACTCGGTACATGATTCTCATTCGAATTATGTAAAAAAAATAGGTACTTAATTTTTGACCAAATTTCCGTATAAATAAATGAAGTGTGTACACGTTCCAAGTGTTCCAAGTGTGGAGGCGTGCGGCGGCGTGCTGATACAACACTACGCCGCCGCCGCGTCTGTGTGAGTGTGTGTGTATACCTAATCTGTAGGGTGTTCATACGATGCGTAATTAATAACATAACTTTTGGTTAACTTTACATAGAAGTTTATTAATATTTATGTTATATTAATTTTTATTTTGTCATATATGATCGTCAAATATCACGTCCTCAAATATCGATAGTAATTCACCAGTCACCCTGTATATATATATATATATATATATATATATATATATATATATATATATATATATATATATATGTTTATGACGTCACAGCCACAGCCCCAGCCCGTATCCTCGTCCGCGCCGCCCATGGACCGTCAGATAGAGACTCGCACGTCTGACGGCAAGAGACGCATCACGCCGGTCTTCATACCGCTCACACCCGCCGACACCAAGTATGAACACTACACATACTTTAGCAGTCTTCTCATAGTAGTTCTTTAGTAGTCTTTTCATAGTTGTTCTTTAGTAGTCTCTTCATAGTAGTTCTTTAGTAGTCTCTTCATAGTAGTTCTTTAGTAGTCTTTTCATCCCCACGTGATACAAGGCTTCCGAGTTTGAAACGATAAACTGAATACGCTAATTTTATAGTTCATTATATATGAACTTAGCGGAAACTAAAAAGAAAAAATTATAAATGGAAAACTGGAAACGAAGCGTATTTGGTTTGATGTTGCAAAACTTGTGGTACTATTATTATCATGTAATGGAAATTCTCATTCAATAATAGTATTAATTTTTTTCGATATACTTATGAAAGTATTTGCTAATTTCATGTAAAAGCCTTTGGATTATAAACATCGGAATAAATATGTATTAATATAATTTTAATTGTATCATACATATGAGTTCCTCGTGGAAATAAATTTTCGTAAGTCGTTTTAGATATTATGATAGTCAAAAATATTAATTTTATTTTAATGCTTAGTACTAATGTACTGAATGATAATTTTTAAAACCTTAAATTCAAATAATTTAATAACAGCAACATTTTAAGAAGTATATTATTATATTTTATTTATATTATGCATATATTTAGTTTCCTTATGAAACAAACTCTATATTGTGTGTTTGTTTTTTGTTTAATATTTAGCCTATTTTATGTTTCAAAGTCATTGAATATATCTGTTATCATGAATTTGAGTGGTAGAGATGAATATATTTTAGTGATGATGATGATTAAAATCAACTGTAAAATAGAAAGATATTGTTTAAATACTATGAGATATTTATTTATTTCTTAATTTGCTTGAACTTTTCTTGCACATCATTATTTACAAATATATTTAGTGACATCAATTGTTATACAGAAATACTAGGTTAATCAACAATTTTATTTAATATAGTAATATGTTCATAATATATTTTGTTCTGCAGTGAGTCTCTAGGTTCCCAGCCGGCCACTGAGAATTGTTTCAGTACATCCTCACAGAACAAGTCGAGAATAAGAGTGGAGAGACGAGACGACATCGTCATACATCCTAACGTTAGCAACCACGCGACCACACCTAGCGCTGACACGTGAGATATATACATATATAACATACAATAGTAGATATGATTACATGTAGCGCCATCTATTGACCAAGGCACGTCATCTATATACAAAATATAAGTTTCTATGTCCCAACGTACTTTTCTGTATATGTGGACTATAATAAAACGTACCACAGAATAGGTTTTATTATATATAACATTATTATTTTGCCATTTGAGCTATATTTTTATAAAGTTTCATTAAAATCTATTTAGTAGTGTTAGCGTGACTAGTAACAAACATCCATACCAGTTAACTGTCACGTTTGTGATAATATGTAGTAAGAACAGAGAAAAAACTTCTCCTGTAAGAATGGTATCAAATATATTTTTAAATGTAAGCACATTGCTGTTAGTCGCATACAACTTCATAATCGTAATGTTATGTCATCAGCGGTGTAGATAATCGCCTGCGCAAGCGCACGTCGCCCCCCCTGCCGGGACCGCGGCTGGAGCCCGTCCCTGCCAAGCGCGGGTGCCCGTCCCCCACGCCCCGCGCGCCCGCCGGCCCGCCGCCCCCCGCCCTCGGGGCCGCCGGGCCTGTGGTGCGGGCCGCGGGGGGGCTGAGGTTACAGGTGATGAATAAAATACAACATCAATGATATTGTGGTTAAAGACATTTATTTCTCAAAATAAATTACATTTCACTTAATGATAAAACAAAACAAAATATTACGTACTAATTTAGCTGTGAGCGTTTGAGACGGATACACATTTTTTTTACATAGTCTTTCACAATATGACTTACATATTATACATGATATGGTTTTTTTTTCTTTAAATAATAATAGGTATATAAAACAAAATGTAGTTTAATGACTAATAAAATAATAATGTTTTATAGTGGGTAATACAAGATATTACAATTATACTAACGTTATTGATTGAGCTTTCTGTGATATTTATATATAAGTAGTTCTTAAATTTATTTCATAAAAAAATGCAGTCCTTTTCCTTATGAATGTTAAAATACAATCCATACATATATTCTTGTTTGTTCATAGATCATCTACATGTGTATCTGATGTTTACTGTTGTATATTCTCCGTGCAGGTTCTAAACAAGGCCTGCAGCACGTACTTCGGCACGTTGTCTCGTCTGGAGCTCATACCCAACAACTCCGCCTCCAACGATCCTATATGGGGACACGTACTTGGGTATGACATTACTTGAAAAACGATAATTTTATTATATAACCGATATTAATTGTAGTAATAATATAATAATAATAATAATTTCTTTATTTTTGCAACATAGTCCAACTTGTTAGTATTTTTTTTTTACTTATAAAACTATGTTAGTCTAATAATAATGTCTAAATTAACAACATATTCTGAATTAGAATTAACAAAATAGCCATTCACTAAACGGATATCACATAATTAATGTTAGGAGTTACAATCAATTATACTATCTCCTAACAAGTATTTTTATATAATGCTGAAGTATTGGTGCATCAAATTTACTTGTGAGCACTTTTAGTATACTATTGGTGCTTGACCGCAGTCTTGTTGAAAGAGATGAGGACTTTTTTCTTACAATAGCATAATACATTGTTTAATCGATATACTCCTATCCCTATATGTTAATTCTTTATCTCTTCTTCTTTATCTCATACTTCATATATTAACCCTGTTCATGTTTCAGGTTCCCCAGTGACGTGTATCGCGTGTGACGCTCGCTGGGCGTGCGTGTCGTGTGCGGATGGCTCGCTGCACGCATGGCGCCTGTCACGGACGCACGCCACACGCGCGTTACCGCCCATCGGTGAGACACACACACACATACCTCACATACATATGAGTTATTTTGCCTCTCGTAAACGATCAAATATTCTCATTAAAGCTCCTTTAAATTTTTTTGAAAATATCTCCAAACTCAATTATGTTCTCTATATATACAATCGCATTTTATATAAATCTCATATCAATAATAATTTTATCCATCTTACGTTGAAATACTACCTGGCCAGTTTTTAAACCAAATGGAACAACATCCAATTGATATAATAACAACGGAGTAATAAAAGCGGTTTTTGTGTTTGCCACTATGGATTTTTTGTTTGCCAGTATCCCGAATTCAAATCTAATTCCGCAAAATACCGTGCCCCCCGCCAGATACATAATTAAATTATCAATTGCCGGAATAGGATAACTGTCTACCTTCATTGTTTTATTTGTCTTTCTATAATCTACACAAAATCTCCGTGTTCCGTCAGTTTTCTTAACCAATACGACTGGCGATGCGTATGAACTATTCGATTCTTCTATCACCCCTAATCCCAACATTTCTTTTACTTGTTTGTCAATAATCTCCCTTTGAACAGGTGAAGTCCTATACGGACGGCAATTAACAGGCTGCTCATCAATTGTCTCGACCTCAACCTATATTATATCACAGCATCCCAATTGTGAATTCTCAAATGCGAAAATATCCTTATTTTTATTTGGTATCTCTAATAATTCATCCTTCATTTGTAACATTAATTCTTTTCCTATAAAAAAATTATCGTCGTTTAAAGTGAACTCGCATTCATCACTAAGAGACGAAAAATAAACATAATCCTGCATACATAACCCAGTTCAGATTCTATAACGAAAAGTCAGTGGTGGTGATTATGAAAGTCAGTGGTGGCCTAGTGGTTAAAGGGCCCGCCTCTCGTTGCCAAGGGCGCGGGTTTGATCCTGGCCCGGGCAAGTACCAATGTGATTTTTCCGAGTCATATGTACTTACTAAGACTATTTAGACATCACTGATTAATGTTGATTCCCAAAAGGGGGTTGATGTCAGGCAGGCGGCCGGTCGTAAAAACAAATAGCCAAAAAAACTATTCACAACATGTAAGGCAGACCCTGGCTATAGCTGGGAAATTGCCAGGTAGAAGAAGAAGAACGATTATGACGATGACGATTAATAATTGTTATTAATTCGTTACTCTTATCTCACTATACTGTATCCTTGTTCTGTCTGTATTCCCTGTAGCCCTGTCGTCGCAGGCGTCCCGCCTGTGGTTGTCGGGCGACGTGTTGTCGGTGGTGACGTCATCAGCCACGCTGGTCGTGTGGGACCTCTCGACCGCCTCCTGCCGCGTCACGCCGCTCTGCTTCAGAAACCTGCTCTCGTCAGACGACGGTATGACTTAAAATATCATATTCATAAGTTTGATTGGATTTATATAAGGAAACGTCACACTTAAAATATCATATTCAATCATTTATTACTGAAATTGAGTGATTTTTCTTTGTAAATTTCCTCTATTGATGTTTGTAAGTATATATCTATACTAGCTTTCCGTCCGAAGCTTTGCCTGTGTGGAGTTCGGTTATATCGCGTTTCCAAGAGAACCTTACAAAAGTCTGGAATAAAAACTATCCTATGTTCTTTATGAAGGTCAACTCTATCTCTGTACCAAATTTCGTTAGAATCAGTTCAGTGGTTTAGGCGTGAAAGCGTAACAGACTGACAGGCAGAGTTACTTTCGCACTTATAATATTAGTATATATATATGTATCTCTCATGTTCCAGTGTCCGTGACGAGCTGTTCGTTGCTGAACGACAACAACCCCATCATCACCCTCAGCAACGGCAAGAGTTATATATACTGTATGAAGCTGTGCGCCTGGTGAGATACACTCATATATACGTATATTACTTTAATATTGTTATACCTAACTCACCTTTACTTGCATAAATTTATAAAGAAATATTCACTAATTTATGTAATATATAAAATGTCCTGATGGCCTAGTGCTTAAAGAGTGTGGGTTCGAAATCTCGTAAGTGCCAGTGTAATTTTTCCAAATCATACGTACTTTCTAAGAGTATTTAGACATCACTGACAGACGGTGAATGAAAACAAAGCGAGGAAACCTGAATTTATAATTTCCAATTATAAGTTTGAAATCGCCAACCCGTTTTGAGCAAGCGTGGTGACTAATGATCGAATCTTCTCCATGTGAGACGAGGCTTTTGCTCAGCAGTGGGCTCTGATAGGTTGATGATATATATTTAGGATTCTAACAAAATCCTTATAAAAATATAGTTTTCTTATAAAGCCAGTACTTTTAAATAACAATAAAACCTTAACTGGAGCAAATAATTATTATCTTATACCAAAACATCTTAAATGAGTTAAATTTGATTTACAATAATGCCAGTCGTGTTCACAACATACTTTCCCGCGTTCAAAGAGAAATGGCCAAGCGTCATCGCTATAATGTCACTTCGGATGCGTCCGGGAGTATAAAGGTTCGGTTCGAAAAAAAAAAAGTGTGTTCCCTAAATATATATACATATATATATATATATATTGTAATTTTTCCAGGGTGATCTGGTCGGACGCGAGTGACCCGGTCCGTCGCGCGGGCGGCGGCGTGTGTCGCGCGCCCCGCGGACCTCAACACACACAACAACCTCCAACACAGAGGACGATCAGGACACTCGTGTGAGTCTTACGTTTATTATATCGTGTAAACTCATCTTTATATAGCATCTATAATTTTTGGACGCATATTAGTACTTCATGAATTGTTAACGAAGATATAATTCTATGTTTACAGAAGCTCCATAAGTTATGTACTCAGGTTTTTGAAATTATTTTCATAAGCTCGCAATTCTATATGAGTATATGAAATGACATCTCCTATTTAATTTAACCAGATTAGCCAATATGACAAACAAGAAACACATACTATCCGCTTTTCCTTTCTTAGAATTCAATTCAATTTGTTGGCCACAACTATCCTATACTACTTGTGACCCCTTGCTACGCTTCTCCTGTAACCTTTATTACAGGAGAGGATTCGTATTACTAATTAACAGTTTATAATAACTCTGCGTAGTCTTAACGTGAATAAAAATGACCTGGATAGTATCCTAGTAGCTTTTAACGCTTCTCTATAATGTTTGGTATATCGCATAAATCTTGGAAGTTCTCCGTCAAAGAAAGAATTCTGTGCAAGCTCTGCCAATTACCATTTGATTTCTCTTATATGTAAATTGACCTCCATTCTCTGTAAGTGTATTAACCAAACATGTCATGGCACACTCAGGAGGCAGAAAATTTTGTCAGTGATCACGCGAGTTTCGACTAAATCAAAAATGTTAGCATAGATCTGATATGAGATCTAAGACTTTCGCAAGTGTTCATTTAAATGAAACTAATGTTATTCAGATTAGATTCTTTCGCCGGTTCTTCTCAGGTCAGGGTATTTTCTTTTCCGAACCGGTGTTAGTGTCTCAAGTGACCATCAATAAGAAAGTGTAATGCTTCTATATTGAATAAAGTTATTTGAGTTTGAGTTTAGTCTGCGTATTTTTAAAAGCTACATACTCTCGACGTTTCCGCTACTTTTCAGTAACCGTGATCATTAAGACGAGATGTGAATGTGTGTCAGTTGTTCCTGTTATTTACCACGTACGGGTCACTGACCTCTCTCCTTATATGAGTTGTTCATGTTTCAGTAGCGCGCAGTCATCTTCGGGCGCGTCCCGCTCGTGGCTGGAGGCGCAGCTGGCCGCCTGCCTGCATCTACGATTGGCGCCCGACTACAGGCACTGGCTCACCGCGCTCTTTGAACATCTACTACAACATGGTACACACACACACACACACACACACACACACACACACACACACACACACACACACACACACACACACACACACACACACACACACACACACACACACACACACACACACACACACACACACACACACACACACACACACACACACACACACACACACACACACACACACACACACACACACACACACACACACACACACACACACACACACACACACACACACACACACACACACACACACACACACACACACACACACACACACACACACACACACACACACACACACACACACACACACACACACACACACACACACACACACACACACACACACACACACACACACACACACACACACACACACACACACACACACACACACACACACACACACACACACACACACACACACACACACACACACACACACACACACACACACACACACACACACACACACACACACACACACACACACACACACACACACACACACACACACACACACACACACACACACACACACACACACACACACACACACACACACACACACACACACACACACACACACACACACACACACACACACACACACACACACACACACACACACACACACACACACACACACACACACACACACACACACACACACACACACACACACACACACACACACACACACACACACACACACACACACACACACACACACACACACACACACACACACACACACACACACACACACACACACACACACACACACACACACACACACACACACACACACACACACACACACACACACACACACACACACACACACACACACACACACACACACACACACACACACACACACACACACACACACACACACACACACACACACACACACACACACACACACACACACACACACACACACACACACACACACACACACACACACACACACACACACACACACACACACACACACACACACACACACACACACACACACACACACACACACACACACACACACACACACACACACACACACACACACACACACACACACACACACACACACACACACACACACACACACACACACACACACACACACACACACACACACACACACACACACACACACACACACACACACACACACACACACACACACACACACACACACACACACACACACACACACACACACACACACACACACACACACACACACACACACACACACACACACACACACACACACACACACACACACACACACACACACACACACACACACACACACACACACACACACACACACACACACACACACACACACACACACACACACACACACACACACACACACACACACACACACACACACACACACACACACACACACACACACACACACACACACACACACACACACACACACACACACACACACACACACACACACACACACACACACACACACACACACACACACACACACACACACACACACACACACACACACACACACACACACACACACACACACACACACACACACACACACACACACACACACACACACACACACACACACACACACACACACACACACATATATACAGGGTGACTGGTGAATTACTATCGATACTTGAGGACGTGATATTTGACGATCATATATGACAAAATAAAAATTAATATAACATAAATATTAATAAACTTCTGAGTAAAGTGAACCAAAAGTTATGTAATTAATTACGCATCGTGTGAACACCCTACAGATTAGGTATACACTCACACTCACACATACGCGGACGGCGGCGTCTTGTTGTATCAGCACGCCGCCGTACGCGTCCACACTAGGAACACTTGGAACGTGTCAACACTTTATTTATTTATACGGAAATTTTGTCAAAAATTAAGTGCCTATTTTTTTTATATAATTCGAATGAGAATCATGTACCGAGCATGCTCCTTAAATATTGATAGTAATTCACCAGTCACCCTGTATATATAAATAAATATATATATATATGTATATACACAGTGTGTTCTAAAAACTATGTCAACCCTTAAAGGCATGTATACATATAACTATGAGCTTATTATAAAAAATAATATAACTTAAAAAATATCAAGCAGAGGTCAGTTACAGTGCATAGGCTAAATAAGTTTTAAATCGACATAATTTGAAAAAATATTTCAAACATCTGACCCATAAACGGTTAAGGCGCCGTATAGTTGCGCCAGCAGACGCGCGGCCATTCATCGCAGGCGCCGGGCCGCCGGCGTTGTTATTATTATTTTGTTAGTTTTTCGAATAGAGACTTACAAGTTTAAAAATTAGGTATATCGATAAATATTCTATCGATATTTTCAATATTGCTATAAATAGTTATGCTTTTCACATTAAAATTATTTTATTTAAAATAACATTTATTAACAATAAATATTATTATTAATCAATATTATAATTTGGAACTTCTTCAGGTAAATTAACTATGTTGTATTATTAGGATAAATCGTTGATCTACTTCTGTTAAAAATGGTGTTTTACAATCAAAAATAATACTAATGTTTGATATATCAAAATAAGTATCGAAATAATATGAATATAAAATATTTATTTATTGTTATGATTTTTTAAATATCGATATTTTCAATAATGTGCAAGTAGCTTCGAGTTCGTCACTAGTAGCGAAGAGTTTGTAAATGTAAGTTGTTTGATTGTGTTCCATTTTCGATACTGATAACGCAGTTAAGGGGGTTGACACAATTTTTCGTACACACTGTATATATACGGGCAGTACGGGCTTCTTGGAAATTAGTGGAGACATAACTTTCAATAAGGAAAGGGACATAGGTTACTTTATATATGACCAAATTAAAAAGAAAAAAGTTGATAAAATCCAAAATGTTCTTATTTACTGCCTTTAAAGAGGAATAGAGTTTATCCGCTATATATTACTAATTCTGAAATTAACATGAACGAAATCGCGGGCTAAAACTAGTATATTATAAACGTGGTCAATAACTTTAAGGTTGTGTTCCCAGGTACTGAAGAACAGATCCGACAGATATTGGATGAAATGCTCGGCCCCAGTCACTGTACGTCCACACCCAAGAAGTGGCAGAGTACTGTACTGGTAAGATAAATGTTGGTCATTAAATATATAGAATATAGAAGAATATATAGAAGAAGAAATATAAGGACAGTGTTTGGTTTAGATATCAAACTTGAAGTTACGATGCTTCAGTTGATAATATAAAGTAATAAGAGAACTTTAATAATCAAATAAAACTAAAGAAATATCTTTTTAATTCCCTACATTGGTGTTGTGAAATTTTTATATTACTATTACTTTTAGACAGTTTCAGTTTAAAAAAAAAACAGTATATCTGAATTGTTTATATAGAGACTTTAACAAATAAGTAGTCAATTTTAGTTACTTGTAGATAGTGATATTAATTTAAAGATAATGTTTTCAGGGATTCAAGAAACACGATCTTTTAGAAGAGATGCTGTCCCTGTTAGTGAGGCAGCTCCGCTGGCAGAGACTGTACACCGAGTATAATGATCAACTTAAAGCGTTGAGAGAAACCACGCTCGTGAATGGCTACTGAAACTTCGAGACTAATAAAGAAATGATTGCAGCCTTCAATATATATAAATATATAGGCTATCAAAAACTAAGTTCTCTCCAGACTTACAATATTTTAATTTGTTCTCATTCTTGAAGTCATTAGTCATTTTTTTCGTCACCCTGTATGAGACTTGTCACCTTTGTTAAACACACTGCCATCTTGAATATTATGCGATGTGATAAAACGATTGGATAATACGCTTAATAGTATCCGTAATGTATGTGGAGTGAATTTGTTCAACATAAGTATTATAGATAGATATTAATTTATTTTTATAAAAAAAAAAATCACGAACATTCTGTGTAATTAACTATTAATATTTTGTTAGGAACATGTTCTTTCATCTTAATTTCTCTAAATGTTGAAATAATATTTTTATAAATGAAATTTATTCTATTAAATTGCAAAGTTTTTTTGAAATATAATTTTTATTTATAACAATGGCAACTTTATTAATGGATGAATTGTTATAGTCTTATATATCACATATAAATGTCTGTAGCCACAGTATTCTTAACTAATCTTTATTTGATATATTTTTCATTTATATAAATGTAATTATTATTTCTCATTGCATGTTTGTTTATGTTTAAATCCTTATAAGAAGCATGTAATAAATTCACATCTTTTTTATAACCTATCGTTCGTCAAGTGTGTACTATCCGCCTATAAAATAATTAAAATCTAAATTCCTATCGTTGGGAGGGTGTAGTTATAAAATATACAATATTTAATTAAGGTACGTGTAAATATTATACGAGAGTATTTGTAGGAAACACAGACTTGTAATAAAACTGCCCGTTTTATAATTTTGTAAGTTGTTTGGTTGTGATGCGGCACTCAGAAACGTTGGTGTTTTGATAACATTTAATAATATAGAATTAAAATAAAACAACCGGCAACATGTTTGTATACAGAAACGTTTTAATAAATTAATTAACGGATATTTTTTCTTATACTAAAAGGAATATTTTTTTACGTTTGGTTTTCGTGTGTAGACGATGTGTAATGTGTTTCTGTCTATTGTGCCAATGTGTCCGCCGCTAGCACGTGATGTTAGCAGTTATCAAATACAAGACTTGTAGAAATAAATCAATTCATTTTTATAAATATTGACTTTCATTTATTACAACTACACTTATATAAAGAATATGGTGTTCTAATAAGGTGGGTTCGGATAAAGAAAATAAAAAACAAAATGTATCACAATAATTTATTTTTACAAATGAGTTATGGATCACAACAACTCTCACAAGGTAATAAAAATCTTCGAGTTTAGTTGAGAAAATGTTAAAAATGAAATACTCCTTTTCGAAGTAATGGAACGAAACATAATACACAATTAAAATGAAAAAAAAATAAACTCGACGAAGCGGATAAAGGCTATCGACTCATCTGTGCGAAGGCACTATAATTCCTTTAAACTAGTCAATAATAAGTCGCAAGATTTGAGCTCATTCCGACATCTCTGTAACAACAACTACTCAACAAGCGGGAACGGTCACTCTCAGTGATAAAATTTCATATCATCAACCTCGACAACAACTATCCAATATGGAATCATTTGCGACTATATCAATTTTGGTCCCAGTGGGGCGAGCCGGACGGCTCTCTTGTAAAATCATCTAAACACTTAGCCTACACGTACGTCGGATGTTCGACATTCAACAAGACTATTATCTAACCGGAGACCGGAGCCGGCCGCGCAATAAACAACGACGGCCGCCCTCTCCGCGGAGGACTATTTACACTCCCGACTCTTAAGTAAGCTCAGAACACGCGCACTCGTCTCACGACGGTCCATTATGCGTTTTGTACCTTCGGCGTAGGAGCGCGATCCGCACGCGAACCCCACACGATCCGGCGCCGGCTGGGCTCCATTATACTAACTAACTATTAATAAATCAACAAATCTTAGACTCGAACAATTCGTTGTTTGAGTGATCGCGTCCGAGGTTCGCGTGATCGGGCCCCTACTATTAAAATATACAAATGAATGTACACCATTCTATATACATGAGCACGCTGCTGTGACGTCACTCACTAACACTGTAGTCTCTGTGCTGTGTGGCGTCAGCGGGGCGCGCGCCACAGGCAGCACAGCGCTCGCTAGCACAGCACGGCGCGGTCGGGGGCGGAGCGCGGGGGGCGGAGTCTGAGGCCGGGGGCGGGGCATGCGCACGCGCACTCCGCGGCCGCCGGCGCGTGCTGCAACTTGGCCGGCTTCTCGTAGTCCGGCTGGAACTTCTTGCACAGCGCCAGCACCGAGGGAGGGTGAGGAGGACACTTGCGAGACACCTGCAGTGAGTTAGAATACATTATTATCTTTTGTCATGTTGTTCGTTGTTTAAAATCTGGAGTGCATTTCGTATCTGGTATATTTTTTAGGAATAAGTGTATGAAAAAGTTGTTCAATATTTATTTTGTATTTTACTCGTCAAATAAGACAAAGAAATTAGATATTTGTATTTTGGGATCTAATTTCATATATACATAGGTATGGTGGATAACATTCTCTTTATGTTAAAATGAGTGTAAATTTTTCCGCTATAAATAAAATTATTGGCAAGATCGATTCCATCATTCAAAACATTATCTCCAGCAAATATAATACAGAGAAAGACAGTAATGAATAAAGATCCATTTATGTAGGCAGATATTGAAGTACATAATGAGCCGTGTTCATGTAATACCTTGGGTGTGGAGGGTGCGTCAGGGAAGGGTGGAGGGTGAGAGTGTTTGTGAGGTTTGTCTCGCTCGTCCTCACGACCGGTCAGGATCGGCTCACATTCTGAAAATAAATAGCATTTGTTAAATTCCTTGCTCATATTACATAGTTCAGTTAAAACCTCAAAGTATAAAGTTCTCGTGATCACCTCTCGCTTCATGTGTCCCGTTGCTTCCGTTACAATCAGCGCCATTGTTGTGTCCATTAACTCCGTTCGTGTGAGGTCTGTTGACGTGACTGACCTCAGTGTCCGAGGCACCTCGCGGGCTGACTCCGTTAACGGGCCCGTGTCCATTAATACCGTTTTCTGCGGCTGATTCTTTTCCGTTGACTGTACAGGCTCCGTTGACACTTTTGACTGAACTGACTCCGTTGACTCCATTAACTCCGTTGACTCCATTGACTCCGTTGACTCCGTTAACGGTCGTGTGTCTATTGAGTCCGTTTATTCCGTTGCGTGTGTCCGTCTGTGTCGGGCTCGCGTCATCTTCTGTGAGGTCCTGTATGTCGAGCCCCACACCGACGATGGCCCGGGGGATATCCGCCTCGTCTTTCAACCAGGGGTGCTCCAGGCACTCATCCACTGTAAGACGACCCCTGAAATTATACATACTTCTATTAGTAACCAAAAATTTGGGATTGACGTATTTTTCTAAGCTAAGACCCAGTTTCACCAATCAATGTTTGTTTAGTCTAATCATAGTATTTAATAACCAAACTTCAAAATTATAAATGTCTGTTGAAATATTTACGTCCCACGATGACAAATTAACAACGCATTATTAAACGTCATGTAAAATATCCGACTACCAAATTATTCGTTCTTGATATAAAACGACCAAGTGGAAACTATAGCGTTTAACACGGCACGTTTGCCACGAAAACCACTTTATACTTAGATCGTATATATCCCTCGATACGTCACTTGTAAGCTAATGCGACCAAATTTTATATATCGTTGGTTGCATACATTTAGCACACAAAAAGCTTTCTTTTCAATTTACTAGGTGTAACTTGTCAAAATCGTGTTGTCAATAAATTGTTTTATATATTATTGTGTTATAAATATAGACATAAATTGTGTTCAAATTATAAGAAATAAAAAGAAAACTTAATTTGCAATGTCATAGAAAAGCTGGAGGCAAAATCATCATACTAAATGAAATTTTAATTCACTTTATTAATAATAACAAGGAAATAGTCGAAACTGACAAAACAGATGACGTTACTATGGTTACAAGAAATCAGGGCTGTGATTAGACAATTGAGTTTTGACAATGCCGTTAACATTCTGTTAGCCATTAGACGGAGCTCCGGAGCAGGAATTAATATTAGTGGCTGGTTAAGAATTTAAACGGACATTTGTGCGTGGTGGGGCGCTCGATACATCTACAGAGCATCAAACGCCTTAACACGATGTTACTTATTTAACAATGATTGGTGAAACTGGGTCTAAGTCTATGAAAGAGTGGATGAGTTTTGATAATAAAATCTAAGTGTATGTCGGTCTTACTTCGGATCAACCACGAGTGTTTCTCTTATGAACTGTATGGCACCCTGAGAGACCCCGTGGAACAGTTCCCTCGGGAAGGACAGCTGGCACTGAGCGATGTTCAGGTACGTCTCCTGCTTGGTGTCTCCAGCGAACGGCGAGTACCCGCTGAGCAGCACGTAGGCCAACACGCCCACCGACCAGATGTCCGCCGCCAAGGACAGCGGCTCGTACGAGAGGATCTCTGGCGCTGCAAGTTAATAACGATATATCGTAAATTACTTCAATATATGATACAAAGTTTTAAACACGAACGTAGGTGGGCCCACGTCGCATTAGCATGCGAGAGTGGTTTCTGTTTTATAGCCGCTAGGTACACAGAAACAGATTCTTATCTGTGCTGTCCAAGTACCTTTTGTATGTCGCAATATTGTATTATGTATCGAGCTTATTACACAACACCTGTACGTTACATTATTACTCAATACATACCAACATAATCCCTTGTGCCCAATATCTCTCGAACGTGAGCGCCGGGCTGGATGGCTCGGCTGATGCCGAAGTCGCATATAACGAGGTCTTCCCCGGTGGCTGACAGTAATAGGTTCTGCGGCTTGAGATCTAGATGTGCGATGCTGCGAGCGTGTAGATGAGCCAGTCCCTCCAGTACGTGTCTAAGGGCCCTCTTCGCCGCTCCCTCTGTGAGACGTTCCTCTTCATCCAGCAGCCTCTGTAGCTCGCCCCCGACACATAATTCTAACACTATAGCCACTTCTGACCGAGTCTCGTATACCTGGAAGATTAAATACATATGTGAGATTATTTCGTGGAAATAGTAATGGTAGAATTTCAAGCAAAAAATTCTGCTTAGGAATTTAACAGCTTAGAGACCATATGGCGAAAAATTTCACACAAGTTTTACATTAAAATTTAGTAAATTCCTATCCAAAGATGTAAATCCTACTAATATTATAATTGCGAAAGTTTGTGAATGTGTGAGTATGTTTGTTACTTCTTCACGCTCAAACGGCTGAACCGATTTTGATAAAATTTTGTAAACAGGAAGCTAACACATAGGCTAACTTTACATCCCGGAAATCCGCGGGTAACACCGCGGGACGCAGCTAGTAACTATATATTTTATGATATGTTTTGTTTTTTACCTCGTGTAGTCTAACTACTCTGGTACAGTCAGCACACATCGCCAGCACCGCTACCTCATGCTGTATCTCTCGCGAGGTGTCCGCGGCGCGACGACGTTTCCGAATGAACTTGGCCGCGTACTCGGACCCTGTCACCAGGTGGCGCAGCTTACGGACAGACGCAAATTTACCTCTGAAAATATAAAAAAAAACTAAGTTTTTTCGTCTTAAAAATGATCTTCATTAGATACAAATTACTGAACAATCTCGTACGAATATAGAAGAAACCAAATCATATTTTTAAAATCTTAGACTTTGTTTGTCCAAAATATATTTGAGATTAGATTTCTGTTATCAAAACATGTAAGTTGAAACGACGGGATGAAACATTGTAACATTCAAAGAGTCTGGTTGTATAGAAGAAATAATAAAAGCACTCAGCAACTTTAAAATGTGTAGCTGTAATTACAGGATGTTGTACTTTAGAGGCACGAGCTAATACAGAGCAGAGTACCTCGTGAGTAGCCATAGTACACTCGCTATTATGTCGTCTAGAAAACCCTCGCATTTAAAGTAACTCCTAATTAGAAGAAATTCTGTGTAAAAAACGCGTTAAATGAAACACCTACACTGGGGTGAAACTATCTCAGTTAATGGGAATTCTAGATTCGGAGTTATATTTGTACTAATTAACAATGATATTGGTTTTTGTTTTAACAGATGCGATGGATTAAGATGCATTTAGACAAACTGAATGAAATAATGATCTCTTGGTGAAGATCATGAACCATCCTTTATTCGTTCATTGATGTCAACATGTTCCCGCTTGTATCTACTAGATTTAGAATATTTATTACATAACTTTAAATCAACTTGCCTCACAAGTTATTATTACACATTACCATTTGGCTGTAGAATTATAATGCAATTCTTAAATTAAAATTGTATTTAGAATAACATTTTTACATAATAAATCAAATTTCATAATATGTTCGATTATCATAATTACTTAGAGTCGACAACTTAGCTAACGCCCGCAGACCAAATAAGCGTTACTAATTCCGGTTGGTGCATAAATATGAATGTCTGTTGCGCGCGCGCAGGGCAATTAGCAAACCAGGCGCCGCGGCCGGTACGAACTAGCAAGGGGGCAGGAACATGCGGTGTTCGTGAAGTTATTGCTTGTTATATTATTGTATTCTATATATTTAGAAAAAAATAATATATTATATCGAGCATGCTTTTAACAGAATCAAACTGAACTCAGTTAGTGTAGTATTCAGAACAAAATTAATAAAAGATTATAAAAAAAAATATGAAACTAACGTCTGCATTATTGCATAGTTTCAGCAAACTAAAAATTAAAGAACATTAAAACTTGTGAAATACTTGTGAGTCGTGGCTTAAGATATTATTACTATCGGGACAAAAAATCAAAGAGCATATGTACGCTAACTGTTGTTAAATATTAATTATGTTATATACCTTAGGTATAGGGAGCAAGAATATACCAAGAACATACTCGCTAATACAATATTTAAAGGACACATTTAGAACTGTAGGAAATCAATATTTTGGAAGGTTTAACCCGGCTTGGCTTAGTAGGTCAAACACAGTAAAGCCGCAAAAGAAATGTAAGTGTATTGCCTCAATAAAATTTTGGGATTTTGCTTGCCTTCAGATTTATAATTATAATTCTATTTTGTGTGTTTTCAATCTAGAACGAATTAAAGATATCGCGATATAAAAAATTTAAACTTGTGAAGGAGAAAAAGCACACTTTAGAAATATATTAAAATTTAACAATATATAAAGAAAATATTTAATTCAATTTCAATTTATTAAATGATATTTGCATTTAAAAAATGGATATCACAGAAAAATAACATTACACCAGCAGAAAATATATTCGAAAAGATATTAATATACTAAAATGTTTGTCGACGGCTGTAAACGGTCGTTTAGATGGAGGAGCTGATACAAGAAGCCAGGATGTGAAGACGACCGGGGGAAGGGAGGGGAAGGGAAGGGAGAGATTTTCGGCGAAACGAGCGCACCTGCCGCACCAGATGTCGGCAAAAAACCGACGGCGGCTGATTTGAAACAACTGGCCATCGAAATGTATAACAAAGTTAACACGGCTTTCAATAAATGTATATAAGAAAGTGCATTCATTAATATACTTCGAATGTCGAATGAGACACGAGCTTTATCGATATAAATATTTTGGTATAATTAGAGCTGACTTTAGTGATAACACTATGAAAAAAATGTACCATAAATCACAAAGTCCCCATCAATATCATACAATAAAAGGCTAGATGCATCGTACTTGAATATCGGAGTCACTAATACTGTAACGCCGTCACTACACGGAGCCCCTCTCACAATTGATACACAACGAATATTTATGGACGGCTGTCACACTCATGAATGTGCGAGCCGCCTATAGAACGCTCATTTTTCCATATAAAACTCCGTCCCGACGTTTAATAAACGACTATCATGTATTAAAAGACGCGATATCATTGTATGTAATGTTAACTTGTTATGACCGATACTCTTATAGGGCGCACTAAGCCGGCGTACAGATTTACTTTTTATGGCTTTATTAATTTACGAAGTGGCGTCTAAAATATGAATAGTTTATACGTGCGTTATATGCAGTTGTTAGAGTTACTTGAACAAGATATGATGTAGTTGTCAGTTGTGCACCGTTGCGCAACCAGTGAGACGATCGAGCCGGCCTTGGCCGTGGTGGGGCCGGCCGTTAGATTTCGGCTTTGATTGATTACCGAATGATTACTGAGCTGCGATGAGACGCTGACAGCCGCGGCTCACCACCTTCATACGGGCTCCAAGATATTACAGATTGACGGTTGGAGATATTATTTGAGCGTTATGATTTATATTTCATACATTGGATCATAATAACAAACTTGTATTATACGACCATATTACAATGACCATAAACTTAGGATGTCTTACATATTATAAAGACTTTATTTAACATTGTATTCTTTATATTATGAATATAATTGGTCTTCTTTATTTTCTTAATACAATATTTGCCGCTGTTGTCTCTTTGGTAACTTTATTACACAATATAGACAATTTGAACCTGCGGATTGTAACTTTATCCGTGACAACATTAGCAAACTCATTATGTAAGTAACGGTAATACGAATATTAATAAAATAGAATAAAGTGTGAAAAAGTTTTCAATAGAAATATACATAATAATAATTATTATTATTTGTTATTTTTTAATAAATATTAAATATTATATTTTTCAAATTATTATTATAACAAAAGTATAAGACGTAGTATAAATGTGTGATGATGTGATCACATGCGTATTAGAACTCAGTATGGTTATCGTATAAGCTGATATGGAATCACATAATAAACTTAATTTAATAGAACAACAATAACAGTTTGAACTGCAACAAATAACGTATAAGTAAATAAATAAAAACTTTAATAACCCCCACTGTGCTCGGGAAGTCGTAAAATTCATCTTGATTCTCAAATGTCCGATTAATTCTATCGAAACATTGTCAGAGGGTTTTAAACTTTGAGTGAAGCGCACAAGTCATAAAATCATTTGCATTCAAACAACATTGTGCATAAACAATATTCATAAGAACTTATAATTCAAATTGTGCGGAATCACTCTATGAGTGCTGTCCACAGACGAATTATACGCAGATCCTGAGAAACATATAAATGGAGTTATAAGTTATTGTGTTAATAAATAAACGGTTTTATTGAGTTCATTACTCTGTACATCTATTTGTAAACGTCTTTGTATTACAAAACTTTCGCTTTAGATTACAGACGTCTTCTATTTTAAGTTTAAGGAACAAAATATATATATTATTATATTTAAGATGAATTTACATTAAACATATAAGTAAATTAATTTAGACAAAACTAACATTCTAGTGCCTAGTCTACACTGTACATCTGGGTCTGCAATCAAGTTTTAAATTAGAAATCCGAGCGATGCATTGTGTTCGTCAATAGTGAATTACTCTGGTGGGGGAGTTAATTACAATTTTTTTTTATTTTGTGGAGCAGAAAATATGTAGTGGGTGTGTACATGACGTTATAATACATTCGAATATCGTTCTGTGATATTTGATATGGAAAACGTAACGATACTAACAGTTTTACACATAAAAGTTTTTCAAAAAAGTGTTTTCAAAGATTATCGTATGTGTTTGATATATTTTGGTTGCAAATAGTTGGAAGACGATAATAATATTAATATGTTGTTTATACTTCATAGTTCATCTTATATCAGTATGTAAGTGTCTTTGAACCGTACCAGTGCCTTAACAATAGTTAAATATTCATTCATACCATTTAATATGGGCTTTACAAAATCTTTTTTTTTTTTTAAATCAAAAGCAATACTTTATGGTAATGCATTAGAAAAAACTGTCCAAAAGATCTCAAAGGCTCTGAAAACATTATTCAAATATTGTTCCCTTAATGGAGATTCTCAATAGATGATATCTTTTTCGTAATCATTATTCTCGGTCACGTTTTTAAAACTGAAAGTCTCATTAATCTGCTGCCCATTATAAAAAGACACACGTAATGTGAGTTACAAACCTACATTAATATTGAGTGATGCTAATTTTATCAACATATAAAGTGCAACGTCTCATACGACGTGGAGTGGAGTGGCGACGTTGTTTCGTAATAACAAAACAGAATCTATTTATTTAAATTGTTTTTAATATTATTTATTCGAAGTAATTTATATCTAGTAAAATCGAAGGCAGTGATAACTATCTCATTTAAAAAAAATACCTACATAAAAATACGTAATTTAAAAATTAAACATAGTTAAAAAAGTACAGAAAAATTATGCCAATTTTTTTGCATCGTATTTTAAATTTGAATTATTATCTAATTTTACTTTAGTTCAAATGAATTTAAGCACATCACAATCAATTAATGCAACTGTAGACTCGACGCGGAATTAAATAACGCCGTATTGGCAAACGTTAATGATAATCTTGATGATAACATCTCATAGAGTATATTAAAGGAGAACTGGCGCCGAGGAAGGTGAGCAGGGAGATCTCCGCCGTATATGTATTGTGATACATATAATGATAGATTTATTGTTCAACAATCATATAGGTGGAAAATGGTTTTAACTTCATACATATTTATTATGTAATTAAGGAAACGTATGAGATCTAAGGAGTTTCGAGTGTATTCATTTAAATGACACTAATATTTTTCGGGTTTTAGTTTCGGGTTATTTCGGATTAGTATATAGTTGTGAATATTAAAATCTCCTCTGCCCGTGGTGATCACGGCTATAGAAAAGTAACGCGATATGTTGGGAATATTTTTTACACTAATAAAATACGCGTATAATCCGAAAAATATTAGTTTCATTTAAGGAAAAGTGTTTTTATTTCAACTTCTTTAAAAATACTACCAACATAAGAAATAATAACGTCAAACAACTAATTAGTTTACCAAAAAGTACATCGATTATATCTCAATCCAGCCAACACGTATTCAACCCACGTCAAATATAACAATCTGATAATAATAATTACTATCTGTATAATCATTAGTACCAACTTCCTCCATATCAATATGTATATAAGCTATTGACATTCCAGGAGCTAGGAGTACACCTGCCCTAGCGCGTGCCCGTACAGAACATAATTTATAACGACGCCTTCACAGACAGACGAAGAGACATTTTGATATAATAAATTATATATGTATATTTGTGACTTACACTTTTGTTTACATTCCATAGACCTAATAAGAAGGATGATTTAATTGGCACGTATTTTCGTAAAATGTACTTTGTAAGTAAATGAATCTGTAATTGTAATTATGGTACTTGTTGATTGTTTATAATACGTTACTTAGTTAAACACAGTGGACATTGTAACTACAAATTTGCTGATAATTGCGATGTTTCGTCTAGATCACGTATGAGCTGGCGTTATGTAATTTTCATTATAATATATTAAAATTAATTTACATACATAATTTTGCAAATCGAGTTCATAAAATAAGCTACCATTCTAAGGATATAAGTAATACTTTTAGATCAAACGAATGACAATAAGACACAATAGTAAGTTTAATTAAATAGTTTTAAAAATCCAAATTCCTTATAAATTATTTCAGTTAGTTACGGCAGTGCACCTGCTGCGTGTCAAGGTCTGCAGGTCCAGATCCTGGCCTTTAGCCAGACATTAGCCGTGCTTGAAGTTAAGCGACGTTTTGTAATTAGTATGCAAATTTAATGTATTCGACTACACCGATTTACTTAATACAAAACTATTCATTAAGCACGGAAATGTTGTTAATGAGATCACAGTCTTCAAAAACACGTTAATTGGAATAGATTTCGATAAAGGTTACATTATTAGTAGGAATTATTATTTTTGTATATATATATTATGTATTAACCCTGACAGAACTGAATACCTAGCTTCGATGTAGCTCATGTGTCCATAGATAGCAGACAATTAATTGAATGGAAGCGCGACAGCACATTGAGTCATAACAAATCGTTCTTGACAACGGAGTTAGCGAGTAATGATGCCGGTGAGACGGCCGGTGCGCGGGCGCAGCCGCGGAAGCGAAGCGACTATAATTAATACATCACCCACGCGTCGCTTGAGCTTTGACGACGTTAATAATTCAATCTTAATATTCACTACTAATTTGCATGACATTAAGACGAAAAAGAATCAAATTACTTTGTATCACGGCGTTGGAAAAGATTTATTACGATGTATAAAATGTTCTTAACTAATTATTATTATATATATAAATGTATGGTAGTATGATGTGTAATGCAGGCCCATCTTAGATCGTTGTCAATAAGGACTGATGCGGTCCGACTTCTTCCCACAGATTGTCTGCTGACCTAAATAGGTAGGCGCTGAAATATGGCTCATGATCTTAGATCCTGATTTAGGTCCAGATACGGATACTGTTTCGTCTATCATAAATTCAAAGACATTTCACCCGAATACAATATAATATTTCAGTAAAATGATAACAAAGCTGTTTCAGTATTATTTGTGTGCGTATTTAAGAAATATTGTTACTTTTAAAGGATGTTAAGAGGTTCTCAGGGAGAGGTTTTTAAACGTAAAGTGGCTATTGTCACACGCGGTTGGCAGAACCTCTTTAAAGCAAGTGTTTGTACTCCTCGGGAAGGGGTGAACTTCTGTGTAAAGTTGCAAAAAAATATTATTTTTTTGTGTAAATTCATTTTTACGCAGGATTATTTATATGTTTCATTTAGTTAAGAAATTAATACACAAAATTAGTCTTCTTAACTGCTACAACTACTATGAATGAGTATGCAATTTGCAAGCAAATTGAGTTTCCATATACTTGGACATCTGACATGGAGTCTCTCTTGACTAAGCGAGTGCTAATTAAGAAATCGTGGCTATTGTCGACGGAGATGAACACGAAGAAAGTTGGACGTACAGCTACAAATGTACAGCCGTAGGAACACAAGCTTTCTACAAATAGTAAGGTATTCCTATTACGACTATCCATCCTTGACAACCTTAAAGAAACAAAAGTAACTTATAATATCTTTTGCAAATCTAAAATCTATCCAAACCGTTCGCATGAACTATCATAATTTGAAAGAAAGTGTAGATTCTACAACTTTTGGTCTAAATATCCCATACAAGAAACGGTCGCGGAAACGCAAAAAGCCCATAACAATAGAGGTTCGTGGCTCGCGGCCTGATCCCACGATTCTTATCGAACGGTCGAGATAATGGCTCGCCTCAGATGTACGGTGTATCAGAATCGATTATTGGTAAGGATGACACTTGCAATTCCTGCAGTTTCTCTCATACACCGATATGGCAATCAACTTTCTTTTTAAAGTTCACGGCCATATTTTGGTTGGCTGACACATTTTACTCATAAGTATAAGTTTCAAGAAGCAATTAAGTTCTCGGAGTTGTATGTGAGTGAAATTCGTAGTGATTTTCTTCAATTAATGTAGTTGTTTGTTAAGCTAATAAACCGTCTGTATTAGTTAACCAAATTGGCTATAAAGACATTGACGTAGCAAGTCACGTCCCTGATCGAAGCTGGTCCGCGTGAGATGCGTCTCGCCTCCACTTTCTCCTAACCTTTCTGGGAACAACAGATCCACTATCTGACCCCCGGCTTAGGGCCATACTCAATTTGGTTTGACGGAGGAATTTGTGTTTTCTTGTTAATACTGTGTATATTTATTAACTACAACCTCTTTCTTCAAAATAAATATTTTATTCAAATACTGACAAATCAGCAAATTTTTTGATCGATTTAGTTTTTCTCTTATAACGTTCGTAATCATCTTAATAATTTAGTAAGGACCATACAACATATTGATATATAATTTTAGCTGTATTTACGCGGATACACTTTGATCGTATTATGACATTTTACTAAAATTATTATAATTATTTATTTATAATTTTTAAAACACAAGTTTAAACTAAAGCAGACCGAAATCGTTGCAATGACACAAAAGTAAATATTCAAATTCAAGTGTTCAATTCAAATTTGATAAACGCCAAAATTACGTAATGAATAGGTATATATATTATTTTTTTATTTAATAAAATCAAAACCATTGTTTCCAAATGCTATATATTACCAAAGTAGCGCAAGGTTAAATTGTATTGTGATCGTTGTATGCGCGTGCGCAACTATTGTTACAATATCGACATAGCCGGATGATATTATACATATTATTTAGTTCGAATTACAGAAAAAAAATATTTCGTAGATCAGATTAAATATAAAAAAAAATCTATAAAAAAATAAATAAACCCAAAGATAATAAACGTCATTAATTATTTAACAGTAGATTTAATTTTATATCTATTTGCTAATTCGCCTAGATTGTAGCACGAGCCAGTCCAGCCCGTTTTCAAAGGTCGCGTGAATGTTTCAAGCAACATTTAATACACTAACAGCTAATCATTCAACGTCAATTTAAATAAACGGAACATTTTAAAATATGCAAGTATACATAATATAATGTAATTCATAACGCAACAAATAAATATTTTAAAGGCATAACTTTCGCTGGCACTCAATCATGAAATCGAATTTATCTTGTAGCGGGGCTTGGCTAATTGAAGGACAAAGCAATATATCTATGAGACCACTAAATATGACCGGCTTGGACAGTTTATCACTGCTGACAGCTGATAACGAAGTCGAGCAATTAATGCTTTGTCAACATTTCAACACACGGTGATCGCTAGATATGTTATGTGAATTCTTCTCAAGGATCCGGAACGATGATAACGTGATGGATGGACTGATAATTTTGGATCGTCGTTTAATATAATGTGGTAACGCCGATGAAACGTGTGACATTGAATCAATCCAATGGATAGATAAACATGCTAGCAAGATTTTTATAAACTGTTGTATGTATGATGTGACACGTAGTAAAGTGGCTCTCAGTTAAGACAAAGGTATCGTCATATTAAGCTCTTCGTTTCAAGTACTGGACGGGTATGAGTGACGACCACCAAGTCTATTTGTGATCTAGCCTCGCCCGTGACCTAGCTCAATATAGGTCACTGCCGGCTTGTACGGATTTTACGATAATCGCATCACGCGAAATCTTATTGGCAAAATTTCAACATTTCATACGTCTGTAGTAAGTCTGACAATGACGGACACAAGAGAGTGATTCAACGACGAATTCACCCAAATCATAAATTGAGAAAAGCGTCCCAGATTCTTTAAGTACGAAACGAAAGAAAATAATTCTTGAGTTATAAAACGGAGAGTTTAATTTCATAAGATCATAAAGGCGTCTAGACATTATGATATGTGATATAAATTTAGAATAACGGAAACGGTGGCTGGTGTGCGGCGGCGGGCACGTTTTATTTGTTTAATTTGCAGCGGCCTTCGGATGAATGAAATGCCGTGCGGTCAACGCTGTGTCTCTAATTCGAGATGCGGACACCCAATAATAACAAATGGATTTATGGCTCATTAAGATGTGGAAACGGGGAGAGCATTCCTCCGGGTTCACGACGAACAGCGTGTCAACGACCCCTGCACTCACTAAAAGAAAAGTGAAAGCGCTCGCTGACAAATCCCTTGGCACGTGGCTTGTAACACGACTCGGGGAATGCGTCCGGAGGTGCGCTGACGAACGAGACAAATTAACGCGACGTCTCATATAATATAATAAATAGATTGTGAAATGGGATGGCCGCAACTCACATTACTGATAATATAATTCAAATAACGGATCATAGCTTTTTAAATATGTATATTAATAAGGGCATGCCATTTTTTTATGTTTCGCTTAGAGATTTTAAATCTCTTATCAACCTTTATCTTTTGAAGATTCAAGACACGTAATTTTTACGAAAAATTTATTGATTAGTATGACAAGATTGGAACTTAGTACTAACTTCGTATATAATAATATTAACACGTAAAAATTTTGCAGACCAGTTTGTAGAAGAATAAGAATACCGTCACTGTGAGAGCTGTATTATTTACTGTATTTAAAGTGAGCATGTTTAACAAAAACGCTTTCCTGGTCGCCAATGCAAAGCCAGCATAAAACAATGTATTTATTGATTACCAGACGCATTAAGAACCGGGTTAGAATAGCTCGTTAAATTCTAAACTTTATTCTAATGCCCGCGCTAACCGATGTCGGTCGGTTTATCACAGATAATTATACCTTTAGATACGCTTTATATTTTATCTGTAAAATCTGGCCTAAATATCAGTGTAAAATGTCAAGTACCCACCTAATACATATTATTAATAATAAACTGTGGATAATTATTACAAATGTTATTGGTATTAAAAAGGTACAATTGAAAACTAGATACTATTACATTTCTACTTACGTATAATCGCAGCTTAAAACTAATCTGTCATTGCTGTCAACGTGACAGGTGACGTCAAACGTCAAACTTTTTTTTTTTATCGCTAACCGACGAAGGTTACGTCCACCGGCGCCATGACTCACCACAAATAAAGGAAAACACGTCGAACCTTCAATATGTTTATATTCCATAATTGGCTAATGATAGAGCCGTTTCTAATACTTTAGCTTGTTCGCATAACTTTACAACAAAAGACCATAAATAGATTTGTATTATTAAAACATTATCTTAATTAGATATAAATTGATATATTAACTGAATAACTTAGATTTCAAAGGAATAATTTACTATTACCGATCACTGTCATTTGAGTTTAATAAGATGAAAACACTGTGTTCTTTCTTCAAAAATTTGTTCAAAGAAGTTCATTGATTAAAATTATTATTAGTGAAATATAAAATATTCCCATTACAAGAAGAATGTCAAAAAAAATCAAATATTACATCGAAAGAAATTTGAAATAAACTTGAATGCCATATATACGCAATAATCTCTTATTTATTTTTTAGCAATCTTTTACATCATGTCAGATATTCTCTTATTTACCAATGGACGTTATACCTATCTCCAAATCAGCATATGACTCACCTGAAACAACAAACAAAAAAGTATAAGTTTGTGCAATTTTATATAAAAAAGAAATAAATAAATAAAGTTTTAGTGTTGTGTCGTAATATAAATCAAAACGTGTGTGGGACGAGTTCGTTACTTGAGATTCGATTCGGGTGGTGTGCAAAAACAGCCTTTTAAGGACGTTGGTTAGTTGACATTGCACGAGAACAATACGGAAAATAATAACATGATTGAATATAAAATCTAACATATTAACTCATTGAAACCTCAACTAAAGGGTAAAGGCAATTTAACTTGTTTAGTGTAGAAAAATACGGGACATTCGCTTGTTATAAAAGATTATTTATGTACCAGTCACTACACTGCGCCCACGTTTAAGAACTACCATCAAAGATCGCTTGCGTGGACTTAGGACGAGTGTGATAACGCAGTCAAGGACGTTTTCAAAAAGATACGTGATAACAAATTGATTGAAATAAGAAACTATGATAATAATATTACAGTTGTAGAAAATATTGCGACATTATCATTGAAATAAAAAATGTTATAGTTTTATTCTTAATTAGAAATATTTAATAACAACTAAGACGCATGCGGTCAGGCAATACGCCCACACCGACCAAGCAGAGATTAAATTGTAATAATTACTTAAACAATACCCTTTAACGTAGTCTGAGTAAATTTTAAGTATTCATCATCACCAGCCTATTGGTACCCACTGCTGAGCATAAGCCTCTTCTCACATGGAGAAGGTTAGAGCATTAATCGTCTGGATTGCTCAAGGCAGTTTGGCGATTTCCAACTTGTAATTTGAAACTATAAATCCAGGTTTCCTCACGATGTTTTCTTTCAGCGCCTGTCAGCGGTGTTTAAATATTCTTAGAAGGTATATGTTCTTAACAAAAAACTCGGAAAAAATCGCATTGATTCTTGCCAGGTATCGAACCCACGCCCTCATGTTAGGGAGGTGGGCCTTAACCTCCAGGCATGCGCAACTTTTAGGTATTACTACAAACATTTGTAAATTCTATCGTAACATTAGAGTGTGAAAACTTACAAAACAGATCTGCTGCGGTTTATAAAATATGAGGACTGCAAGCACATCGTGGCGCAACTAAAACAGTCAGTCGGGTGACTGCTATCATTGAGTATTGCCAATAAATAATAATCATTAAACAAACAGTGAATTTAGAAAGTTCAAAGTAGGTAGTATATAAGTTAAATTCTACTTCTAGTAGTAAAAACAACGCCTACACAATAACGTTTGGTATTTCAATTGAATGATATTCGTAAAACGTTCAACATATTGCTTCACAAATTTATAGTCATGTAAGCAAATCGTTGAAGCACCACGGATCGTCACAACGCCCACGTCGATGCCAACATTCACACGGTAATTTCGTAATATGGCAGGAATATTTAAGACATGAAAATATTACCGTTGGAACCTAGAGCTGTAATTAATAAGCATCAAATTATATTTACTCCTCATAAACGTTAATATTTATTCGTACTGAAACTATCATGTGTTACATTGTGTAATATTCAATATTGCGTCTATAATCCACTATAAATTCCTTTCTAGCTGGCGGTTGATTACTTATTATAGAAAACTAACGTCAAGCCGGCGCCACAACAACGACTAACGAGATCTAAGACTCAAGGTGAAATGCCACTGTCCACTGTTGTGAACTAATTCATTTCTTTTTCACTCGTGTTTTCATATAACCATATTCAACGATGAATATCATATAAATATATTACATGCATCTATAAAAACGTGCATAATTTTTATTATCTAGATACAAAGGAATAAATGAAATACACTGTGGAATTTAAATGATTGCTATAAAGAAGCGAGCGAAATTTCTCGATAGAGTTTATAGTATCGATAAGAACAAAACACACCGACAAAGGGAGTCGGATGAACAAAATGCAAAACAAAAGTATTTGTAACAAATTTCTACAATTCGAATCAACTCTCAAGGTGACAGGGTCTTATAAGCCCTGTCACTGAATATCAAAGTTGATTAAGTCTTTAAACTCGTTTCATTCTGTGGAATGTAATATATTTGTAAGAATTAAAAGATACATAATATATTGGATTAATTACAACTAAATAAACTAAACATGTATTATTTTGCAATTAATTTTGAATGACATATTGAGCACGTTTTATTATTATTACAACTTTTTCTTATTAACACTATTTATATATAATGTCGCTTGCACAATATATTTGATCAGTCAGTTTCCATAGCTCGCAGATTCATACTCAGACTTTATTGATGGTTATAATATTTATCATCTCTTAAAAACTACTCATCAGTACTAGAGTCATTGCTGAACATGTAAAATACTATACAATGCTAGATTCTTCTTCATTCGTGTGAATATTCTATTGATATGGCGTCTTTTGTGGTGTTAGCGCTCCCTCGACAATTACGTTTATTGATAGCGATAAAGCTATATTTGGTGTCGGGTGCCATCAAGCATTCCTTTCAGAGGCTGGTGCAAAAATGTCGATTAAAGCTCGTATATATATTGACAATTATCCCCTTCGGTTATTTTTAAGATGAAAGCGAACCTATTAGTGTGATAAAATGGCACAATTATATTGTTTGAAGACCCCCAAAGGATCATTTGTCAACGTTATATAAAGAATGAGAGCATTGTATTAATTCACACAGCCATTGTTAGCATAAAGTATTGTAGGAAAAGCTTTGTTCTTTAAAAAGTATTATATATTCGTAACATTTGACGCTATGTGAAATTAGGTCATGACCTCAATATGGCGTTACTTGATATTCCATTAAAAACAAAAAGTTCTTTGTATTTTTTTGGTATCGAATTTAACACACAAGCCTATATAAGTGTAAATATCACCAGTGCTCTCGGTAAAGGACACGGCTCGTTAATCCATTTGGCTCGGGATCCATTCATGAGAAACAAGAAAGACAATAACAGACATTCATTCATTGAGTCCGCGAGTCACGCCAAGGTGACTTATGAGATCTGGTCGAACAATACAAAAAACGCCAGTTTTGAGAATGGAATTCAAATATATCGAATGTATTGGAATCCAACATTGAGAGAACAATGCAATGATGATATACATAGAAAGTATTATTATGTTCTTTGTAATCAATGAACAGAACCAATTTGTGTCACATTTTGACCAGAGCGATGTTCAGTCTAAGTTTTCTTTTATGCTAACCGAAAAACTTGATAATATTTCTTTATGAAATATACATAATAATATATATAGGACTTTTAATTTATGTGTTGTTTTTTTATTAATTAGTGTTATTTTTTTTTTTTTGCAGAAGTAAATTAATTTAGTTAGATTAAGGTGTTGTCGTTGTTAAAAAACTTTTTAGACAGTGCTGTGAATACCTGTAAATTGTAATAGGTGTACATATGAAGACCTATACTTTTATACTATATTTTTGTGTAAATGTTGCTTATGTGTACTGTTAGTGTTCCTAAGTTAATAAAATAAAATAGAAATAAATCACTATAGAATAATCTAGAAGTTCGACACTCGACCTCGTCTTCTACCCCCAGGATGCTATACTCAGCTGATGCCGTTGATGTCCGACAACAGTCCCATTTATCTCAATATTGACTGATAAAGATTTATGATACAATGATTTATGATAACAAACAGATGTATACATGATACAGGATATAGACCATC